AGAAGAGGTGCAGACACATGGCTGGGTTGTGGAGAGTTAAACAAGAGCCTCAGGAGCTTTAGCTGTGGAAAATAGTAAAAGAGGCGCAGGGCGTTAGTTTACGTGAAGACATGAGGCGCAAGGCTGGGGTTGGGGTAGGAAAACATAGGACGAAGGGCTGGAGTTGGAGAGATGACAAGGGGCTCGGTATTGATCGGTCATGGCGTTTCTCCCAACCCTCAGCTTCTTGTAGGGACTGAGGCCTAACCTTGCCTGCCCTGCCGGGGTCGAGGGGAAAAAACCCTGCTTGCCTTGCCCAAGGTGAGGGTATAAACCTGGCGTCCGGTGCTTGGGGAGAGGGAACATACATGCCTGCCACTCCGAGGTGAGAGTGAACAAACAATGAGTGTTGACCGAGGAAGGATGGACCAAACAATGCCTGCCTTGCTAATGTAGTTGGGAACCAACTGCTTACCTTGCCAATTGGAAGGTGTCACATCGAATGCTACCGGCCATGTCAAGGAAAAGGGATCAAATCCGCGCCTGAGTTGTGGAAGAAGGACAGAACTCTGCTTATTTCGCCGAGGGAAATGAGAACAAACCTTGCATGCTTTGTGACGCTGCCCCACCAAACGGCATGTGTGGTGACTCTGTCTCACTTCTACTGATGACCATTTGCATTGAGTGATGAATCTGATCCACCATCCGTTGATATGGTTGAGCTGTCTGGCCATGTGTGAAATGTGGTGCAGTATAAGTAACTTGATCCCTGCATTCCTTGCATGCGCATAATCTTGTTGCTGATAAGTTATCGGCCACAATTGATTTGGTATCGTCCACAACTTATGTAGGCATTCAAGTCAGCCTGTTTTCGTATCAAAACTAATGTAAGAAGCCCAAGAATCTCCTGTCTTAGAAACTCTGTTGATACACTGAAGAGAGACGAAATTGGATTGGAGAGCTGTCGAGAATAACATCTAAAGAACGATAAACATAAACGTTCAACAGTGCTGTCGAGGGAGTTTTTTGTCTGTGCGTCATCGCGGAACACGAAACCTTGCGATGCTGTTTCAACAGCTTACATTTCGTGATTGGTTTTTCTGCATAGCTGTGAATAAATTTAGCAAAATTGGATAAGCATCAAATATTAATTCGAATAGAAGAAATGCATTTATGCCCGAGTGCAAAAATAACTGAATGACATGTGTTTGTTTGAGGCCAAACTAAACATTAATGAAGAATTACATTGAGGTCATTTGAAGCCGAGGGAGATTTCCATAGAAGAATATAAGGCGACATGCAAGAAGAAAAAAAAAACAATATTCTGAAACTATAAAACTTGCTGTGGTTGTAAGATTGCAGTGAAGATCGTCAAAAATTGATGACGATTATCAGTAGGCTACTTATCATTAGGTTTATTTTTTATCTGAATGACTTGCAACCCCGTATCTTCTATTGTCATGAACCGCGCATATTCTCGGGCATCAGGAAACAAAGCGATGGTTTTGACTGAGCCACGTGATGGCCTTTATTTTCCTGACGCTGATACGAGTAAAATACGAGTACGTGTGATAGTGTGTAACTTTATAACGACTCACCGAATACGAGTACGTGTGATAGTGTGTAACTTTATAACGACTCACCGAATACCAGTACGTGTGATAGTGGGTAACCTGATAACGACTGTCTCTGTTGTTTCCACACAGTCTATATGCTTTTTATTATGTCGATGCTTTTTAGCATGGCAATTACTTTGCTAATTGTTTAAATTATGCATCACTCATAAATGGTACTGATCAATTCTCATTATTGGGTTTATTCATATTTGATCAAAACAAAATATGAATAAAGTGTGGCGAATTGACTTGCTCAATTTACACATCGCAACAAAGTACATAGAATTACAATTTATGTTACCAGATTACTTTAGAGGATAGTTATAGGTAATGGTTTGTGTTTTCGTGCCTCGATTGGATCGCAGTAAATTTATTATTATAAAGTATTATTTAGTATAAAGTAAAGTATTAAGTATTATTATGGTACTTAAGTATAAAGTATTATTTATTATCATAAAGTAAGTACCATGCTATTTAAAGTAAATATTATGGCTAAGTGAGGGTGTCAAGATTCAAGAAATATTTCCTTATTTATTTTCGGAAGGAACTTGAAAATGAAAAAGGTCACCTTTTAATATTACTATTAAAATTTAACAACGGATTCCTGGACACTGCAACAATGTAATAAATAAACAAAATTATTTTATAAAGTAAAACAAAAAATTTGTCGCGACACAGATATGGTTTATGATATAAATTTTATTTCGAAAACTAAACCATTTTATTTGGCAGTGCAGAATTGTATTTATAAAATTTTTGGAGAACTCCTGGTCTTCAAAATAATAAGAACGAAGGCTTTCTTTCTGCGGCCCGTCTTGCAAGTTGGGTTTCAGACGCCATTACTCCTCTTCCCTCATCGCGATCGTTACAAAGAATTAATTTATAACCAATTGGTCGAAATTATTTATCAGGGGCCATACTTTCAAAACTGGCTAAGTGAACGTAAGTACTTACGCTCTATTTTCTTGTCTATGATTGGTGGATTTTGCTTGAAAGGCCGCCAAAGATTGGCTGATGAACTTACGATCTCTTAACTTTTTTTAGAGTATGGGCCCATAGCTCCGCGTTACGATGTCAATTCTGTTGCTTTTGGAGGCAGGTATAATCATGCCGTAGTAATTTCCTCGTATGTTATACATCTGGCGGATGTAATTAGTTTTATAGATCTCAAGATTAAGCTAATTATTGTAATCACAGATAAATTGAGAAGCTAAAATTCTTAGCAAGGTTAATATTTTTCCAGCGCGCTGGACGAATTTTTCGCTTACAATTAGCGTGTTCACAAAAACATGGGAAGCTGTAATTCAAAGAAGGGTCAAGGTTTTTGGGGGCAATTTAAACAAATAAGAAATGGAAATAAACTGCATCGTCGTGTGGGAAATGCGCTATTTTCCGAGGCAATGAACGGTTGAAAAATCAGTGAAAATTTGTAAATTTTACGGAAAATAGTTCTGTAAACGGCATGCGTTTCGAATGCAATATTTTTTACGTTTTTATTGAACGGCAGTCGCATGGTCAGATGATGTGTCAGAAGACGCCTGAGCATTCGGCTCAGAGTCGTGCAAACTGTCAAATCCATCCATACCCCAAGCTATAAGGAACGAATTTGAAAAAATTTTCTCACTCTTAATTTTCGATGCCAAAAATAGTGTTTTTTAAACGTTCTCTTGTTGTTTAAAACCGAACGCTTTCATGGACCTACTAGTCACGTATGCCGTGAAATACCGTGACCTACTAGTCACGTATGCAACTGAAATCTTCACCTAAGATAGAGGCCGATTAAATTTCACTTCAATTTTAATAAATGCTTCCGACAAAAAGTATTTACTTTGAGACACCACAACCACACGAACGGTAGGCATTTTATTAATAAATGTATGCAGATGTCACTATAATGGATAAGATAAGGACTAACCTCAACTGAGGAGCCAGAACTTAGTCGTGACTTGCTAACTATTGTCTAGAAAATTCAATGAAACAATCTGTTGGCAACAATGATCTGCCAGGACACTGCAGCATCAATCGACAAGCAACGCCTGACGAAACTCACACTCAGAAAAATCAAAGGGTCATGTGCAAATAGTGACATCCGTTATCTTTTACACGTGGCCCTGAAATGCTTTTTTTGCTGAGCCCAACAGGGTCAAAATGATGACATCCTTTTTACAGTTGGCCATGAAATGCTTTTTTGCTGAGCCTAACAGGGCCAATATGAGCCATACAAGTGCAAAAAGAGAATTCACCTATTGGACAATGTCTCGTTTGTTTCTCAGAGTGTAAACTGAATGATTAGTCGGATTATTATCCGACTAATCCTGAAGAAAATTCACCATGAATCGCGCAATGCTATTACTGTGTCAAGAGCAATCGTTGAAGTAATTACTCTCTGCGATCAAAAAATATAATAGGAGGGGCTGTTAGCAGGAATAGAATAATTGTCTTTTAAATTAGGTATATCATGACTGGTAGAAACATCACTAATCCATTAGTTTCCAAAATCTTAGTCATTTTTCGTCGATTGCGAAGGATTGGCAGACGAGAAAACGAACTCCCACGGCATGCATCAGCAGTGCACTCGAGGCGGTCTTCTTTCTTCCTCTGCCATATATTAATAACATAGGAAAAGGTTTGTCCAATCTCAAATGGATGTTTACATTCAAAATGTTTAATTTCATAACAAATTGTTTAGATCATCTTCATAATGCTCATAGCGTTTGTATAAGTCACATGCATTCCCAGTTCGTTGGTGACTTGTCAGATGGTTAAGGCCGCAACACAATTGGTCTTGACCGCTGTAATTGGTTAAGAACATTGCAAATGGTTTACATAGCAAGATGAATGGTCAAGGCCAACGCTAATGATTTATGCGATTGCAAATGGTAAAGTGGTCACGTAAAGTTAAAAATTAAGAAGATCGCAAATAGACTAGGCTTTCGCGAGTGATTTGAGCAAATTCAAATAGTTTCTTGATAATGTACTCCGATAATGTAACATGATAAAGTACTCCAAATTATTTTCGCATTAATATAATAATGCTAATTCTGTGCAAGCTACAATACTTGAAAAAAGTCCCAACAAGCTTAGTCAGCTTTAAGTCTTGCAATCTCTAGTGGTTTTCGTAACCGCTGACGAGCGTCGGCGGCCAACGTGCTGTAAATAGGGAAAATCACAACGTCTGACGTGGCCTCTGAAGCAGTATATATACCGCGGCGAGAAGAGAGTAATCGGTAACGAACGGCCAGGGAGAGTAATCGTCACCGACGCTTAAAAGCAATCTATTAAATTCCCAGATTAATTAGGCTTTCAATTTACACGTTTGTCATTTTTTTAATTACCTAAAAAAATTATGCTAGGGCATTTTAATGTCCACCTCCCATAGTAACGTTTTATTTTGTTGTTTTGCAGGACCAGATACCTGGGGCAAGGCTTTCCCTATTGCCGTTGAGGGCAAGAACCAGTCGCCCATTGACATCCAGCGCTCCAACTGCAAGCCTGACGACTCGCTCAAGCCCGTCACTGTCGATTACAGCGCTGTCGAAATCGGGGAAATTACCAACACTGGCAGCTCTTGGAAGGCGCAAGTTACTGGCGGCAAACCTGGCAGTGAGTATTCGCCTAGAATTTGCATTTTTAAATTCTATCCAGATTTTTAAATTTTTTAAATTTTTAAGTTCTACAACGAAAATTGTATTATGATCGAAAAATACTGTACTTACAATTTTTTAGGAATTTTAATTCTGCAGAAAAACAAGTCAACCAAAACGAGAGGAATTGCTGAAGTTTGTTTGTTTGTTTGAGAGAATAAAGAATAAGATAACTCCTTAAAAAAATCACATTGAGTCAAATCGGGAGATTGCGTCGGCCAAGGAAGGCCTCCTCTCAAGGAGGTAAGGCGCATTCCGAATAGGGAATGCTCATTGAGTATATCGATAATGGAACGGACATTAGTCTGCATATTTGCAAAATTGGGGACTTAACTTAAGGGAGTGCGGAACGAGAATCACCCTGTATATATACATCAATGAAAAATATGCAAATCTAAAGCACCACTTGGTATACGTTTCACATTATTCAGGCTTATATGTCACTCATTTTCATGTTTAAAAACATATTTTCGTTCCATTTGCATGTCCGTGTTATTTGACTTGATTATGAGTACCAAAATAAGCGAAAACATAAATACGCAACAAGAGTTGTTGCGGTAGCTGGTTCACTGGCAGCTGATTCATTGGTAGCTGGTTCACTGGTAGCTGGTTCACTGGTAGCTGATTCACTGGTAGCTGGTTCACTGGTAGCTGGTTCACTGGTAGCTGGTTTACTGGTAGCTGATTCATTGTGGTTCATGTGGCTGAACGTGTCAGGTCTGACGGGCGGGCCGCTGTCATCCAAGTTCGCGCTGGAGCAGTTCCACGCGCACTGGAGCACCACTGAGAAGGTCGGCAGCGAGCACACCATCGACGGCGCCGCTACCGCTGCTGAAGTGAGTCTACTTAATTAAATTTCTCCACAGTGTTGCTGCCCTGTGGCAAATTGGTTTATAATCTCAGCAAGACAACGCATTAGAATTAGAAAATTCGAATTTAGAAATTAGAGAATTAGAATTATTTAGAATTAGAGAATTAGAAAATTCGAATTTAGAATTAGAGAATTAGAGAATTAGATAATCAACAATAGTTGAGTTTCTAATTCTCTTGCTTCACATTGCTCCTAAATTTCTTGTACAATATTTGTCTCTTAAATTCGCCAAACAAGACATGTGTTGATCGTATGTTTGCGCACATTGGATTAGAATTGTCGTGTTGACTTGATAAAATATTTTTCTCTCGCGATCTACGCTGTTACCTGGGCTTTCCCAACACCCTCACCAACGGGCAAATGGAACTAACTATATTGATTGATCCCACCAGCTCGCCGTCTGTTTAACCTCCTGTACTTTTTTCTCAACCCATGTTCGCCATCCCATTCTCTTCCATACCCTGTCAGAGAAATTTTATTCGTTTTTCCATACCCTCGGCACTAACCAGCTGCTGCTGGTTCAATCTGGCAATTTTAATGGACTTTCGCCCGGAGCACTGCAGGCCCTTTGCACAGTAATTTCCTCCTTCGAGTTCATCTGCACTCGGGGACAACACTAAAAACCTGCTTACATAACATCTGCTTGCAGTCTCGGCCACCTTAGCGAAATTTGTCCTCTAATAACTGTACAAAGGTTGGACAAACGTAAGTTTAGGTTCTTAATTTGATGTAATTTTCAGTATACTTTGTGTTCATTACATACTTAATCTCAGTTAAATCCACGTAAATAGGGGAGGTGACTAGGCTTTAGGGATGGGGGGGGGGCGGGGGTCTAAGTCCCCTAAGATATAGGATCATATTCAAGATAATATAAAAAATTTTTCAATTATCTTTACTTGTATTTAGTCCTCATTATATTTAATTTGTCGGAATTTTTTGTATAAAAAATTTAAGACATGAGATTACAATACTTTAAAATATTTCTAATGAGCTACTGGCACAAATGAACCCAAATGGCAATCGTAGCAAGCATATATACACAGTGACAAATATTTTTCTCTGCGAAATCAGAGACTGAATTTTATCAGACTGAGTCAGGAATTAGATTGACCTTCACTAAATAGCTGCTCTATAATTGCTGTTCGTAATTTATCCATAGTTTCATTTTCATTTATGAAACTATACTTTAGAAAATATTCAATTTGAAATTTATTATATTTATATAACTATTGAATATATTCTAATTTTCATCCCATGAAATTTTTACACTGAAGAGACGATGGGAAATATCTTGGACGTTCTATGCGTGTCTCCATATTAAGCGTTTACTATATATAACTTTTACTATATATATAACTTTTTTTATATATATAACCTTCTTAACGCATATCTTTACTGCGTTCCCTTGATCACTGGAGCGCAGATTAGCATGCTTTGAGCCTTGACCTTTATCCCCTCTTTGATCGTTATGAGTAAGTGATCTTTAAATCGTGCACCTGTGAAAGACTTTCCAAGCAATTTGACATTTCTGCTGATTTTTCCAATATCGGATATGCGCATGGGTGAGAAACAATCACGTCCACGAATAAATTATTTCATTTAACCCCGATTATTAATTCTCGATTAGAAGATTGTTAGTAGTTGTGTGAGAATGATAACGTAGCCTCAACACGAACCAGAAATAGGAAGGGCTTTTTTTATGTGCGGGAGTTTGTGTAACCATATGCTATGTTGATAACGACTTTGGTAATATTTATAAAAAAAATAGTAAATAAAAAAAAGTCATATAGCAATAAAAGTAATAATACAATTAATTTTAAATCACCTACTGCGGTGTATGCCAGACAAGTGTCAGAATCACTCACTGACATTTTGCGATCATCACGTGAATTTAACATGACACTGCAGTTGCAGTGTCATGACACTGCAATTTGCAGACACTGCAATTTGCAGTTTTACAGATGGAATAACACTCCATGTGCACAGCTGGAACCACTACACACTAATGTCAGCTGCATTGGTCTGCAAGATGCTATGTCAAGTATTTATCAGAGCAATGTTTTTTGTTGCAACGTTACACTTAAAAAATTAGAGCGCGAGTGCTCGAGGTCAAGCGCAAATTTAAAAATAAAACTTTTAAATCTACTTTCATCCTTTCCGTACACGTATCCGCTTTCATCTCACACTGTCCGTTCACGTGGCATAGAACGGAGTTATATTTCATTGCATTGAATACGTCTTTAAGCAACGGAGTTATATTTCATTGCATTGAATACGTCTTACACATCTAGATGTGTATAAGAGACAGCTAGAAGGACGAAATGAAGTTTCAATTAACTTATGTCTTCCATTATTTAATAATGGAGAATTTTATCCTCTATCTTACTTACTGTTAACAAAATTTTGTATGATCAAATGTGTGGTCACAAATTAATTTTTCCTCTTCTCTCTCAACTCAAAAAATAATAAAATTCCTTTTTCTCCGTGAAGTTTTAATATCTTGTTATTAAAATTAAATAGAATGCGATTATTTTTTTTTACCCGTACAGTTAATGCATTTTTCAAAGAACACAATGCATCAAGTTGCGTGCTGTTTATGCTAGACTTCTCCGACAAGTCCACTCAGAATTTTATATTTTACTCTATTCTCAGCCCAATTAATGAGCAGCATTTCAGTGTAAGTAATTTTATGTCTTCGTTGGTTTTGTTTATTTATATTATAAGCACAATAAATGCATGTAATTTCAGCATTAGTAATTCCATGGCTGATCTTACTTAGTTCTGAGCTTAATTAAGGCTTGTCATTTGTGGCCAAGTGACGCCCCGACTCCTTGTCTTGTACTCAGCAATATTGTGCGTATTGTGCTGGAGACGCTCCCACCTCTCATCTGACGTCACTACAGGATCATCTTGTATTAACTCCTTGATCGGCAATCAATACCTGACGATAGCAAAGTAGAATAAGGGCAAGAGACTAAATAATAATGAAATAAATTCGCTAAAAGTCAACGTTACTACATTGATATAGTTTTCATCGGTCAATCCGTTTCTATTTCGGAACGAAAATTATTGATGTTAAAATGTATATGCAAGGTTGGCTCAACATTTTTGGTGGGGTTGTTGTTCTACTGAATTAACATCTGAGTTAAATTTAACAGAACAATATTAGAAGAAGCTCTTGTATTGCCCAGTCTCACTTGAAAAATTACTAAAAAATCAGTTTCATCACATGATTAATCAAACAAGAGAGAAGAAGTTTCTTCTCACCGCGCAATATTACTGTAGTTGGAGTTTATGACTTCAATGTAAACTCAACTAACACTGCCCAGTAGCGCTATCTCTGACTAGAATGCTGCATAGTTCAAATATTTTTCTTTCTTAAATACTTTCATGTTGGATAATCAGCATAAATTTGTCGGGTCTCTTTCATATGATGTGATGTCTCGTGTAACATATTATCGCTACTTATATAAACATTGGAATGGTTCAAACATAAAGCGTGTACACTGTTTATAACAATGAATTCTTGGATGTGAATAATCATTTTGAAGATTTTTGTGGCATAATTATTGAACATAAATTTCTAACCTAACCTACCCTTGAACTAAACACGGAAGAATCAAATCCTTTTTCTAAAGTTTTATAACAAGTGTTTAACCCTGCATACTGTGCACATAAATGATTGTATTTATGTATGTGTTATTCGCAGTTAAACTCAATGTGGCGCGGATAGATAGCCTCCGTGATTTCAAAATCTATTTTCATTTAATAGACTAATTTACCATAAATATTCATCATTAAAATTTCAACAATTATCCGTCGATACATTTGGTGGCAGTTTAAATTTGTGAGTATTTAAATACGTTTGAATTTCTATGAAACTGGAATTTGATTTTCCAAATCTTAAAGCTCCCTCTTTCCGGATTTACCATGACAAATAATTCCACAACTAAAAGTGAAATTTCACATTCATGTAATCTCGCATCATGACAATTGTTGAATAAACGCGTTCATGAAACAATTATTTAATAATAACGTCTGGCTATAAACCAACTCATTAATAATTTACAAAATAAATAACTAACGACTTAATACATTCAATAAAATAACAGATCGTCATATTATATGCGTCAATTTAACCGCACTTGACGAAAGTGCGGAATGTACGAAGATATTATGTGCCAGACGCTCAATTGATACGATTGAGACGGCCTTGACGCCTGCACTATATAATGTGCACGAGCTCGATTTACTCACAGTACTTATAAAAATGGTGTATAAGTCTAGGTATTGAGCTCCTGTAAATTTGATGATCGTTTGCAAACCAGAAACATAATGACTAATTATACTATAAACATGTGTTTGAGTTGAGAGGCGATCGTTAGACCGAACATTCCCATGTGTAACCCAGTTGATAGCGCGGAATCTTGTTCACAAAAAGTTCCCTAAGTTACGCATTTAAAATCTCTCAATTTACCGTAGTTGGGAATTTCTATAGCATTAATGCTTCGAAACTTATCATAAAGCGTTATGCGAGCTTATATCATTTTTTTAACAAGCTGATTTTTAAAGCGGTTTTCATTGAAACAGATGAACACCTCTAAAACTCTTAGAGATTTGTTTTTTTTTTCAGTTTAACTCTTCATGCTGATTGATTTGCCTCAATAAATCTTGTGAGAGATTTCAATCAATAACATAAACTAGATAAGAACAAACCTCCGAAATATATTTGTTATTTCATATGCTTATATTGCTAAATGTCAGGTGCCTCCTACGATTTTGAAGTGTTCAGTTTATCAGGTGAAAGCACACCATCTCTGGCTCGTCGCCAGACGGCACACGTAGAACCCGAGCCGCAAAGCCCGCTTTGCCGCAGCGACAACTTCATTTCAATATTATTGACTTGTAGCTTATCGTAAACTCTCGTAACAAGTGGAATTGCCTATTGGTCAACTAGCGTTAAATCATTGTACTCTAGCTGCTACTCAAGTGACATTTTAAGCAAAATAGATTTTTTACGTGTTCATTAAAAAGGTATCAAAATAATTTTACCGACTGGCTACGATACGATCTATCACGATGTGAAGCAAGTTTTTCCCGTCACCAGCAATCGTTACTGCTTCACTCGATGCTCGTGATTTGTCCTAAACTTATTTCATCTTAACAAACAACACTTGAGATATACAGAATGACTTCAATCATTATAAATGCACGATGCATACGAATGAATCTATAGTAGTATCGTGTTAGGCGGTTAGAATAAGCATTTATTGTACAAAATACACAGAAAAGGATCTTTTTGCCAAAATTCAGCTGCAACCACCATCTTAATCCAAGTCAGAAAAACAATAAAAAACATTAATATTCATTGCGAGCTAACAGGGCGAAAACCTTTCGTAAACCCGCACTGCCGGAATTAATTACGCTTTAGCGACCTCTTGGGTGAGTCAGGGGTCTTTTCGTGAATAATTCTTGAAAAGATTTTGAAATGATTATTTTCTCCGAAGTGATATTCATACCCGCTTAATTAAATGTGGCGCAAGGCGCTGGTATGTGCGACCCAAACCGTTGTGATTAAGAAAAATTCTTGTTTATGAATTGAAAAACAATTAAGATTAAAAATTATGAATTGAAAAACAATTCATTGTTTATGAAAAACAATTAAGACAAAATCTTGTTGATGAAAATGCTGATAATACCTCATGCAGAACCTTGTTTAAATATTGTCATAGTAGTGAGCAAATCAAATGGGTTTGAAGAACTGAAAGCTTGACTATAATATCACAGTTTTATTTACACAATATATATAATCAGAAATGTGAAAATTAGTTTCACTGAGCAGTTTTTGAATTAAAATGATTCCGTATTCATACATGCACCTTGATTTGTTCCACTTCGGCCAAAAATTGCAATTGGTATATGTTCACAGAAAAAATATAGTATTGATTTCGGTTCATTTTCATTATCCAAACTCCCCTTAAACTTGCCGCCTTCATCGCAAATTTTCCTTGTCTCCAGTACACGCCTCCAAACAATTCAATGAGAGCAAATAAGAGTTTTGGGCTGAGCCTTAATTGTCGTGAAGCAGAGCACCCGTCGCCACCAGACGCTGGGATAATACAAAACAAATCTAAACTTAAAGATTCAAGCATGAACTCCAGGAAATTTGTAAAATGCCATAGTGGTCTTAAATTCTGCTGGTTGAAATGTCAAAGGCCTGAATAAACATATAAAGCTAAAAATTTCTGCCCGAATTTTTCCTAAGGATTTGGCCTTTGGTGGCTAATTTTCTCTGCGCGATGCTCTGTGTGCTTCATTATCAGTTTAAATCGCATGAAATATTTAAGAATAACCCCCAATTATGAGCATTAAACTAGTAAAATTAACTGTGGAAACACTATACCATCACTTAATTTGTCGTGGGTAAGTTGTCAGTCGAGTTGGACTCGGGACTTTGATTTGCTTCTACTGTTAATGTGTTTGCAAGACAATCAATCCGGCCGTTAGACTTATGCACCCTCTAGGTCTAGACCCGAGGGCATCCCATAGTCTGTGATGTTTTCTAAGAGAGAACCAAAATTCCAAACACCTTTGTTGTAAAGAACATTCAAACGCAATGCGTCAACACATAATCTTTCGTTGATCTTAAATTCCCTTATCACGCCCATGTTCTTTAAAATTATTCTTCAGTTGAAAGCCAGTAAATCTATATATATATATATATATAATATCTCATAATGGGAAAAATTTTTCATTTATAAAATAGATTAACAATAACAATGATACACTTCCATACCAAACGTCATTGGAAGAAGTTTGTTTTTAAAAGACGGATGTTCAGAGCACAAAGAGGTCATGACTGTCAATATACCATCAGATTGCCATCATTCAAGCCCTCCTCTCCTTTTCGATGACGTTTTATTGATGCGATGAGGAATAAAAAAAATCAAATAAATAAAAAAATCATGAAAAAAATAAAAAAAATCTTTGGCTAAAGCTTGTGATGAAGCGTCAGAGGCTTGGTGCATAACACTCCTGCTCGGGAATATTGTGCGATGCGTTGGTTGACTCGAGATGTTACATTATCATAGTAACAAGTTATTTAATTAGAATAAAGTGTTGTGTCTAAACTTACGTCTCGTATTCGGGCTTATACCTGCTACACCAAAAATGGTTAGCGAGCTATTACTTGTGGATGATCATTTTAATCCTCTCATTTATTCACTTTCGGTTTAATGTAAATTTGTAGTAGATTTTTGGTAACGATAACGCAATTAACTGAAGGTAATGCTCGACGATCAGGAGGCGTGAAACGAAAAAAGTCCGCAAAAAACGGTTTTTGATTTCATGCTGTGCTCGTATTTGCTTTAATTTTCTTTGTTGAATTTGCTGCAGACAATAACAACATCCAAATACGCTATAAATACGAGGAACGCGGGGCGATGAAAGAGCGCAAGACAGAAAATTAAACTAATGTTTTTTTATCTCTCCACAGAAACGATGTGATCCAAATACGTTGTAAATACGAGGAACTCGGGACGATAAAAGAGCGTAAGACTGGAAATGAAACTAAAATGAAACTAATGTTTTTTTTATCTCTCCACAGAAACGATGTGATCCAAATACGTTGTAAATACGAGGAACTCGGGACGATAAAAGAGCGCAAGACTGAAAATGAAACTAATGTCTTTTTTATCTCTCCACAGAAACGATGCCTTGCAAGATCTTTCAAAGAGCCACAAGCTGCTCTGTACATCATCGTCAAAGCAGCGGACTATTCAAAAACTTTGGGGAAAAATTACGGTAGAAAGGCGCGTAAACTTTCCTACAATGAAACCAAGTATCGATTTGATGATCTCTTCATACATTAATCGGATTTCAATAAGTGAAAAAGAAGTCAATCCTAAAACTCATATTTTGACGTCATAGATCAAAAATTCATATCCAGTTTCATATAAATTTCGGTGATTAAATTTGTCTTCGGGTAAAAGAAGTTCGAAAGTGACCAGTTTTTTTATTTATCTGAAAAAATAGCTCTTTTGAGATGAACTGCTTCTAACAACAGAAGCAGCGTAAGCTTGGACAGTTCATCATGGCTAAAGAAGTTTGGAAGTGCCGAGTTCTTCTATTTATTTAGAAAGAAAACTATTTTTAGATGAATTACTTTCTAACATCAAAAGCAGCGTAAAGCTTGGGCAGTTCATCATGGCTAAAGACTGCGTCGAGGCGCTGATGTGGATGTTAGCTGTGTCTTCGCTGACGTTCGAGAGCAGCAGCTTCATGCAAAAGAACAGGAAGACGGCGCTGCTACAAGGGGACATCCTCATCGGGGCTCTCGTGTCTGTGCACCATCAGCCCAAAAAGCAGTTCGTGAAGACGCTTACTTGCGGAGAGGTGAGTACCTTCTCGAAGTTTTTTGTAAGCAGCACAGGGTAGAAAAAGTAACGTACATTCTTGCGTTTTGATTGGTGATGATACCCATTCCTAAGTAAAAAATAATTAAGTCCCACCAGGCAGATGACAGAGAAAAAACGTTTTATTAATGTTTTAAAAGAATATTCAACGATAATTCATAGTCAAATCTATGGTGAGTCAACGGATTTTTAAAGTTAAGACATTTTTACCTTACTTTGATTGTGATGCTGGGGAACACCAGGTTCGCATGAATTAACTGTTGTCATAAATAAAAGTCTTTTCTGGTCAAGATATACTTTATATCTTACACCACAACACAACTATAAAAACGAGCAAGGTTACAAAGTCCGTTGAGGCTATCTGGAACAAAACATAAACACGCAGAATAGAGGGATCCTTACTGTCCGCTCTCTAAAATCCGAATGAAATCCGAATGAAACACTAGTCAGCAAAACTACGATTCTTTCTAAAACAATCTTTCAACTTTTACATCCTAATTGAAATACATCCTTTTCCTATACACTATACATCAAAATAATACACATTGTTTACCTCTTAATAATTAACCTAGCCCTCTACAGTGAAGCGATGAGATCCAGCCGGACTAAAAAATATGGGAATTGTCGCATAAATTACATATTTTAACGGACACTTCAGTTTCAAATTAGTTTCATTTCAGCAGGATATACATGGCGCTGTGCCGGAGAACGAACACAAGTTTTGCATAATTTCAACGGTTTGCTTTTCTCTCTCTCCATTTCTTAAGCTGCATTAAAATATTCATTGCCTAATAAAGTCATCTTATGAAAACGGTAAAGAAAAATACTCCCTATAGCCAGTTAAACAATTCATGCGTTTGAGCACATTAACGGAAACCAACTTTAGCGAGCAGGAACGCGGAAAATTTGAATATAAATTTTTATATTTTTACATTGGAAAAGTGAGAAGATGAATAAATTGCTCTATAGTTCATGGTAAGGAAATTGGTTATCGAGTATACCCTAAATTGACGTGTAAATCCATTTGACAGAGTCAGAGAAATACTTTATAACATGAATTATTTATTGAAGTGATTATGGATAATTTCAATAAATATAAAAATCATTTAACAATAATCCGATCCAACAAAATTTTTAGAAATGATCAGTAACTATACAGATAGCACATGAGAACATTAAATAACGTCAATTGCTCGGGAACGTGGCTTCTAATCACAGCTTCTTGTGAAATGAATAAGATGACTTTAGCGAAGGCGAAACATTGCTTAATTCGGGAGCATTATCATTTCATAGACTGTTACATTTTCTAAGAAAATCCCTCTCACGTAATTTACTTTTTACTAGAAAACGTCAGCGAAGCCAATTTTTTCTTCAGAAGTTCCTTCTCCGTTCTAAACTACTCCATTTTAATTTTTTCACGCAGGTAAATACAACACAAATTGGTCTTACTGAACTATCTCTTGAAATGATATTCGTATGTTTAAGACAAACCATGAAGGAGATTTCCAATACTACATATTGAACATATCACAAATTGTGTCCACATTACTATCACGATATGTGAATATTATATTGGTTTTTGGATGCCGAAAAGGAATTTATAGCAGAACTATACTACGTATATCACTGCGTCCGTGCCTGCGGAACATAGAATTGTTTTTTTCCACATGTAGTAGAAAATTTTTAATACTTATTGTCAAATTCACAGGGAAATTATTGCCTGAAACTTTGCATTATTTCTCTTCAGCTCCCAAACTAACTCTCCGCTTCCCGCATTCTATTCCCATTCGACGTCATCTCAGAATACTTGCGAGAAGCGATGGCATTACTCTTGGCCGGTCACTGGGGCTCAGAATTTCCGTACTGGACTTTTGCACCAAATTTGAAGTTTTCTAGTTCCTTGCCAATGGTACAAGAAACTGAGCAATTTCTCAAATATTATTTCTTCAAACAGAATTATATATACGAATTTTTCTAAACATTGGTTTAATATCTAGAGCAGAGCGATTATTTCGCGCAATACTTGAAAAAAATATACTGTATTTTTACTTAATTATTCTTTCACATACATGAAGTCTAAAAATTGCATCACATCAAGAACAATTGCTTATTTCGTCTTTAATAATTTTTAATCGACTACCTACCATCTGAAACGTTGTTAAAACATTTTTTAACAATCAATTTTTGTCCTCAAGACATTCAATTAATTCTCATTTCAAAAGTTTTTGGGAAGATCCTCCTTACTTACTTCAAACACATAAATAAATTCTTAATAATCGTACAGCCATGAGTAATATTTTAGTAACACACTCGGCTGGGTAGCCCATAAAGAGTAAAATAGTCTCATGAATGAATTCAGACGACCCCCAAACGCCCGTATAAACCACGGGAATATCCCAGTAATGTACAAGTTGCTGCACTTTTGCGGCATCTCTCAATGTCAGATCCAATGCATTACAGGGTCAGCGCTGCTGCATTTGGCCTGGCCGTTTCTCACCTCGCGAATTTTTGGGCGAGTCTATTTTTTCTTCTAAAAACACAGACACTCGCATAAGAAACGAGCCCGCCTCGCCCCGCTATGTAGTGGGCAATATTTCGCGATATTTTTCACTTAAATTCAGATCAACCGCAGCTTTGGATGCCTCACCAGAACTCGCCTTGGAAATGAAGCTGAGATATTTGTCGGTAATTTTTTCGCACAATTTATATTGGCAGGATGTTATTCAACTTGTCGAACTTTACGAACTCGATTAGTATAACACTTATTTCCTGAGAAATAAATGACCATATAAAATGTGGCACCAAAACTTTATATTTGAAAGCTGTTATTGAATTTATGGAAGTAGAATCGCACATGATACATCAGAGATCTACTTGCAATAATCAACAAGTGGTAAAGCACTTTAAAGTTATTTTATTGATCATTTAATAACATATGCTAAACCTGCGATATGTTGTTGAAAAACATTGCTTGATAAGAAATTGCATCGTATTAATTCTATTAATTAATTTGATCACTGTATTTTTTCCATCGAAAATCAACAAAACTCAATGAATTACACTATTTGTGCGCTCCAACACATACGTGCTGGTAATCTCTGCGAGAGCAAGCCAATTTTATCTCGAATACCTGAGGTCAGAGCGACGTCTTGCGCGGCTCCCACAGCTCTGCATGCTGCGATGGTCGTTTTTTGGCCCCGCCACTTTAGCCCGTGTAAAACCCCTAATGACGATGCGTAGTTTGTTTTGATGTGCGTTTTTTGTTAAACTTTACAAAGGTTTAAAAGTTGTTTAGCAACACAGTTGCCCCTTTCTAAGCTTTAAACTTATTTTTCATGGCGTGGCTGCATATGAAAGTTAGGCTGTAAAGCTTTTGAGAATTCGTCTAAAGTTTGATGGCTGCAAGGAGTAATGGTGGTCGTGGAGAGATAATGCTGGTCCAGTTGAGTGCTAACAAATATCGTTTATCGCGGTTGGTTGTACGCCAGAGAGTGCAGAGACACCATATACCACTGATAGTTTATTTCTTTATTTATTTGAATTAAAGACTCGCAAAATTTCACAGCATGCACTGGTCAAAGCCTGTTTGAAAAAATATAACTCGAGCAAAATATTTTGAATATAGATTTGAGGCAGGTATAAATAATCCCTACAATGTGTTATCTAACGTATACTGTAACTGGCATCCGATCTAACTTAAAAATATATATGAATTCGGCAAAATGAAAAATCGAATAACCGAAAAATGAGAACCTGGTCACAAGAACTGAAGCATCAAATTGCACTATTACAAAAAGTCTATGGAAATAACTCGATAGAAATTAACAATGTATCGCTGACAATACACAAATAAAAATGACTACATCCATAATCGCAATAAATTTTATTATGAGTTGACTAGTCGCTGACACCGACGACGACTTTTTATCTCAATTTAAAATACCCTACAAACTATGAAGGGAAATTTAAAAATTAGCAATTAAAATACTTTATATTAATTACAAAAAGTCAGTGAATAAATTAAAGATCTTGTTGTGAGAGGACTTTCAACATACACCGTCTATGGCAACCAATCAATAGTGGCGAAAGTTAAATTATATAAGTTCAGATTAACTTTCTTAGGCTTCACAATCAGGTTCCATTAGTTATCACTGAGTTCATTTAGCAGACGAAGCTTTATCAACACCAAGCTCTCTTTATTCAAGGTAGATGCGAGAAATTTTAAAATTTTTCCAGAAAAGGAAACTCAAGAATTTGCCAGTTCGCACATACAAGAAGAGAAAAATACGACGTATATACAACAATATTATCCTAGAAGTAAATGACAAATTCAGCCAGAAGTCTGAATAATAAACTTATATACTATATGCAATACACATACAATGGATTTTGCACGCCAAAGTATAAATACTCTAAAAATAAAGCGACTGTAAAATACTCTAAGCGACGGAATTTAAATCAAACAAACTCTGAACTTTAGTATAAGTACTAAATTCACAAGAGTAAATGCGTTTCTGTGCAACATAAGAATGGCTATGAAAATGTGAGTAATAAAAGTCTGCGGCAATTCGTTCCAATGTTTCAATACATATTTTAATTGGGAATGCTTCTATAGATACATAACTCTTGTGCTTCATCTTACCACAATATATCAATTCATTCCAATAATTTGTTACAAAAATTTTCATTTGAAATTTTCAGCTATTTGAATAATTTATTTTCAATCTATAGCAGGAAAGTTATAAAAACCAATTTATAAGTTTATTTTAAAAGCTGCAAATTTAATATGCTGACTTAATATATATCAAATGCAAAGATACGAAGGATCAACAGTTCAACACACGCAACGCGTGTATATTAAATGAGACCCTCCATGAAAGACACAACTAATGAGAGAGTTGCTGTCTCATTACAAGCTCTTTCACAAAGACCAGCTCGGAGGATTGCTCGGCATGTCTTAGGTTTTGTGTGGGCGCTCTCAAGCGCGTTCAAAAGAATGCAACTCGCCAGTCTCCACCAGTGCTCTGCTCTCGGTTGTACGCTCTCAGGTATGACGTGACTTTTCGTTCTCTTGAAATGCCATTTTTTTATTACAAGTTGTTGAGGTCAAGTTTGGGATTAAAAAGCATGGAAGAATAAGATTTGTTTTCAAATTAAAATTTTCAATAAAGTGACAACGAGTTAGATAGGTGACATATGCAATCCAGACAAGCTAATAACGGTTGTAATATAAAGTTAAATATTGCACGTTCATTTCAAATAAATTAATACAAGAATATTTTGACAAACAATTCAAATTGAATTCCAAGCCCCCTATAATTGTTCAACTTTATGAAGGCATCATATGGAGGCACGACTCGACCACATGCTCAATCAAAAATTCTTTAGTAGCTTTCGGGATTTATCCTGGGTTCTTAAAAAGTGACAACGAGTTAGATAGGTGACATATGCAATCCAAACAAGCTGATAACGGTGGTAATATAAGGTTAAATATTGTACGTTCATTTGCAGTCTCCTCTGTTGATGGATCTTCTGTAAAGCGCGAGATGAGTCTACAGTGCATGACCGAAGTCATTCTCGTTATTACTTATTATTTTGTAGTACGTCCGCTTTCTCCAAAATGTAAAGTATAACTAATGAATAATAATCTATAGTTAGCTTAAAATCTGGAAATGAGACAAGATAATATCATAAAGAAAACAAACAACAGCGATTAGAACGAAAAGTTAATTCAAACTGAGAACATCATCGGATACTTTATGTAGTCAGTTGGAATCGTTGTTGTTCTTATGTTGTTACTACCACAGCAAACTAAGGAAACTACAAACTAAGGATATCATGTTTGTCTCTCCAAGTTTTCACGTTAAGTGAAAGCACTTTAGATATTGGAATAATTGGAAAAACTCCGATTTGAAGACATCATGAAACAGTAACTATATGTGCTTCATCCGTCTCAACACCTTTACTTGACACTTGTTTGCAGTAGGAAATACTGCAGCAATCGTTTCGTCGACATCTGCAAGAATGTTGCTGCTGCCTTAATTTGTGTTGCACTTCCAAATTCTAAAATTTAAACTTTTTGTAAAGTATTGTGAAATGAGCACGATATTTCCGAACATTTCGTATGTTCATTTCTGCTCTTGATCTTATATGATCTCAATTTTATTCAGTGCATTGCTAATTTTCAGACTCTCGATATTATTTTAATCATTTAAAGTTATATCATGAGTAGCAAATCCCAACAAATTAATTACTTCAAGAATATTTTGACAAACAATTTAAATTGAATTCCAAGTCCCCTATAATTGCTCAACTTTATGAAGGCATCATATGGAGGCACGACTCGACCACATGCTCAATCAAAAATTCTTTAGTAGCTTTCGGGATTTATCCTGGGTTCTTAAAATTCTCCAAGTTCTTATCGCGTTAAGCATGAAATATGGCTTGAACCTGAGGGCAAAGCTGTGAGGCTCAATGTGTGCCCGTACAATTTAGGGAAGAACTGTGGGAAACTAAGAAAAATTCGAGAGAGAAATGTGATTGACGATCTCGTATAACTGCATTGATTGCGATTGGTGAAAAATGACGTGCATTGACATCTAATTTGGGCGAGAATTTTCCCAATTGATGTTGGGTTCCGTGTTGTTTCAGTCCGTCTATATTCTTATAATACTTTTCTTTGGTATTTTCCCGATTTGGCGGTGGTTGTTTTTTGTGAATTTTATATTATTCGAGTAAAAATTATCAACTATGAATAGAGAATTATTTTAGTGAAGGCTAGTTGGGTTCATCTATTTATAAGAAGAGTTATTCTTTTATATATAGACGAGTTTTGATTTCCACGCTTTTGCTTGCACTTAGTACAAACATTTCTCGACAACAAAATTGTTCGCCTCTGTTGACAATTGCCTCTGTTGACTATTCAAGATGTCAAGTAAATATAATTTTATATCTTGTCTTTTGGCAGTTTGAATAATCTTCGAGGTAAGTCTCAAAAAATTCGCTTGACAAAATTTCGTGAAAAATGTTACGAAATGTTGTTCTTCTAAGAAATTTTATTAAAGCGTTAAGTTACTCGTGCTTTTCGAGCAACAATTCGCAAACGCGTGATGTTTAACGAAATAGATTCTTTTGCGTTTGCGGTCTGATGAACCCATAGTTAAATTGAATATATTTGACCTAAATCCATCATATCAAAAAATATATATCATATCATGCCATCATCATCACAATTTTCTCTTGCTCGATTTACACAAATTTCCGCTATCAGTACTTTATGCCTCTTTAGGCCGTTTACTAGACATTAACCTCGTTATAGGCTTACTGCTGCAGTATTTTTACGGTACACTATTAAATTTTTATAACAAAGTAATAGCGGAAAATGTTAAATCTTTTTTACCGCCCTGACCGTCTCCTTCGGCGTTAACTAAAAGCATGAAGTTTATCTAGCTCATTCCTGCCTTATCGAGCGAACGAACTCAGCAGATGGTAAACTTGTATTCGTCAGTTCCATCGCATACTTCTACATCAACATCTTAACCAAAATTTCCATAAAATCGCCACAGTAACCAGAATTTGCAATAATGCTGACCCTGACCCAAATTTAATACATAGGTGAAATATCTCCCTAATATTTCAATCATCCCGATGTGTACCTCCAGCATTGAAAATTGTAGTTGCCTCCTATATCAACATCTTAAACATATCCCATATCAACATCTATATCCCTATATCAAAATATCATTCTTAACAAAAATTTCCATCAAATCATCGAAGAAACCAGAGCTTACGATAACGCTGACCCTGACCCAAATTTAATATATAGGTGAAATATCTTCTTAATATTTCAATCATCCCGATATTTACCTCCTACATTGAAAATTGTAGTTGCATCGACTCATTGCCGCCCACTATAATTCTGATGGGAGCGAGGCGAATTTTTCAGAAAGAGTTACGTTCATATCGTCCGGCTAGCATGCGCGACGCCGCTGGCCTGTTTCCACAACCTGGATTATGTAGATTTTAATTTTGACAGGAGAGATTAATCACATACACTGCGCCAGCTTCCGCAAATACGCTCGCTAAAATTACCTGGATAATTTATGCGCTTGACGAAATGAGTGTTGTCGCAATTATGGAGAGTGTGATGAAATATTAGCAATGAATTCGGAAATTTTAATATTTTAACTTAATAAACAATTAAATTAGTTAATAGTGCCATTAGAATTATGAATACTTTAAACTTAATATCAATAATATTTAATTCAATATAGATATTTAATTTATTATTAATAATACTCAATTTTATAATTATAATATTTAATTAAATATTAATCAGTATTCACTATACTGATTTATTCTGAGCCAATTTTGAATCACAAATCTAGATAATGTTATCATTTCTTGTCAGATCCGGGAACAGTATGGCATCCAGCGCGTCGAGGCAGCGTTCATGGCGGTTGACGAGATCAACCGCAACCCCGACCTGCTGCCCAACATCACCCTGGGCATCGAGATCAGGGACTCCTGCTGGTACTCCTCCATCGCCCTCGAGCAGAGTTTGGGTTAGTTACCCCTGCAGGCGAGGATTGGTGTGCGTGTCCACATGCTTCTGTTCAGTACTGCCGTAGAAAGTGATACGTAAATGACAAACTCCTCTGGGATGTAATGTTAAAAGAAGGTCAATTCGATGTTTGGGGACTTAAATGGTGCCATGTACAATGCTGAATACTATTAAGAATTTGACCAAAGTGATGAAATGCGAGTAATTTCAGCGAAAAGGTGAAAAAAGATAATAAGATGTTTGAAAATCAGCTAATAGGAGAGTTTACTGCATATGCACTCCGTCGACTCGTCCATCCCAACAAAAGCGGACACAAAGAATGTCGGAGCAAAGTAGGGATTCCAATCCTAGTGAATTTCAGTTCTGTAATCGTTGACACTAAGTTAGAATCTCCAATTTATAGATACTAAGGTGATTTTTTATTAGTTTAGTAGACAATTTATTATGTTATGAATTATGAATTTATTGTCGCAGACATTTCGTTTTTGACAAACGAAAGTTCTGAAGTCAGCTTGAAAGGCTTGAATATGAAGCTCGAGCAAATTAAATGTGTTAATTTTTGGTCTAAGCATTTTTGATTGAAAAAAGGCTTTTAGCTGCTACTATATAGTGCTAATTGTGATCCACTTAAGAGAGAACAATTTCGTAACTCGTTAAAAGCTCGGTAATTAGCTCACACGCTCTTATAATCTTGACAATCGGACTAGATTTTGCCGTGAGACTCCGTGAGACTTAATGAATAAGTGATCTTTTCATATAATTACAATTAATTTATTGTTGAATTTTCACTATAAGTTTTTAGCCTGAAATAACACTTTTTATTTCACAAATTAACCAAGCATATATGCCATGTATACCTCATTTGTTCGTCACAAAAATCATTTGAAATCCTCTAACGCAAGTATTGTCTAAAAATGATATTTCTGCCTTTTTCCAAACTGAGTTTGATGCTTGGTTGTAGTTCGTTGGACCATCTATTAAACTGAAATGAGCTTTCATCGAGAATTTGAATAATGATCTGCCACCATATACCGGCGTTAAAATACCAAGCCCAGAACCCCTAAGTTCCTCAGTAACCCGTTTGACTAAAGTCCTTTTCCAATGTACAAAGACTTCCGACACAATTCAGTGTGTGCTCACAGTTTTTCTCGACGACAACCGTCTCAACTTTCTGGATGAATTAACAGTGGGATTGCGTTGCTCGTAATTGCAACTCATCGATGTCGTCCTCTTCAGAATTAACAGTTGGTCTTGCAGTACCCGTAATTTCAACTTATCGATGTCGTCCTCTCCAGAATTAACAGTTGGTCTTGCAGTACCCGTAATTGCAACTTATCAATGTCGTCCTCTCCAGAATTAACAGTTGGTCTTGCAGTACCCGTAATTGCAACTCATCGATGTCGTCCTCTCCAGAATTAACAGTTGGTGTTGCAGTACCCGTAATTGCAACTCATCAATGTCGTCCTCTCCAGAATTAACAGTTGGTCTTGCAGTGCCCGTAATTGCAACTCATCGATGCCGTCCTCTTCAGAATTCATCCGCGATGCCTTATCAGACTCGGACAGCTGCGGAGGCAGCGGCGGGCACGACGACTCCAGGGGCTTCATCCGCCCAAACCGCACGAAGAACATCGTCGGGGTCGTTGGCCCGGGTTCTTCTGCCGTTACGATACAGGTTTAGGAATCTAATAATTTTTTCGTTCCCATTAACTTTTTTACTCACCGGAATGTTTTTTATCTCCTGCATTTAGAATACATTTTGTTAAGTCGTTTTAAACTGATATTGTTGAATTAGGGTTTTTTGTGCTTATTTTCACGTCTCAATTGATGTTATTGTCATTTAATCAGGAAACTGTTTTATTTTGTAAAATTTCTTGGAGGTTCAACATCGGTAAAGAAATAAACATATTAAATAAGAGGCCCATCAGCCTCAGAAATGTTTCAAGTCGATTCCAGTAACTGAAAATTTCTTTGTATAAATTTTGAATTTGATAACGTAACATCGGAAAAAATCTTGAGCTAAAATATGCGGACATCCAATCCGCTTCTTTGTGGATTGATTTTGGTTCTGCTTAATTTTGAGCTTTTTTAAAAATTATATTTATAGGCCACGAGGGTTTTGATCGCCGACTTTTTATCTTTTCAATCATGCCAGGCGGGATTGTTTTTGAAAAGCCTACTTCCAACAGTCAACAATTTCGAACAAATTTTTGGGGAAAAAACAAGAACGCACACTAAAAATAATAAAAACAATCTTTATTTGCTGCAGAATTTCACTAATAAGTCTTGTATGTAATTATGTTTATTTTGAGACATGATGCCACCGTGCTCTGTCAACCAATTTTTGCAAAATAATGTCTTTTAATTTCCTAACCGTTTCTTTCCTTTTTCAGCGTAAAGCTTCATTCAAGTACGTATATAATTATTTTACATCGCAAGTTCACCAGGAATTTTAAAGCAAAGAAAATGTTAATTGTTTGCTTTAAAACGCAGAGAATTAAAAGAAATTACTTTTTTAATTAATGTTAACCATAGAGTTAATAAAAGTAAATTCATCATATCGTCATTGAAATAGTTTCGTCGACAAGCTCATCAGTTCCAAAAACTAATGATGAGCTAAATTATTTTTCAACTGATGATAGAGATTGTTTCCGAAACGTTTTAATGGCGAATTATTAAATTTACTTGGCTTTTCTTTGCTTTAAAATTCTTGGAACGCTTCGTTTTCTTTTCAATGTCTTATCTAGAGTAACGAGATTCAGTTAGGTGTAAAGTTATTAAAAGCCATAATATTTCATCCTAGAAATAATCTTCGTTTGCAGGTTCAAAATTTACTGCAGTTATTCAATATCCCGCAAGTTGGCTACTCGGCGACTTCTTTGGATTTGAGCGATAAAAGTCGATTTTCCGATTTCCTGCGAGTGGTTCCATCGGATTACTACCAAGCCCAGGTCATGGTTGACATCGTTCACTATTACAACTGGACCTACGTCTCGACGGTCTACACTGATGGTGAGCAACAGTTATCTTCTGTTCGCTTATCGTTCTCTATAAGAACTATACGTATGTCTCGACGGTCTACACTGATGGTAAGCACCAGTAATATTCTGTTCACTTATCGTTCACTATTACAACTGGACCTACGTCTCGACGGTCTACACTAATGGTGAGCAACAGTTATCTTCTGCTCACTTATCGTTCACTATTACAACTGGACGTACGTCTCGATGGTCTACTCTGATGGCAAGCAACAGTTATCTTCTGATTCTGTTCACTTATCGTTCAGCATAACAACTGTCGGATGTCTCGATGGTTTGAAGGTGAGCGACAGTTATCTCTTGTTTGCCTTCGGCAAGCTTTTCGAGCTCCACTCTGTTCGCCTCGGTAAACACGACCGCCTCTCCGGCCTACACGCCCAAGATTTGCTGCCGTTTAAATCTACTGCCATATACAGAATGAACTGAAATATTCAGTCCAGTGTAAAAATATTAGCATCTTATACAAAATAACTTTTTTAATATGGAGATGTCAATAGATACCAACTCAAATTTTTCAAATAATCGAAAATGATCACGTAAAAATCTGCATATTCAATTATAGAAATGGAGTATGGGCGAGCATGTTCTATTATGACGAACTGATGATTGTTTATGAATTCTACGATGGGATCTAAGTAAGTAATTTATTTATTAAGGTGATGCTAACACATGTTTAAGACTCAAGTTAATTTGATTCAAACAATATTATTGTTGCGCAATTAAAGAGAGTGACGACATTAATGTATATTTATTAGTCTATTTATATTATTTATTAATTGTACATACATCGTCTCAGTTTTGGTTGTACACACATCGTCACAGCTTGGTTGTACATACATCGTCACAGCTTGGTTGTACACACATCGTCACAGCTTGGTTGTACAGACATCGTCACAGCTTGGTTGTACAGCTGTCTCTTATACACATCTAGATGTGTATAAGAGACAGGTGCATGGCTGTGTGCTACCTCCTATAAACATTGGCGTTTCCTTTCTCTAATCTTAAATATCATTGAGGCCTGTTACTTCTTAGAAGATATTAACATAAGTTTTGGGTGTAAAAATTACTTCTCGTACTGACAACAGCAATCCTGCTATTGGTGGTCCAAATGCTTGTGACAACTTCACGATATGTTCCGTAGTTTGGCTGCGCCTCCTGAAGAATTTCCGATACAAGTCGTGCGCAATCTTCGCCGGCCAAGAAAAATGGACCAATTCTTCTAATTGGTTGAGGCTCTGCCGTATTGGAGGTCTCGCGAGCCTCGTTACACTTTTTTGGTCACCAAAGATTAGCGAAGACTTATTTCCGAGATGCTGGGAACGGCCGGATCCTTCAGGAGCTTAGGTTATAACTTTTCATTCCAATGTAAAACATTGAAAAAACTTGAAGCGAACACATGAGTTTGCTGTCACTCCAAGCTTTTGATAGAATCTTCCATTAATTTTGCCAGAAAGAATCTCATGAAAAATTGGATCCGTTGAATCGGTGTTTTTTGGACGCATTATTTTAGTACGAAAATAACAAATACAAAACAAATTCAAGAAAGAGCATTTGTTTCGCCATTTTTACTCTTACTCATTTTGGATCTAAATTTCTTTTTATCTATGGGAATCGGTGTGCGTAGCTGCTTGAGGCTTTTTCTGCCTGTCACCCTGTGTGCTCATGTCAAAACTATTAGCATGTCAACAACTTTGAATAAGTAAACGCGCATAACTCTAAAAAGTTCATTAACTTCCCTCCGAAACCTATTGTTGCTGACGGTTATTTTCTCTTTTTTCCAACGGTCACGTGTAACAAAGTGAAGACGTGACGTATTCATTTAGTACGAAAATATCCAATACAAAACTTCAGTATTTGAGACATCATTGCAGCAAAAGTAAAATCTTCCTTTTTTAGTTCAAGAGTTTGTTCCGCCATTTTTACTCATATTCGTTTCGAATCTAGATCTTTTTTTAGTCAATGGGAATCGAGGTGCGTGACTGCTTGAGGCTTTTCTGTCTCTCACCCTGTGTGCTCATGTCAAAACTATTAGCATGTCAATAACTTGGAATAAGTATACGCGCATAACTCCGAAAAGCTCATTAACATCACTCCGAAACCTGTTGATAGTGACAATTATTTCCTTTATTTTCCAACGGTCACGTGTGACAAAGTGAAGTCGTGAAGTACGTTTTACTTTACCTTATCGTGTTCACATCAATATGGCCGAAGAAGGGTCGAAGCAACTAAGCTTCTTATCTATACTCTATTTTATACTCGCCGGGAAACAAAGGCTGACCAATTTTACGGTGTCACGCTGACGTGACATCATGTGTAGCCGCACGCAGGTTACCTCGCTCCTCTATAAGTAAGCCAACCTCACGCAATATATCATAAATTATGTAAACTGTTAGCTGAAATACTCCTTTCAAACGAAAAGGTAATCCTTTGATCATGTAATGTGGTGCTGATGTTTTTCTTTGAATTTTATTTTAGGTAAAACTAGTTCTTATTATAAATCTATGCTTGTGTGTATGCCTTTGAGTAACGTTTGAGGCACACGTAGTGAATATTTTCACTCAAATATGCGCTACTTAATTGATAGTACATAATAATGAGAATATTTACTCGCTTTTCCAATCAAAATTATTACGCATAACACATCGCTAACTGTGTTGCTTAGTAATTCCATCTTCTTCGTAATATTTCGTGTTTTCTTCTTCTATTATGTAGCACTTCTTGGTGCTCAAAATTTGTTGATTTCCTCATAAAATTGTATTTGTATGAGAGAGGATTTGTAAATTTCCGTTTATATGGCATCTTTCTTTCTATTTAATCAATTTCTCAAGAAATTCCTCTAGAATATCCATCATTTTGATTTTCCTAAACAGATATCTATTTTTTCTATTTCTATAGGCAATTACGGCCAGAGCGGCATGACGGCGTTCAAAGAACTTGCCGAAGAATCGAACATTTGCATCGCTGAAGAAGAAGAGGTGTTGTCCAATGCCGAAGATCATGCCTTCGATGACGTAAGTCGATAATTGATATCTTCGCTTTCGATCATCAACAATCATATCATCAGCACTATTCGCTAATATGGAATCATAACCTTTTCATGTCGTTCTGATTACAGATAAAACGTTATTCCTAGTTATATTGACATGATTTTAAATTTTTGTAGTACGGGAGTCAATCAATTTCAGTTTTTTTTTTCAACCATTTGTGGAGATTTTTCAAGCTTTCCACAATCGCAGCTATTGACTATGTAAATTCTGTTTAGGAAACTCATGAATTTTCACTTTACGACGAACTGTTTGTTGTTTCAAAGGTGATTAAAAACCTAATGGAAGCGGAGCAAGCTAACGTCGTGATCTGCTTCTGCGAGGGTATGACCGTGAGAAATCTCTACCGGGCGGCTCAACGGAATAATGTGACGTCGAGATTCCTCTTCATTGGAAGGTCAGTGTATTGTGTGAATAAGTTTCCATATCAAGTCGGTGTTCGTTCAGAAAGTCTACCAGAACTCAAGCTTCCTTATTTTGTTTGCATAATGTGAGCCTTGCGCTAGTTCCTAATAGAATCTCAAAGGGAGGCTTATGCTCCTCTGGATGATAATCTCGTGAATGGCGAATGGTGCAGAAAGTGAATGGTGCATCACTTTACGGCATTCACTTTCTGAGCAGAATTTCGTCTTTCGCGTCGTATTTTCAAGCTGAAATTCCGAATCAGATATATAAACAACATTAAAGCAAATGTACGCAATAAGCCTCGCATTCTTTTCCGATATCGGTTCCTTGGTTTGGGCATCGTAAGACAGTCACCGCGTTCTATGAGGAAATAAGTTTTCTTGTATCAAAGCTCATGGAATTCTAATGGTAAACAAGACATTGAAGAAAGAGGGAAAATACTACAGCCCTTATTTGGGACGACAAGCCGAACGTTGAGCTCAAGGGTATTGGAGGAATTCTGGACGTTATTTACATTTAGTGTCCAGCGTTATTTTATCTCCCATTCCAGCGATCTCCTTCACAAGCAAATGATCCGAAACACTTCCATTTATTGAAGGCAGGCTTCTTCTCTTGTACAAAAACCGTGTTTTGTTCTTTAATACTGTCCGATGTAGTCTGTGAAATTTTTTTATTTTTTTACAATGCAAATATCTTGCTACATTGAATTTTGTTATTCAAGTTTGAATTGGTGCTTGATTGGTCATTCGATTCAACTGGAGTCTCCAGCAATCCCGGTTTAATTGAAAGACGAACCTTTCCCTCGTTTTGTAGCCTCTTTGCTCCCATACCCACTAAATCGAGACATGCGATGTAGTGCACAAACACGTCTCATCGCTTTCCCCTCAAATTGCAGCATCCTTTGTGCTTCGTGGTCTGTCCGCGACACTCAGTGTTGTTTTCCATCCGAGCGATGCAACATATTTTCGGTCTCTTTGCGCGCTCAGTTTGTGTCGGTCATTCATTTGGTGACAATGAGAAAAAGTGATCTACCTCGGCTTAGGGTGCTTCTAGATACAACAACTTTCTTATTACAGCGTCAGGATAAATCTGGTCACCAATGAAGAAATAGGACGAATAGCAAATATTTTTTATCGGATGGGCCAGAAATTCGAGACTGGAATCACTTTGTGTGGAAATGCCTCAATATATGTTTTTCCGTCATATATGATGCATTCTCGAAATGAAAACAGCAAAACACAAGTTATATATTTAGTGAATGAATAGCTTTATTATGCGACACAACTTTGTGTTAGGCAGTTATTAAAAAATCTGCCTTCCTGCCTTTCTCAAAGACTGGTAAACTGTAATTTTCATTTTTCCTTTCGTATCATTATTTCAGGATTAACATTTCCCAAATTTTTTTCCATTCATTTTCAGTGATGGCTGGGCGGACCGGACTGACGTTGTCGATGGGCTTGAGGAAATTTTTATTGGCGGAATTTCAGTCAAGATTAAAAGTCCTTATGTAAAGGACTTTGATAAATACTATTTTGCCTTGAGACCCATGCAAAACTTGAGGAATCCTTGGTTCGAAGAATTCTGGCAGCACAAATTCAACTGCTCGCTTCCAGTCAAGGAGACATTAGCGGGCCTGCCGCCTTGCACTGGTAAGTCCCAGCCAACGCATTCCAATAAAACAATATTCCGGTTAAAGTTAGGAAACCTGCTGTTAATACAAAGCAAGTTGAAAACAGAGAGTGCACCGTTGTTGATTATTGATTGGCGATTAAAGAACGTTATAACTGGAGCTGCTGTTAGCCCATGACATGTCCGGCCTATAGCACGCTTACGAAGTATATGTCACTTCAAGAAGCAAGAATAAAGCTTATCCTCCTCATAGTGACTGGCCTCCAATCCAATGAGATCACCTCTCATAATAAATAAGATTAAATCAATATGTTATGCACTGGTAAGTCCCAGCCAACGCATTCCAATAAAACAATATTCCGGTTAAAGTTAGGAAACCTGCTGTTAATACAAAGCAAGTTGAAAACAGAAAGTGAACCGTTGTTGATTATTGGTGGCCTGCAAAGAACGTTATAACTGGAGCTGCGATTAGCCCATGACATGTCCGGCCTATAGCACGCTTACGAAGTAAATGTCACTTCAAGAAGCAAGAATAAAGCTCATCCTCCTCATAGTGACTGGCCTCTAACCCAATGAGATCGCCTCTCGCAATAAATTAGATTAAATTAATATGTTACCCTGCAGCCGTACTTGCCTTCAACCGCCTTAGGTACTGTATCTGCTCGGCAGACGTTGGGTAAAGGTGAAAGGCCTCTCATTCGATTTGAATTTTCGCATGCCAGCGTTTCTTCTTGAAATAAAATATATTAGCGAATTAGAAAATGTAATAAATTAAATGTAATAAATAAGTGAATACAATGTTGCGAATTTGAAGAATATCTTAAGAATACTTTACCTAATCGTTTCATATTTCATTTATGGATTAAAAAAAACTTTTCTTAAGTCTTTAAAAAAACAATTCTTGGAAAGCAAACGAGGAACGCAGTTTGGTCAGATCTTCAGTAAAAAATAAGTGACGAAATCAATTCGATTCATTTTCATTCTAAAGTCGGCTTATAAGCAGCGATGAAGAGATGGCCACTCGTAAAACTGAAGCCGTAGACCCGTATAAACTGTCGATGATCGGCCGATAAACTTCGTCTGCACTCATCCACACCTCTCGAAATATCGGAGTTTTACCGTCAAGTGTTGGGATGAGTGGCCTCTTCATCGCTACGCTACCGATAATCTTCCGAGCCTATACCTCTAAAGATCTTTACGCCTTGATTTCTGTTTAGTTTCCTCGGTGGCAACTTAGTATAGGCATTATTGTTGTGAGCTGAGAAATAGTAATACAATGAAATGTTGTGGGTATTTTCGTCGTTGCTTGTCGTTATATGTGATGAATCGTTTGACAAATACGTTGGGTCTTCTGTTTTTGGTAGATTCAAAAATTTTTCAAATTCATGTACGCGTCAAAATATCAGTTGCAATGCTTTTTGCAGCTTGTTTTGCGGTGTTTAACTGCTATAAAAGGGAGAACTGCTATTGAAATATTCTTCATATTTTCTGTTTTCTAAAGTGCTCTTATTTTTAACTGGAAATTACTATACGTGTAGTTGAGAAAAACAAACAAATATGATGCACAAAATACACATTTTACCTGTAAAAGTAATAAATCATCACATTTCTTCATTTGAAAAGTCGCTCACCATTCATTTCCATCAATATAACCCCTCAAAACAGAGCGATAGACAAAAAATATAACTTAGTACTTACTGCAATGAGTGACATCGACGAAAACGTGAAGTCACGGACGGACAGACAGACAGACGGACGGACAGACGGACATGGCGAGCACAATAGTGCATTTTTTCCATAAATGAGAAAATGCGCTAAAAACATGAGTATGAGTAAGATATAATTCATTGGTAACGCGTTGTCTGTTCAAGATGAAAGCATTCACGACAACGTTGTGCATTTCAGGCGACGAGAGTTTGTCCGAGCGCTACTACCAAGATACGAAGATGTCGTTCGTGATGAAGGCCGTCTACACCATGGCTCACGGTCTTCACAATCTGCAGCGTGCGGTATGCGGTCCCGTGAAGGGCATCTGCCCCGGAATGCTGCCCATCAACGGATCACAATTTAGGGTAATGTGTTTGGTCTGGACTGTTGATAGGGTAATACATTCATTCGATCTGTAACGTCTTCGCACTACGCTATTTGTGCTTGGAAATAGGTCACACATTTCATGGTGCGTTATGCGACACCAGACGGTATGCAGTTAAAAAATGTAGATTTTGTCCAAAGATTTGATGGGTAAATCTGCTTGCTATATACCCAATCAGTACCAACTGAAAAGAACGTGACGCCGACAAAAAATTGTCACTACTAGTAGATTAAAAGTGAATTTCAGCGGTTGGTAGCCGAATTCTACCCTTTGTATTCCTAACCTTCCTTCAACCTTATACAACATTGCAGTTCATGAATATATATATCATTAATCAGTACTAGATGTCAATCATACAATACTTGCCCTTATTTCGAAAATTATTGTTTTTGAATCGCTATTTTGCCAAGACTTTGCAACCCATAAAATTCCAATAAAATTCACCACATTTTCAGTGAAAAACTTTGGAAATCAATCTCATCATCAGTTCGAAATTCGAGAATGCAATGCTCATTCACGCGGAACGATGAGATTTCCCGGTGTCCATAAGTGATTTTAAATTTTTAGTTTAAAACTCCGGTGCTATCGTTGAGAATCGTGAAATTATTGTATATTTTTCAACGGCAACTCTGGCAGAACAACGCTTATAGTTTATATCACTTGAGATTCTAAATATATCGACATTTATGCTTCTTACTTTGCCTTTTACTGGATTATATGGTTTTCGTCTGCGTTGTGAATTCAAACGCACTAATTGATTGCATTTGTATCATGAATTCTGAGCTGATGATCGAGATGATCTCCTGAACATTTCAATAAAAATGAAATGATTGTTAGGCGGCCCTTTCTTCGATTTCAAATTTGAGTGGTATGATCGAGATGACTGGTACAAGATTGTACCAAGGACCCAGGTACACTTCGAACCAGTCTCAGGCTAACGTTTTATTCATTATTTCATTTTGATTGAATGTATGTTTCCATCATTCTCTTTTGTATTTTGCAGTTCTAAAATAGGTTCAAACTCCGAGATGTTGTTCAAGTGATGATCGTTCGAGTCTCGCTTGGAAGGGTCTAGACTCTAGAGTCTAGAGCTAAGAACTTTTCTGGGGAGGGATTCCGTACTCCTTCTACACTAGTTCTAATTTTTATACCTGATGAAATTAATTAAAAAAAATCCCATTATTTTAGAAGAATAATTCAGTTTTTCAATCTTTGTGATTTCCTTGAAATTTCTTGTGTTCTAGAAACGCTGTTCTCACCCACCGAAAATTAGCTAGCAGCTTTCGAACTTCAGCTGTTTCTATAATAAAAATTAGCTTCAAGTTACAATTGAGAAATTTATTTTACATTTTTGATCTGCTCTTTCCTATTCTATGCTTACAAATTACAGCAACTCGTTCATTTTGCCTTGGTCGTGTGTTTCACTTCATTTTGCTAAACGAATATTTATGATGATAAGCATAGATGTCTTTTATTTTTGCGATACTCGATTGTTTTGTATGCCCTGCAAAACATCATGAGAAACATCTCTCATCATGATGTGTTCAGTTCCGTCACATTTTATATCATTATTGAGCTGATGGATCGGCTTCATTAAGTCCGGGTCGTTTTCCAATCCAAACGATAGGCATTACTTCGCAACGATACACAAGAGAATATCTTGATTAACATTGCCCGAGTGGACTTCGATTTCATTAATCAATTCTGGGAGTGACTCGAATGCCCTGTTGGAATGCAAGTTGGATAATTAGGTGTGAAAAATTATTGAGTACATTAAAATAATATAGAGCAAAATTTTAGATGCCGCGCGGAATACTCATTACTTTGAATCAAAGCAAACGAAAAATTGTGGAATCTACGGACAATTCTTATAATTGTTCAGTTGTAAATATTGAGCAATTTTTATCTATTTTATCGTATTTATGGCTCTAGGTAGTACTGAAAAATAATAAGATCTATATTATACATTTTTACGGTTAAAAATTTTAAATCAAGGATAACTGGCAAGGAAGTGTAAGGATAGGAGTGTTTGTTATTATTCTTAACAATAGCATTCTGATTCACCTCTCAGGATTCATTCATTCAGCGATGAACTCAACAAATTAGGCTTCTAAGATAGTAAAATCGTATTTCAGTTCCTCATTGTAATTAATTTTTTTCACAATGTCAACATTTTTCAGGAAGCTGTCTTTCATCGAGCAAATTAATCTCATTTAAAAAAATTGCTGTAGCTCCATCAACAATCAAGTGACCTCTGGTCCAAGCAATGTAATCCATCATTGCCAGTTGAATGAACGAGTCTGTGAGAAAAATAGGAACGACGAAAGAGCCGCTAAACTGAGGACCAATACCGTACAATTTAATGACAAACGATCATCTCGAGACACTGGAGTAAGAATTAACTGAAAAGAATAGCCATTACTCTTCTTACTTCTCCCTAAAAAATGCTCAGGAAGCTCAAGCTTGCGACGCAGACATCTTTATTTGACCTTCTGTCAGCAAACTTCGCTCAGAGTAAAGTGGTTCTGCCATGAGAGGTCTTTAGTGTTACAGTTGCTTGTCGAACAGTACTTTAGTTTTGTCAGTTGTAGCAACTCGGAGATAAAGCACCATAGTTATTATTACTAATATTATTCTACGAAGCAGTTATCGTGGCATCTGGTTTAAACAAAAATTTCAGGGCGCGTTGCACAAAAGTCTAACTGCAGGCGAAAAATAAATAGACAGATACGAGAGAGGATGGAAAACGGATAAAAATGACAAAGAACTTCATGCACAGGCTTTACGAAATAGTTCCGTCTCTAGGCGTCGATAAAACACCACCTGCAACGAAGAAGCTGATGTTACAGAAGCCGGCAGACTGTTTCAGGTTCTGGCTGCGGCTACTGCATGGGAACACTCTGTCGCAGACGGTAGATAGACGTGTAGATGGAGCAACGAGGTCCGCTGTTGATGACGAACGCAGTCGTCTTATAGAAGGCAGATCAGACATGCGCTGCAGGTATTCTGTAGATAAGGAGGCGCCAGACCGTAAAGGCATCGGAATGTCAAAACAGCGACCTTGAACTGCGTGCGCTGCTGCATGCACATTGCACAGCCAGTGAATATCGCGTAATATACGAGTCACGTGGTCGAATTTTCGCTTATTGAACACGAGTCGCGCAGCAGCGTTCATTACGGATTTCAGTTACGCGGTTGGAAGTCCATAGAGTGTGGCATTATCATAGTACAATCTGGTCAGAACGAGCGCCACCACGAGGGCCTCGAGCGACAGTGTCAAATAGTCAAACAAGGAAAAACCTGAAATCAAAACTGGGTCTGGTGACGTACGCCCACTCCAGCCACATTCAGATTCGTCGTTAGCCGATCAAGCCAAGATGACCGATCAACCAAGGTGGCCGAACTAACCAAGATGGCTGAACTAACCAAGACGGCCGAACTAACCAAATTGGCCGATCGGTTTCGGAACAGTAACGGTCCCTTCAGTCAGATTTAAAGGCACAACATTCAACGTCAAAAGATCGTCAGAGTATAGTCATCTTTTTTTAGAAGAACTTGCTCCTAAAGAATTCGTGACGTAGCTTTTAACACAAGGGTATCAAATTTTTACACTTGTGTAAGTTGTAAACGGAGCATAACACACGCCCACATGCAGCCAAAGTCGGTGCAAGACTCCAATAGTTAATTCCCTGATATTTATAACATTTCTTGGTGTTACATCGATGAGCTATAAAATTTGCCGTACATTCATTTCAAATGATTAGATATTGAATTAGCTCTATCCGGACCGTAGCTGTCTTTTCGATAACTCCCTCACGTTAACTGTAATTGTAGGACTACAGCGCACAGCAACAACGATGCTAGACGAAAGGTTTCGTATCCGAGTTCGCTTGTGTATTACCACGACAATTTGAACAGTAAATACATTTCCAAATGGTTTCCAAAATACATTTCAAAGAGAATCCATTAATAAAATTTCTTTTCAGTCAAGTTTATAAATATCTTCTCAGACTTGTAGCTTCTTTTTTCTAAAAATAACTAAAACGTGATCAAGTTTAGCTACCTTTTACACTAATTTTAGTTTTACTACAATTACAGAATCACTTGATGAACGTAACGTTCGACTTCCTTAACGAGACGGTGTCGTTTGATTCAAGTGGGGACCCCCCTGGCAGGTAAGTCATCCTCTATTTCCATGCGTCCCTAAATTTTAACAACTTATCGAACGAAAACAATCATATTTCAAGTCATCAGAAATTTCATCAAAATAAATTTCTCGTGTGCTGGTTTTTTAATCAGTTTTGTGTATCTTTATTAGATTTAATGTGCTAAATAATGTATAAAAATTGGATTGATCTCGTATTGCCTTGTCTTAGTTCATTGTAAAAAGTTTTAAGAAACAATGAATTGAGCAAAGCTTTCTTCGTTTCTAGGTACGAAATAATGAACTTTCAACGTTTAACTAACGGATCGTACGGATACCTAAGGATCGGTACTTGGGATAACGGCACTCTGGAAATGCAGCAAGGAACCGTCAAGTTCAACAGCCTCAATGGCCTGCCACCCACATCTGTGTGTTCCAGTCCTTGTGCCGCGGGTAAAGCCAAAGTGAGCTTATTTTTCTCGTCACAACTGTCATATAAGATATATAACTGATATAAGACTCGGGTTGTAGCAGCTTACATGTGAGTTTCCACTTTGAAGTCCAACTCAACATGAGAATTTTTCTCTCGCTGTGTTGTCAGAGCAGCATTACGCTGAGGTATGTTGGCAGATCGAAACTCAACCTGAAGTAAGCAAATCAAGATAAGCCCTCTCTCAAAGTCACTTCATAGGTGTCTTAAGACATCAGATTTCCGTCAGGCAAGCCGACAGACTGACTTGTAATACTCACCCGATTTAGATTTGTTCTCTAGTCACTATATTTTTAGCATCAAAAATCTCCAAAATATACGCTAACGATAATGTAATTCAAATTTTATAAAAATTTGCCGAATGAAAAGAAATTAGAACACGTAGTGATTAAAAAGGACAAAAATTCAAGCCCGGCATAACCAGCAAATTAAATATTTTCACTCCGCAGCCATCGTTGATGTTTAATGGCTTCAAATTTTATTTTACTCCTGCGTATTAGCATTATTATTTGTAAGTAAAAATTCATACATTGCAAGGTCTCATTCACGGCTCGGTCCCAAGTAAGAGCAGAAATCATAGAGAAGGAAATCAGCTGTTTGGGTAGGTCCACATCCTTAATAGTTGAAATTATGGATAAATGATTATTTTCATTAGTAAATTGTGCCGGTCAGATGAAGGCGCAATGTTAGGCTTTACCTATATCGCTGAGGACCACATCCTTAATTGTTGAAATCATGGATAAATGATTATTTTCATTAGTAAATTGTGCCGGTCAGATGAAGGCGCAATGTTAGGCTTTACGATTTTTATAAATTTCTGTAGTTCGGAATATTCCACTATTCTTCCACACAAGAATATCACCGTAGTCTTGAGTTTTGACCTGAGATTACGAATTTCATTTCTAGATGCTTCTACTGATAGCTTGGAATTGATGTTCAAAAACTTCCTTTGAGAACACACAGCAAGTAATGTTATACTGTACAAAATATCAATCAATTTGGAAATAATTCTACTGTTCAAAAATTAGGAAGATAGGTTTACTCATTATTGTCTTAGAACGAGTAAATTTTATGTTATGTTAGATAAGGCAACCATAAGCTGACATAGTTTGTGGATTTCTGTAGATTAATTTGCATGTTTGATTCTCCTCAAAAACGGCCAACAGATTCTGATTTATTCTTCGTCGTAGTCTTTTCCAGAAACTAGAGGTCAGGTCCAGACATGCTGTTGGATGTGCCATGAATGCGAAGACTTCGAGTATCTCTTCAATGAAACCACGTGCTCCGAGTGCCAGCCATACTACTGGCCAAATGCTAACAAAACCGGTAGGTTGATGGCAGTCTTTACCCAGAGCTATAACTGGATTAACAATAGTAAAAGATAAAAAATTCTTCTCGTGAAGCAAATTTAACGAATTCACAATTATTGTAAGTGGGTTAAATGACAATATTGCTGGCAAGTTTGGTGTTGTGGAGAAAAACTTGTTTTTCGAAAGTTACCTTCGTTTTATAATTATTGCCATTTTCGTTTTATAATTGATAATTCTTACCTCTGAACTCAGTAACCGCCATTTCCAAACAGAATCTTTACCTGAAAACTACCATTGAAGTGTAGGAGCGTATCAATGTCATGCAGAGCCGTGTGCCTATCATGCGGCTCCGCATTGAGGTGAGGCCACATTTATGAATGTTGAAATGAGCCTTGGCGACAATGATTCAAACTATTTTTTGCAGTCTTATCCGCGTTGAGTATTGGTAAGTGCAGCGAAGGTATAGGGAAATAAAAATAATAACTTGGCCCCTATGAACATGGATACGGTTGCCTATCAACGAATAAATCCATAAAAACTGTAATTCATTATTGAAAAACTCAGTTTAATCAGTGAAACGATAGTCCTTATTTTTTTTCCTTGCGAAGATTGCGAAAATAGTATATTTATGGCAATCTTAGTAGATATTCAACAATTTTTTCGCTTCATTGGCTGGAAGACGAAAATTTCATAAAATAATTATGAAAATAAAACACTCAGAAGCTATTTACATTTGTAAGATAAGTTATACAAAAAGCGTGCAGCGAGCGGCAGCCTAAACTTTAGGTTTTAACTCCCAAGCACGACCATGGATTTCTTATCGGAATGCCGGGCTGGCGTGCGGTAGAGTTTGGAGTGCTTCCGTGAAACTTGACCTGAATGCTACTCTGCATGGGGATGCATGCCAGAGGCCAGCATTGCCCAAGACCAGCATTTCTTTCCGTGTGGTGAGATAGGTCAATTGATTACAGCTGCTTAGGTGCCAGGATGATAATATCTATAGCTTTTAGATGGTTGATGTTGGCTCCAGGGCTGATTTGAGCGTTAATTTGCTGGTCTACGGCTGCGCACCCCTCTGCATGTACATCGGGGATAGAATGGCATATGGAGTCAGTCGGAGAATTTACTGAAGTATCACTAACAAGCGATGCCAAATAATATTGCTTTGTTCAAATAATCTTTTATGTCTCCCTTCACTATCTCAATTTAGGCTTCACTATCTCATTCCGTGGTATCTAACTTTCACCGATATTAATCAGTGCTCGATTAATATCATTTGTTTGTTAACATTTCCAGCAGTCAATGGCTTAAGTTATCCAACTTTCACCAGTGATCAGCATTGCTCCGCTTTACTGCTACCGAATTTTGGCCAAAGATTACATGCGCTCAACCTCCGCCCACATTTAATAATCAGAACCAAACATTATCCGAAATTAATTAGCCCTCAATATTCTCCCACGTGTGGCAGTACCAAATATTCTTCAGCATCCACTAGCGCTCAACATTCTTCAACATTCAACAGCCCCCAATATTCTGTCACAATAACCAGTCCTCAGCATTCTCTCACATTCACCAGACAAGTGTAACTACAAGATTCAAGTCAAGTGACTTGATTTGTAATTACTACCCATTTCAACATGTTTCCACATTGCCAATTTTTCTATTTTACAACAATTGAATAACTGAAATATTCCGAGATGTCTGTGAAAATGCAATTCATGGCAAAGTGCATCACGATAAGATAATTCTCTATTTTTGCTAATATTTTTTCCTTCATGCATGTTACGTCACTAAAAAGTTTCATCGAACAAACTGTTTCGCATGGGTCCAAAAATTCTGCCTACAGCGGCTGTAAAAGAAAATAAATCATTACTACCGTCGAAATTCCAAATGATACTAGTGACCATTGTAACATTGCTGGCACTGGTGGCAATTTAAGAAATTTAATTTATCATCTATTACAATTTGTTGTTGTTCTTTGAAAATAATCAAATTAGCAACGATTCGATAACGTGATAATTTTTAGTAAAAAAGAACTAAAGTAAACTACAAAATTACGAATAGCCTTTGCGACCTTGCATCGTGTTGCAAGTGGTCCGCCGCCAGATAGAGATGACGGACGAGTGCCGTTTCAACACCTAACCTCGAAACACCAATCGATTGTTAGTAATGCACAACGTTCGGTTCTGTCTGGCCAAAACTAAAATAGAAATTAGACATACAAACTCGAGCAGCTCAAATAACGTTTAATGCAAACGTATACACAAAAATTAATATTTCCATGACGGCTAAAATCTTGAGATGCACTTTTGTTAAGTCCTTATTTATCGGTGATGGGTATAACTTGAAACTTCACTTTAGGAAGCACTTGAATGTGATAATTATGAAATTAGTTTTGCTGAACATCTTCAGAATTAAAGGGTATCTAAAACTGAAAAGTTTTCATGTTACACACTCCACGATAACACACACGTTATGATAGCACACTTGGAATGAAAAGCGTCTGTCAATCAGCAGCTGAACAAGATGAAATTCAGAAATCTACTGAACACTAGCCACGACTCCTCTCTCACTCATGTCTCACTCTGCCCAATACGTTTTGACGCAGCAATATTGCAAGCGCTTTGATATGGAATTAACGCAAGCGTATAAAACATACAGCTGTGCAATCATAAAACGTGCATGAAAATAAATTTGTGAAATTAATAAATGAAATGTTTTAAGATAGATCCTTTATACCACAATTCGGAGCGCATATTGGTTGATCCGTAGGCTGCGACGAGATTGAAGTTGAGCATCCATCTTGGGATGACGACCAGGTCATTGCTGGCTTGGTTTTGGCTGCACTGGGATTCTTGGCTACCGTTTTCACGATGGCTGTCTTCATTTGCTACAACCACACTCCAGTCGTCAAGGTACGGAAAGGCCGCTGAGTTTATAGTGTCGGCCGTGCAGTTACTGCTGCTGAGCTTGCGGCCGTGCAGTTCCTGCTGATGATGGGTCTTACAGAGTTTATTTTGTCATGAAAACACACCAACTGTCATTTTTTATCCAATTATTATTTGAATTATCTGTCAATATACCCCATGTCTCTTCATTTCAGCTGTCAAATATTCCAGCAAATATTTCGTCGCTTTGTAATTAATGTTTAGCCACCTGGTTGGTCAATAACTTAGTATGTGCCAAGAGTTCTAAACATTTTTTAGATTAGGTACCATTGTGCGCAAATTTTATTCATAACTGTGCGCCAAGCATTCATTACTGACTCCTGTTTCTGTACACATTCGTAAAAACTCATTACTCATTAATTAATTTATGATGCTATATCGAGAGTTTACACGAATCAATGATGCACTGATCAATGTAGGGATTGAGAAATTTCGGTTTTTATTATTAAATCAAAAGGAAATTGGAACCAATTCAGTAGCCACTTTCCTGTGATAACGAACTGAAACCTATTAGAATCAAAAGCTAGCTTTACTGAAATGAACATACGTGTTTTTGCCAGGCTTCGACGCGCGAGCTGTCGTACATAATTTTCGTGGGCATGATGATGTCGTACTCCTCGTCCCTCGCATTCCTGGCCAAGCCCTCGACTACGTCTTGCATCGTGGCTCGCCTCCTGCCCGGCCTCTCGTTCTCCATGATCTACGCGGCGCTAGTGACAAAAACCAACAGAATTGCTCGCATTCTTGCCGGCAACAAGAAAATTATGATCAGAAAACTGAGATTTATGTCTGCCCTCGCTCAGGTGATTTATTTTTCGTGTTGTTTCTAGGATTCAACCACAAGTTCCGTGAGTTGTAATGCAAAGCAGCTTCTTTCTGAATCTTATATTGTGATTTAGATTGTCTGAATCATGGTGGATGCCAAGGATCGATTCAACCCAGGTTTTTAAAGTCACCGGCAATAGTGAATAGTATATTCATACATTTAAAGGCAAGAAGTAAAATATATCGATAAGCTATTCATAAAGCAAGAAAGGTGGCTTGAATTTTCGTTAGGTTATTATAGCCTCCTAGTGAATGAGTGCCGAAACCAGGCAAGGTGTGTTTCGAATGGATACGTATCGAATTAACAAATGCTTAAAACCCAGGTTCTAAGAGTCGACGGCATTTATGAAGGTTTATTCACTATCCAAGACAGGACACTTATACAATAAATAAGTAAGGAAGACGACATGAATAGAGCTGTGGTAACCGATATTTACAACTATTTACAGATTACGGAACGAATTCGTATGTTAATTAAGGCGCGTAAACACGGGGCCCGTATTAGCTGCGAGCATGCGCTGCAAGTTTTCACAATCCCAGTTTTGTCGGCTAAAAGCTTATAGTAGTGGTTCCCAAAGTGGGCGATATCGCCCCCTAGGGGCGATGGGAAGATTTTGGGGGGCGGTAAGGAAGAAAAGGGCGATAGGGGGGCGGTTGGGGGGCGGCAGTCTGAAGTCGAAGTCAGAAGTTCCAACGTTTGTCTGATGATTTGTGCACAACACGTGCAGCACATCATGACTCGCAGCGATGGCTTTTTTCACCCAGGTCTGTTTTTTTGACCTCTCCTGGGTTTACGTCTCGAACAAATTAACGGCCGGACTAGCGGCCGGTCTCACGGCCAATTTCCAAATTCAATCATCAATCAATATCTCTCAAACTAACGAACTTAACTCAATGAAACTTGGTACACGTATTCATTATGACCTAACGGTAATATTTAGCTCGTGAAAATTTTTTTTTAATTTTACCTTCATTTGTTTTTGCCATTGTTACATGGCAATACGGACCGAAATTCAAAGTGACCAAGGAATTTCTTCCCAACTGCTGAACATATTCGAACGAAATTTTTAATTTACAATTCCAACTACCCAACTGCAATGTTTAGCTCGTGAAAATTTTTTAGATTGTGCCTTCGTTCGCGAGTTTTTTTTTTTCATTTCACCTTCATTCGTGATTTAACAGCAATACGTGCTTAAATTCGCAGTAATCAAGAAATTTCTTCCAAACTACTGAACAGATTTGAACGAAACTTAGTATTTAAATACCTAACCTCAGCAACGGTGATGTTTAGCTCGTTAGTAAGGAAGACGACATGAATAGAGCTGTGGTAACCGATATTTACAACTATTTACAGATTACGGTATGTTGAATTCGTATGTTAAGGCGCTTAAACACGGGGCTTGTATTAGCTGGGAGCATGCGCTGCAAATTTACAAATTCCCAGTTTTGTCGGCTAAAAGCTTATAGAAGAAAAAAGTATTTTATAAACAGTATTTTCGCATCTGCAAGACCAAGTGCGTCGGTGGAAGCCGTCAAGCGAGGTCTGTTACACATGGTGGAATATGGAACGTAACGGTATTGACGAGTTTGCGGAGGCGTTTAATGAAGCAGTTGGTGGCAGTTACCACTCTTGCTGAGGAGGTTAAAAACTTTGTAGATCAGCGTAGAATGTGGGCAAGAGACCTAAGAAGGTGTCGTTTAAGTTCCATAACACTCTCTCAATTAGTTTTTGTTGGAATATTCGTCGTGACGTACATTCCACAGTAGATCGTACTTCTGAAATAAGAACATCATCCTGAACACCTCTTAACGTTTTTTCTTAACACTTGCCCCAAGCCGAATTCAGAGCGGCACAGATATACACACCATGGCTACTGCAGCCCTACAGCCGAAAATTGACGGCACGTTAACAACCTCTGAACTGCTTCAGACGCAATAGCATCAGCTACTTGCATCTTAAGAATAAATCATTACGACATTTGGAGTGCGGAAGCTGACAGCGAATACTTGTTGCTAATACTAACCCAGTATATAATTAAGCACCTTTACGCTACGTTACCATCAGTACTAATTGGATTGATACTAATATTTTTACATAGATTACGGGACATGCACGTTTGTTCATGTCCAGATAAAGTTTTTCGTCACATAGGTTACACGTGAAGAGTTTTTTTTACTTTTGCTCATTCTTTACTCAATTTAATCAGTATCGAAAAGAAATAAGATTTTGTAAAGATTCTCTGGTTGACTTATTATGTGGTGATGCAGCACTCGCATAGGGTTTTTAAAATTGAAAGCCATGTTGGACAGCCCAGTTTCACACTTGTGTCAACAATACTTGCGTCACAGAGGAAGCGTCATTGTTTTGTCTTGCAGGTGGTCATAACACTCATCTTAATCTCCGTCGAAGTCGTCATCATTGTCACTATGTTCATTTTGGAGCCTCCGGAGACCGTGCGTCGACAAGTGCGCGATCGTGTAAGCAGAGCATGCTCTTTTCATTTGTTCATGTGGATTTAGTCCCCATTTAGACATGAAATTTCTTTTACATTATGATTGGTGTGTATTTTTAAGCAATGACGATTGGTAGACCAATTTTATTTGCCGTGTTAGCATGACTTGCTAGTTAGAAAAGTCTACGTGTTTGTCTACAAATGTTTCGTTTACATCGAGTTTGCATCTTAGCTTGTTCGATTTCATGTTATCTCACAGCGCTCAGTGAATTCAATCGTAAAGGTAGTAAGTTGTATTCACCAATACTTATACTTCGCTTATAATTTTATAGTATGGTACCTTCTGTTGTTATTAGTTGTTCTTGTATGAAAGGTGATGCTGGAGTGCAACACATCCACTCTAAGCATCACGGCTCCTCTGGCCTGGGACTTCATTCTTGTGATGATGTGCACACTATACGCCGTCAAGACCCGAAACTTGCCTGAGAATTTCAATGAAGCAAAGTTCATTGGTTTCTCCATGTACACGACCTGTGTGATATGGGTGAGTGCCTTCGCCATTTTTTATTTTTATATTTTGTATTTTATTGCTATTCCAAATTCAAGAGAATTGTGCAGTTATTCAATTAATTGCCTTCTCATCTTACAGATCTGTATTTTATAAAAATACATTACAAAATACTCCTACTTTTAACGGGGGGATATGACGTTATAAGAGTTTTCTTAGTGGTAATTTATTTCCTAAAGCGATGAATTCCTATGAATATGCTCACTTATTAATTATATATTTCATCTGGAATATGTTTTTTTACTATTCTGCACGCACACAGAGTTGTGCCTGAAGTTTATTTGCATTGAAAGAGTCTTGAAATATGAATTCCTATAGCTTATTATTAGATATCTAAGTGTGCTTACCGTCCCACAGATCATCAAATAATAATATTTTTTCTGCACGTTTGCCAACTTAATCGGTTCTATTTTACTTCACTCATAGAATACCTCATAACTCAACACATTCCACAATTGCGCTTCGTGAAATTAGATTACCCAGCCAAACTAGAGCGTAGAGAACAAGTTTGTGCAGAGAACGCAATTCGATCCAACAATGTGGAGTAAATTGAACTGTCACGAGTCTTCGCAAAAGCCTGAGTCGCTTTGTCGCTCAAGTTACGCCTTTACTTGCGCAAGCAAAATTGTGTTTCCACTGTAATAGTGGGAAAATACTTAACTTTTTCTCGCTCAAATATTATTCATATGGATATAGTATAAATTTGTTGTTCATTTGTTCAAAGCTAGCGTGGGTTTCGATCTACTTCGGCAGCAACCACAAGATTATCTGCATGAGCGTCTGTACGTCGCTCAGTGCACTCGTTACTCTTGTTCTACTCTTCTTCCCTAAGATCTACATCATAGTATTTAGGTAAGAGTTTCTTATTCCTTGCAAGTTTCTTATTTATTATTTCTAGCTGAACCAGAATGTTTGATCTAAAAAATGCTGCTGTTATTATACAAACTTATTATAAATGCACTAACTAGCTCTATTTTTATTTTGTTCTCGTGTATTTGTTGCAACAATGCAGGCCGCAGCGCAACGATCGATCACACTTCAAAACAACTACAAATGTTCGTTGCCACTTTGGTTCAGGAAAATCTATGGAGGAAATGGACAGCAATGTGCTGATGAGACCCCCGGGGTGAGTACACGTTACTTTGGTTAAAATGTTTGTAGGAACAACAAAGTTCCGTCTTGTAATAATCTCAAATTCTTCTTGATGTGATCCACTGATATCAGCGACCTGATAATAGAACTCGTCTGTTATACCTCCGATTTTATGAGTGGGTTCTGAACATTACATCTCGCAGCCTTATGTGCGCAACAGACATTTGAAAATTGACTCGGATAAATGAATGAACAAACTAGAAATTATTTTCATGAACTTCGAACAACATGAAAAATATTATAATTCGAATTATGTATGAATCTTTGCACAGCATGAACTGCTTGATAGCTTCGGCGGTCATTTGAATTATAACATCTGACGAAAAGATTTTTTAATTACTTTGAATTCACAGTTCCCAAGTCCAGCTGTGTGATTTTGCTCGGAAAATCATATTACATTTTGTGCTTTCGCCACTCTATCATATTGCATCTTAATCCTTTAAATTAAAATTTGTTTTCAATCAAGGTTAATTTGTTATACCGTCTTGCAGAAGTTTCATGGGAGTAGCAGCAATCTTGAACGCAGGACACTCTCTGCGGCAGCCAATCATGACGCGCCTTAAGAGCGCGCTGCATGTCCCGGCCTCAGGTCCCAACGCTGGGCGGCTGCATCCCGACTTCGTCCCTTCGACGAAAGCGGCGCTCAAGCGAGAGCTCAGGTGACCGCAAGACTTTGACGGATGTTCCAAGTTCGTGGTCGCATCATTAGTACTGCCAGCGGCCGATCTCTTTTGTGTGATTGATAGTCATTTTCTGATTTTCTTTGCGTATTGTCTTTTAGATGAGGTTGTTTTTAGGAACTTATGTTATTCTTGACTTCTTTTTCAAGACAGATCGAATATTCGGGTCTGGATTGAATATGGTGAAATATGAATATATAATGAGAATGATAAAAGTCCCTCGTGACTTTGTAGAATTGTATTGAATATAAAGTACATCTTATCATGCGTCCAGTTCAAATTTCTTGACTGCAAATTAAGAGATTTGCCTCCAAACTTTTCAACCCATTTATTAGCTATGCAGTTCCTCTTAAATTGGAAGTGCGTGATGTGAGTGAGACTCGAGCTCCAACTAAAAACTAAATTTTGAAGGAAAAAGTGAAAACAATATAAATAACGCATTTCTCCAATTTATCTGCCTTAACTTGAGAGGAAATTTTTGCCTCCTTTTCGCGATTTTTATGCTGAACACATCGACTTAAGTCATTGAAAAATAATTCATCAATGGAGGCTTTGCCAACAAAAACAAAATTCACACAATAAACGTTAAAATCAGTTAAATAAAAACTGAGCTTGTTCTTCTGAATTTTCGATGTTCCTTTATAAAAAAATTCAGTTTTGACCAGAGAATTTGATTTCACAGTGAAAAAATAATACAAATCTCATCAAATGTCGACATTTTGGTTTATTACGCAGTGTTTCTTTGTGATGTCCAAAGTTCAAGCAAAGACTTTTAAAGGACTGAGGAGGGTAACAGCGAAGCTGAGAACTATGTTGGTAATATGCAAGTGAAGACTGCAGTTGAGCACAAGTCTCACTAAACAAAAATTGAAACTTATTACAACATGAAATGCATTGCTGAACTAACTGTTAACGTAAACCGTCCTATCTCGACTGACTCTTCACCCTATATGAAAGACTTGTATGCTTTAACCCCAATTGAGCGTCATACAGCTGTTGCACTCGTAATCTTGACGATGCTAAATCTGCGTCTTCTATTTTAACCATCCTCTCCAGTTAAATGCCTCGAGTGTCATAATTATGTCCCCAATGAATATCCTCTAATCATATTATATGAATAAAATACTTCATGTTGGCGTCCATGATTAGATAACAATCGGTACAGCTATGAAAAAAACGAAGGTTTCGCAGTTTGATTGCCTTATCCTTAAAACTTTGAAGTTCCGGCGTTTTTAAGATCGTTAAAACTTGACAACAATTCTTTTAGTGGTTCCCTAAATGATGTCTGCGAGCATCACCAGCACATCTTAACTTTAAGCATCCAGTATAAATAAATAAAACTGTTTTGTTTAGCATGGCTCTGGTAGTACGGTTAACTATATTGATTTTAACACCACAATCACTATAAAAAAATAATTCTACTTCATGTCCGGCTGTTTCGGAAGCCCTCCACGAGTAAGAATACGAGCAAGTTGCAGGTTGACAATAATTTGAGTCTTTGTCTTCAGTCTTTGGAGCGATGCAAGCGTCAGCGGCGGTTCGTCCTCAATCAAGGCTCGGGAAGTGATGCTGCAGAGAGCTTACGGGTCACAAATCGATCTAAGTGAGTCGCATCTTAATCGATAGAAATTAAAACTTTTGCTTACATCACAACTAACCCAATTCATCTTTGATTTCACCATTAACATTTATTAAAAATTAATATATTTATTCTGGCAATTCATTATTTGTGAAGCTGGCGAGAGTTTATCGCCGTGGTCGTGCACCCACGTCAGCGTGCAGACCACGGACGACCTGCTGGACCCGCTCATACCAAGGCTTCGTCGACGAGTCGCAAGAGCAGTGAGGGAAAATAACTTGGACGTCGCTGCAGGCAGGGAGTTTTTCTCGCTCACGCAGAGCTGGGTTAATTCACAGGTAGTAAAAAATCTCGAAGAGATTCTGCTATGAATTTTAGGCTACTAATTGTTTGTACGTGTGTTCTAGGTTTTGAAATGACCATGGAGCTGGACTCCGAAACGTTTTCGCTTATAAGAAACGGTGAACTTTTTGGCTATTTTTTTTACTTTTAAATTTCTGGTAAATTTGCGACTTAAGCAGCCAAGTGATTTTAATACTTAGATTCTGCTAAATATCAATCCCCAAAGCAAACAGTTGGCGACTTGTTTCTTATCAAATAGAAGGTTTAGTCAAACAATAATCTCATTAACAAGAGAAATATCTCACTTGAATCATATTTGCGAGAGAACTGACCAAAACATATTTTGAGCGTTATCAAAGATTCTATTCAAAGTCAATGCATAAAGCTGCGAATTGTTACATTTCGGGAAACCTGGATTCACGAAAAACATATAGATGCCAGTTTGGTAAATTTTTTTTTTATTTTTGCAGATGGAGGCCGCCAAGGCAGAAATAAAGCTTCGTGAAGAAAAAAGTTCACTGCAGCCAGGAGCCGCCATGAAAACCGAGATCGTCAGAGAGTATCTCAACGTGAACAACCTAGAATTTGGTGAGGTCGACACGAAAAAGTCTGCGTGCGTGCAAGCAGGACTCGTTTGTAACTACTGTAAAGCTCCCACAAATACAGCAAATGCACTTGATCTGACAGGGAGTAATAAGAACAAGATAACCGATGCCAATGAAGAAAATTATATACAATGTACGTACGAAATTCCGAATAATGATATTTCTACGTTAAACATGAAAACACACCAAATGTCTGAGCCGTTTAATACTTCACAAAGAGCGAATATTAATGGGAATGATATGAATAAAACAATTTTTAGCAATCACATTGAAACAGGTATACATAATGTTAGTAAACTGGAGCCTTTGCAAACATTAACTGAAAACATAGCATGTGACAGAAAAATTTTTTTGCCGGTACATGCCTATCCTCAAACAAGAAATAGTCCATTTTCTCCTAGAATCAAATTAAGCGGATGTGAACTTTCTGAGCTTTCAAAAGAAGATCCCACTCCTCTTCGAGACAGATTGTTTCAGTCTTCTACATTGAGTCGCACTTCATCTCTGACGTCAACACACCCGCTCGGAGTCGCCAGCGGTCGTCAAGACATGATTTCCAAAGCATCATCAGATGATTCAGAGCACTTGGGTTTTAACAATAGTTACTTTGCCAGGAAAGAGGAAAAATTCAACAATTTTTCTTTTCGGGATGAGTATGACAAAAAATTTCACAGCGTATCGTCGGATCAGTGCAAGGTTTGTGCTAATAGGAAATCACGTTTACCATATTTTCAATATGAACTAGAAAATATCATAGTTTCTATCGATCATCGATCCGAAAGGCAAGTAAGGAACGAATCGACTTCTACTAACCTTAGCAGTCTAGCAGGCGAATCTCATGAAATAGAACAGTCAGATACCCACGTTTGGGAAACGGATTTTGGCGAAAACTGCGACTCTAAGCGTACCGAATCAACCCTCTCTATTAAAGACGAAATCGATCCTATTCCAAGGCCCGAACGGACTCAATTGATGCATTCAAGACGTCGATCACGGAAAAAATCGACAATAAAATCTAAACCTTACCCCCATCCCAACGAATCGGGTAACTTAACCAAAGTAGGAAAGGCGAAACACAGCTCGAGCACATCGGTTGAAATATCAGCAGACAGTAGCGATGATCTTAGTACGGAGACGTTCAACAGCAAGTCTCATGAAGGCTATGAATTGTTCATAGAAGAGGATATATAAAACGTTTGGTTAGCGTACTAAGAAGCAACTTGAATGTAAAATGATCCACTGTTCCTTTGTTGTAGTTCTCGTCGTTGCAGTAGCATCAGGCAACGACAATTTATTCCATGCAGGGAGCTGCGCAACGGACGTTCGCTGCTAGCCCACCGTGTCCTCTCCTCCCTCACTCACTTCATACTTCGCGAACAATAATCTCAATCGTTAAAAAAATCAGGAATTCGTTTGCATAATTCCCTGAAATACTCGAAATAATGTCGAAACCGTATCTTCCGCATACCAATTTCTATATCATATGTTACACAAGGTTTGCTTTTTATTTGTGTAAATTTTTTCGTGACGATATCTTCTCTAAGTGTTTCCATGAAGTAGTCAGTGTTCAAATCGAAAGCATTAGTTTTAACCGAGTCTCATTAATACAGATCACCCGTTGTTAGTAGCCTCGTAATTCAGTTCTTCTTCATCCGTTCACGCTGAACGAGAAACGTTCTCGGGTCGCTTCATCACTACGACGAACTCCCGCCAGGCGAACTCCCGCCTTATTTCCAGATGACTGCAGCGCAGTCCACGTTTTCCAAGCACTGGGTATATCGTCTGAAGAAAATACTTTTAGCATTAATAAAGAATTCTCTAGAAATTTGCCAAAGCAACCGGGCTTTAAAATAATCAATTGTTGACTATGTATTATTTTAAATCGATGAAAATTCATAACGTAAAAATTATTATCATTCTAAGTGTTCTCTAAAAACCTTATTCGGATCTTTTCAAATTGAATGTTGAGAACAGGAGGACTTGCATCCTTCGTAAACGCATGCTCATTGCTTTGTTGAGCAGTCGTTGTGGGTGCCATCAGCACCATTCCACAATATCCATGTGAGATTAGGTGACAAGTTGGCCAGCTAGTCAGCGTATTGTTTCATGTGTACCCTACGGTGACTACTATATCCTTCTTCCTCCCCCCCACCAATTCAAGTTTGAAAAAAAATGCAAGTACTCATCTTCAACATTAAACCCTTCCGATAGTAAATAAACAATACTTGTCTTTCAAATTTTTCTTATTATCATTCATCAAAAAGCACGAGTAAACGTTCAGAAATTAAATAAATATGATACTAAATTCGAAGGATTACTAAGCAGTTCATAAAAAAATTTGAATTTCCACACATGTTCAATTCAGATGTGACACCGTGCACGAAAATACAAATTTTACTCATACGAAAATTATATCGAACTTCCACGATGAATAAGTCCTATAAAAAGTTATAATAATCGAATGAGGAACAAAAAAGGAAGTTAATCAACTTGAAACCGTCAACTTCGTAAACGCACTCATGTGGATCTGCAAAGTAAACAAGTAATATTTGGTCCTCAATGTCAAGCTACCAAATTAAATATTACCTTCGCTCTGCTTAGAGCAAATAGAGCCGTAAATCTACAGCCAATACTTGAGCATGCTGGCTCGTAAGCTGGTCTTCTGCATTTGGCCTCACCTACTCCAGCCTAAAATCTTCTGCTGGGCCTGTAACCTATTCACTCAACCCCGGCTCTCAACCTCACTGCCCCGGTGACCAGCTCTACCTGCTCCGCCTTTCCACATTTCCACTGCCAATGAAGCAAAGTCAGGTACGCTCAAGTTGTTTTTGAAGTGAGTATAGGGGCAACAGAAGTAGGTCAGGCCGACGTACAGGAGTTAGACAAAATAAGGAAAACACGCGAGAAATCCGCAAAATATATTTTAGTATGGTGTAGGTCCGCCTTTTTCGGCAATTACAGCCTCAATTCTCCGAGATATTGATTCATCCAAATTGTGAATTATTTCCAGAGGAATTTTAACCCTTTCTTCAGTTAAAACTCCCTCCAGCTCGTTTAAAGACGATGGCGGCGGAAATTGACTTGGCTTGCATCTCTGAAATCGACCATAAATGTTCGATAATAATCAGCAGGTCTGGTGATTGCGGTGGCCAAATGAGATACTCAACTTTATTAGAATGTTCCTCGCGCCATTTTTTTAGTAATTCCAGCTGCATGGATCGGGGCATTATCATCTTGAAAGATGGCGTACCTCTCCGGAAACTGTGCTTGAACCATCGATGAACTTGGCATAGGAAACAAGAGTCAGGGAAACGAACACTGAACGGGTGCATGAAGCCAGGCGCAGAACTGCCTGCTTATGAGCTAGCTGTGGACTTTTTTATGAGCGAGTCGCGGACTTGTGGACTTATGAGCGAGCCGTGACTATTCCTAAATATTCACGGCTGTTGATTCTTCCACGAATAAAAATCACTGATGCGCCGGATTTCCAAGAAATAACCCCCCAGATAATCACAGATCCCCCGCCATGTTTTACGGTTGCGAGGAGTCACTCGGGATTAAATGACTCTTCTGGTTGTCTGCAAACGTAAACTCGGGCAGAGGGTGGAAATAAGGTAAACGATGATTTGTCAGAAAAAAAAAACACATTTTTCCCCTGTTCAAGGGACCAATTCTGGAAATTTTTACACCACTCTAAACGCTTTGAAGCATTTGTATTTGAAACCCGAGGTTTTCTAATTGCAACTATTCCATAGAATCAAGCTCTGTGCAGCTCTAGGCGCGCGGCCTTTATGGAAACTGGGTTCTGTAGATGTCCATTGCAGTCTGCCGTAATTTCAACAGCCGTGATATTTCGATTGTCCCTCACAATTCAACTTAGGTACCGACGGTCTCTCACAGATAATTTCGACTTTCGGCCAGACCTTTGCTTTGGTGAGGACGTTTTTTCTTCTCTTTCGAAAGCAGTCTTATGAAACAGTGCCTCTAGAAACTTCAAGCATTCGTGAAGTTTCTGTCACACTAGCTCTGCCATACGGGCACCAACAATAAAACTTGGCCTCTTTGAAAGTCAGAGAGGTTTGCCATTTATAGGTTATAGCTAAGTTAATAAGCACAAAAATTTACTAAAAATATCTCTGCACGTAAAAAAAGCAGCAAAAATAAACAATAAAATATAAAAATATGTCACGGTTTCATTGTTTATAACATGTTCAAAAATTACGATATCAATATGTCAGGTGTTTCCCTTATTTTGTCCAACCCCTCTAGGTTGGACATGATACAGTTCTGACCCTACATAATTTGAACATGCTTAATTTAAGCGGTTGCTGTGGAGACATAAGGCGTCCTGGTATTTAACACTAAAGTTCTTAGGCTACTCTACCCTCCAGCGTGTTTGCCCTCCGAAAGAAATGTGAACTTAAGTGTGAAGTTCGGCAAAGCTTGCCTCCGGCATATGCCCTGCTTGGGCTAGGCCCAGGAGAATATCACACGTTTTCTGAATTTGGCAATATATGCTGCACATGTTAAAATCATATTCATGCCACGGAGGCACAGCAGTGCATGGGACATAAATTTAATCCTTAAACTAGCCTTGGAGTCAACTATCAGCCTCTTAGTGCAATATCTACACTCCGATTCAGGGATAAAAGCAGCAGACGATGCTGGAACACCGTAAGAAAGACCGGTTCCGCACTGCTAACGGACAATACATGGCGCCGTAAGTCCACAGCTCGCTCACAAGCATGCAGTTCTGCGTCTGGCCTCATGCACCTGCTCACGTTACCCTGACTCTCAACCTTCATGCAGCCCCCTCAGTGGTCTTCTGAGGTGCGTCTGGGCTCGTCAGATGTCCCATGGAATTTCGCGTTCCTAGGGACATTTTTCCTGAGCCTCCACTACAAAGCTCACAGTATGAGTTCCAGTTGCGAGGTTGAGCTATAATTTAGGTAGGATTTCTTACATTCTTTGGCTATTCACCTGTCCCTCCTTGTCACTTTGTCTCTTTGAGATGCTGATGATGCTCCTCTTGAGCCAGTTTCAGCGGGATGGACGCTTGAGATTTTCTGCCTCTTGTAGGTGATGAACGATTTTTGATTTGAGAAACTTTCGATAACTGAGACCTTCCACCTCTTTGGTGATGTTCATCTTGACTTCCGGTGCGAGCTAAGTAAATAGCTGAAGCGCTAGTAAACATTTGGCTACTATAATAACCAACACCATGCAGCCAATGACTGGCTTTGGCTGCTCGCTTGCCTCGTACGCCAATGCAGTTAGGTTAGGTCAGTTTCGTTTTCTTATTTTTTATGGAGAGTGGGGCAGCGTGGGTACGAAGCCACTGATGGAGAGCTTGTGAACTTTTCAACTTACGGCACTATAGCTTCAGCCGCTTAACTTTTCTATATCTCACTATTCACTCAAGCGTTCTTACCTACTGAAAATGATGTAAATTGGCGTCTTCTCTTTGGCTGTGTTGCCTCTGCGACGCATTGCCATACCGCTGCGTGCAGCTGCAAAAATGCTCACATTTACCTTTTATTGCTGTTTATTTGCTATTTATTTATTGCTATGTATTTTTTACCTTTTAAACTTTTTATTGTTGGGCCAACATGTCTCGTCTAAGTTGAAACCACTCCCTTTGAAGGTTGTGTCAAGTGAGTGAAGTGACAATCATCTAGAGCCCTGAATATTTACATAATCTTATTACTTGTATCTAATATAAAAATTCAACAGCAATTGAAGCTCCACAATTGAAGCTCGCAATTGAAGCTCCACAATTTTATTGCGCAACTTGAGAAAAATTTAGTGTAATATATGACCCGAAATACTGTATATAAAATTTTCATCGTGCCTTTCCAGGTGCAGTGACAACTTGAGAGTATCGCGGGCTGGCTGCCAAAAGTCGAAGCAGATGTTTCTTGCAGTGCAGTGATAAAATATACAGACTTTCTACTGGACAATTTTTAGAGATTTGAGTTTCACAATTCATTGTAAATGTCTCTATTCTGCGACTGTCATTCAAACCGGAATATTGAGCACATCTCTTCGAAAATCATCGGTGATAACATGACTGCACCCATGAAGTTGCAAAATTTGCAGTTAAATATTTGCTGTCGGTAATTGATTAAGATGGGTGGAAAGATGTGAAAGCTATACGCATTTGTAAAATTACATGTAGAGATGATTCTAACTCATCTAGGGGTAGCTTATATTAAGTTTTCCAATCTGAGCTAGCATGCAGCAGTTGCAGCTCTGTCTTCAATATTCAATTTCTTTTTCAAAACTTGTCACAGACATCTTTATATTGATTTTTATCAGTCGGCCTATTCACTAAGAGGAGACTCAATAAATCAAATATTCTTCAATTAATTGAGAATTAATTGTGATACCGCCATCAAAATGAAGTAATCGCTCTAAAATTAAGTTCAAAATTGAGTTTAAAACTTAAAAAGACACTTTAGGTGCCACAATGAGGATTCTTTCATAAGGTATATTACAATCGGTATGAAAAATGAATGCGAAATATGCTATGGAAGTATCGTCATAGTTTTCATGATTGAAAATATTTTATGTTTCTACCATGCATGATGTTTACTTCTCTACAAGTGGCGCAAGGAAAATAGTTGAGTGGCAGAATTCGTGGAACGAGCCCCGGTTACGTTAAGCGGTTAAGAGGTAATTAATGAAAACGATTCTGTTATTATACTCGGGCATGATGAGATACATCTTTCTGAGAAGCTCATATTAATTAAGACGATTGCACCATTATTCCCTGTATTCTCTCCCATTGATTTTGAATCACAAGGTAAATATTGAACAGTTCTAATGCATTGTATACTATGTCTGTACGTGTGATCAACTGTGCTTCAGAATGTCCTCCAAATTCAAATTGGATAAGTGTTAATCAATGAAATTGACAGCTATACTTCTAATTTTCAAGTTAGAAGAAATACAATTCGATTTCACTTTGCGTATTCAGTAATCTTAACACAACTTATCACGTCTTCCTAATTTCTCTTTGACTTTTTCAAATTTTTAATTTCCATACAGCTGTACTTATGAGTGGTGATAGTACAAATCTACTGAATGCAGTGATCCTATATCGGTTAGAAAGATTGCCTTGCACTAAAATGTCAAATAGTGAACGTTGAATTGTGCATCCAAGGCGATTATGGTTTTAATTTAAATAAACAAGCACTGAACACTCATGGACGATGCTATTTTGTTACTGACTACTCCTGTTACTTTTTACCCGATTGATTTAAAGATTGCTAAAAAGATTATTATTGTTCACATGAATGTTTCATGATGTGGCGTCGTGTTAGGACTTTGGGTAGACGATAATGCATGGTCTGTATCACGTATACCAGTATACGAACACGTATATCAGTATACGTACGCGTATACCAGTATACGTACACGTATACCAGTATACGTACACGTATACCAGTATACGTACACGTATACCAGTATACGCACACGTATACCAGTATACGTACGCGTATACCAGTATACGTACACGTATACCAGTATACGCACACGTATACCAGTATACGTACAAGTATACCAGTATACGCACAACACGTATACCAGTATCCGTACACGTATACCAGTATACGTACACGTATACCAGTATACGTACACGTATACCAGTATACGCACACGTATACCAGCATACGTACACGTATACCAGTATCCGTACACGTGTATCAGTATACGCACACGTTTACCAGTATACGTACACGTATACAGCATACGTACACGTACACCAGCATACGTACACGTACACCAGTATACTTAATACTGGTATACGTGTGTGTATACGTTTACAGATGAATCTTCGCAATTCACACACACGTACCAAATGTTTCCTTGTCTCGACTCTCGAGAAATTCGACCTTGTCTTGACATCGTGTACGATCCGCATTCTGCATGGGAACAGCCGAACAGGTTTTGCAAAAGGGTATTTGAGAACTAAGTATTCAACTCTCTGCGTTGTTTTAAAACGATTTTCTTGTTCGTGACTAAAATATGATATGATGCTAATGTTTGATTGTTGTTGCGTTGAGTCACTATACAAATATTATGAGTTAGTTTTCGATTTGTTCCATAAAAACGCAGAGAATCTATAGCCAGGAGCAAGAAACGAGCTTGCCAGGAGTTGGTTCAATCACTGATAATTTATATTATACTTAAATTTATCAGGTTGCACATTTTTTACTTGATGACGGATGTATTTGCTTCTGCTGTTTGTAAAATTACTACTAATGGAGTTTCCTTGTCCTCATCACGATGAATAGTGCTGCATTTAATTGAAGCAGTTACGTCTTCTCAATTGCATCATGCATCCAGTGCTGCAGGCTTGCTCTTTCGGTAACTTGTGTGTGATGGTGGTGCGCGGTAAGCGAATTAAGCCCTCTTCTCATCTTTAAGTTATTCGGAATTCAAATACAGTTTCAGTGAGAAGGTCATAAGATGAATCTAATTCGAGGTCATGAATGTCCGGTGTTGAGCTCCATTGCATAACCATTGTTACGGAGCCGCAGATCAAACCTTCATATTAAAACCAGTACGAGATATAATGGTCAGCCTGATGCAGGTTTAGCTGCAGGGTTGCGGGTTTAGCGGGTTTAGCTGCAGTACTACAGTCCATAGAAGGAGGCTGGAGGTAGCGAACGTTTCGAGTCGTGCTATTTTACATCGGCATTCGTTCGTTGGACGCGCCACCTCACCTGACTAGGCCCGGTACAGCTCTCTCCAAGTCACATGCGGATGCGGTCGTGCAACACTAGTACTATAATGAAGGTTTAGAACTTTACAGAACATCTTTCACCTACAAAGATACACTAGATAAGAGTAAATGAAGACTATATCTTTTGACCGCCACCCAAGATACATCCGGAATGTTTATAGTGCCTCAAACTGCGTCCGTTTCATTCTGTGTGTTTAAAAAGTGTAAAGGTGTATTCGCGTTCTTAATAATCCATGAGTGTTAGCCTTTATGAAATGGTTATTAGTGTACCGCGACGTAAAACTGTGTCTGCATCGCCACCCGGTCCCCGCCGTCACCTCGCACGACTCGGTTCGGTGCAGCTCTCAGGTCATAGGTCGTTGCGCTAACTAACACGACACTCCAGTGCTATAATTTAGGGCTTTTAGGCTGAGAATCTCACATAATATCGTTCACCAACCAAGACGCCGCGCTAACACGACACTCCAGTGCTATAATTTAGGCTGAGAATCTTGCATAATATCGTTCACCAACCAAGACGCACTGCGTAAACGTACACTCTAATTTCTGCCGGGCCATAAGTAGAAAAACGGACATGAATTATTAAAGTGTGATATGAATGAAGTGCCCACTACTCGTATTTAAATAACAAAAAAATGTGAAATTGTGGATTGTGGGAAATGGATTAAGATAATTAGAGTTTACTGCTGAGACTGAATTGATCTTTGTTGTCTACAGGTGATTGGAGGAGTCAATTAAAACATTAAAAAAAGTTTATTTTATTTTCGAATTGCATTCATGATCGTATATGACACTATAGTGAATTTTCGCGATATTTCTTCTATTTACAAATTTCACAGTTCATATTTTGACGTAATTCATTAAATACTGGAATGGTATTTTCACATCATTTGCTGAATTTGAATTGGTCTCTGAAAATGTTGGTGGCTCGCGCCTAACGTCTGGTTAAACGTAGAGCCAAGACTCTTGAAATTCACTATGTCTAAGAAATACGTCACGATCCTGGTGTGGATGCTAGTTGTCTTTTCGCTTATATTCAAGAGCAGCAGCTTCGTGCATAACAACGTCTGATTAAGCGTAGAGCCAGGACTCTTTAAATTCACTATGTCTAAGAAATACGTCAAGATTCTGGTGTGGATGCTAGTTGTCTCTTCACTAACATTCAAGAGCAGCAGCTTTGTGCACAACAAAAGGAAGACAGCGCTGCTGCAAGGGGACATCCTCATCGGTGCTCTCGTGCCTTTACACTATCCGCCCGATGAGTTTGTGAGAGCGCAGACTTGTGGAGAGGTGAGTGCCTTCCATTAGTTTTTCCTAAGCGAGAGGCCTGGAAAATTCTTTAATAGATTTGCGTCATAATGAGCGATGAGTCTTCAATTAGTTTTTCCAAAGCAAGAGGCCTGGAAAATTCTTTAATAGATTTGCGTCATAATGAGCGATGAGACCCAATCCTAAGCCCAGCAGAAATCAAATAATATATTAGACGTGCTAATGCCTTCAATTAGTTTTTCCCAAGCAAGAGGCCTGGAAAATTCTTTAATAGATTTGCGTCATAATGAGCGATGAGACCCAATCCTAAGCCCAGCAGAAATCAAATAATATATTAGACGTGCTAATGCCTTCAATTAGTTTTTCCCAAGCAAGAGGCCTGGAAAATTCTTTAATAGATTTGCGTCATAATGAGCGATGAGACCCAATCCTAAGCCCAGCAGAAATCAAATAATATTTTTGACGTGCTAATTATCTTTCGAACGATGGGTTTTAACCTGCCTCAAGTTTGTGAAGAGAAGTAATCCACTCTAAAGTGAGGCTAATATCAAACAATTATACCACTACGCATCTTAATGCTCACTTAATTTCATTTGAAAGTAGTGTAGAAGCCATTGCGCAGCAAGCCAATTATCAACGTGCATGTATGTGTAAAATTTGAAAATTTTCACTTGCATCTCTTCTCGTCCTCTAAAAATTGTAATATTCACTGGCAAATGGAGACTACTTGTAAAAAACGCTAAGAATAATAACTCCCGTGAAAATAAAATAATTTACATGAGTATGGAACCCAAGGGAACCATTTATAACAAGAAAGAGTTTTTAATTTTGAAAATTTTCTTTCGAAAAGTCCGTGGACTATCCAAAAGCTATAAATTAATACTTTTAAGTTTATTTTTTAGCGATTGAAAATAGACTATACTTTGTATCGACGCATGAATATATTCCACTACTGTGTGGATATTTCTTGCACAAAACCTACATCTTAATTCAACAATTGCTACGTCAACGTCGTAAACGAGATTTTAAATAATTTTTGGAATGCATTAGTACTTAAATGTTTTAAAACGTGTTGAATTTAAAATTTCGTCGAATATGTCCACAATTTTTTCATATTCGTTGAATCAGCGGGCCGAGTCTAACCACAGTCCGCTTACAACTGAAATTCTCGGAAAATACGTAAGTTAAGAAAGTTCGACACAAATTGCCATCTACAGTTGGGAAATGACTTTACGACCACCCAGCTTTTTCTAATATTTTTTCTGTGTAAAGAAATACGGGATTTTATGATACGATTTAAAAGTACGTTCAAAAACGGTCTCAATGGGAATGGTTATAAAACCAAGAAAAATAAGTATCTTTCCGCAATATTTTCCAATTAAGATGCACGGCAACAAGAAGAATATCCATGCGGATCCGGACGCTAATCCGAACGGCTACGGATCAAAAAAGCATCGTTGACCAACCCCAAAATAAACCGACAGGGATCTTAGCCTCTTTATAGGCGACTGTTTTCAGTGGCTTCTCGTTCTGGCGCTACCTCTACTTCTACAGTGTGAAATTGGCCACTGGAGTTAATGTGACAGCACGAAGCATCCGTCAGATATTGCATGACTCGGAGACAGTACATGGATCGGAAAAATGCCCCTATGCTAAAACAAAAGCATATTAACAATCGACTAAAATTTGCTGTAAAAGATGTGTTTATTGGTGAGGGAAGGGACAAGATTATCTTCAGCGATGAAAACAAGTTCAATCTTTATGGTCCAGATGGATAGCAATGCTATTAATTGGCACTACCTGGACCTCGAATCTGAATTATTTTCCAAGCGCCAAACTGGTGTTGGTTCTGTCATGGTTTGGGATGCGTTTAGCCGAAAGGAAAAATCAGCTCTAGCTATTCTACAAGCCAAGGGAAACAAGATTCTGAGGCATACAAGCACACGCAATTTCGCCATTTTCTCCCTTTTGTCTATGAGAAGTATGAGCGATCATATGTTTTCCAGTAAGACAATGCTTCGATTCACACCTCGAAATCAGCAGATTCGTGGTTCCAAGAGCAAAATATTACCCGCCGTGGCCAGCGCTTAGCCTTAACCTCAACTCCATTGGAATCATGACGATGGATGTTTACCAAAATGGGCCAGTTCCAATCTGTAAGTGACCTAAACATGGCTATCCTTCGTTCCTGGGACAAAATTGTTCAAAAGACTCTGGATGATTTGGTAAATAGCATGGGGAGAAGATGCATTGAGGTAATTAAGAAGAAAGGAGGTAAGATTGCCTATCAAAACGAGTGAATGGGATCAGCAAACAGAAAAACATATCTTGGTCTTATAGCCGATTCCGCCTAAGTTTTTTTAATTTTCATCATTTCTTCGCATATATTTCGAAAAAAAAAACATTTTTTCTGTATATCGTTGGAACCGTTTTTAAACGCAGTTTAATCTCGTATAATTACAATTCCGTATTTCTTTATTCAAGAAAATATTTAGAGAAAGCTGGGTGGTCGTATAGCAAACCGTTTTTAAACGCAGTTTAATCTCGTACTAATTACAATTCCGTATTTCTTTATTCAAGAAAATATTTAGAGAAAGCTGGGTGGTCGTATAGCTATTTCCGCAACTGTATTAATTGAAAAAGTTTAGGAGTTCAGCTTTATATATAAATATATAGATATATATATTTAAGAGGTATAAGTCTAACAATAACCGGACAGAATTGGTAACATTATCGGACATGGGTTAGATACCCGGACAAAATCGCGTCCGGTTGTGTACTCTGCAATTTATAGTTATAGTACCCAAAGACCCGACGGGAAAATAAATGAACTATACTACCGGACATCAAAAAAACGTCAACCTCGTTGGTTATAGAGTTAGGGTTAGGTGTTTCCAAAACCTTTCTTTACGTTGCTAAAGACCTTTCTGCAGGGATTAGGTCCAGCCAGGTTGAGTTTTTTTTACCTATATTTGCAATTTAGAAAAAATAATTAAAGTCCGGATATATATATAATATATAAATACATATATTATATACTGTATATTAATTAGTAAGCCCGCGACAATGATTATGTAGTTGACGTTTTTCAATTGGTTATTTAAGGTAAAAGAACTTTTTCTCGCTGGACCAAACCTTAGTAAAATTGTAAAAAAGTTTGTAAAAACTATTTTTACACCTCTAACCCTAACTCAAACCATTATTCATTTCTCCCATTTTCATTGAGACCAATGCGACAATTTTATCAATATACTTATTTCCCACAAGATTCGAGAGCACTACGGCATCCAGCGCGTCGAGGCAGCGTTCCTCGCGGTTGACGAGATCAACCGCAACCCCGACCTGCTGCCCAACATCACCCTGGGCATCGAGATCAGGGACTCCTGCTGGTGCTCCTCCATCGCCCTCGAGCAGAGTTTGGGTTAGTTACCCCTGCAGTCAACTCCAGTGACCATTTGTTTCAGTTGGCGCTATATTATGTGGTGATACGAAGGTCTTAAACACATTAGGAACTTGATTCCAAGGAAAAATTCCGGTTCCCAAATTTTACATTATTGTCATATAGAATAGAAGTGTCGGCACTGAAGAAATAGGCCTATGGCCTGTTGCCGATTCTTGAATTTTTCGTGACTTGATTCACAAAGAATCCGGCCTTTGTAACCCGATCTTTCCATAACTGACGATTGATTGATTGAGCAGGGTTATATATAATATATTATCAGTTAAATTAATAATATCAAGCTTAGGACCCTTGTAATCAGTAATATATTGACTACATTCATTTCGCATGTACAGTTAATATAAGATCACACTCAGTATGGGTTGATGTTTTCCTCGGCAACAGCAGTCGCAATTCTATGAATTAATTAACATTTGTAATTGCAATGCCCTTAATTAATCCTTATCGATGTCGTCCTCTCCAGAATTCATCCGCAATGCCATATCAGACTCGGACAGCTGCGGAGGCAGCGGCGGGCTCGACGACTCCAGGGACTTCATCCGACCGAACTGCAAGAAGAACATCGTCGGGGTTATTGGCCCCGCGTCTTCCGAAGCAACGATACAGGTTTGAGACTCCAAGTAAATTTCATTTTATGGCACCCGAGAGCATTCGCGTTCTGTTCAAATTTAGAGAACACTTCTTGAATTTAAAAAGAACTGGTTTTGCGTAAATTTTCATTTTATGGCACCCGAGAGCATTCGCGTTCTGTTAAAAATTTAGAGAACACTTTTTGAATTTGAAAAGAACTGGTTTTGCGTTGTGCTTTTACGTTTGGTTTTCCTCGACAGAATAAGGAATTATGTTTATTGATTATTATGAATATTTTTTTTGCTTAAATACCCTACTTCGTCAAAAGCCTTCCTGTGTATCTGGATTTGATTTCGAAATATTTCTTCTAATTTGGATAAGTTGGTTTAATGAATATTATCACATCACAAAATTGTGCATTTTTTTACCCAGATAATTATTGTGCTGGCAGGTTCAAAATCTACTGAAGCTATTTAATATCCCGCAAGTTGGCTACTCGGCGACTTCTTCATATTTGAGCAATAAAAATAGATTTTCCGATTTCCTGCGAGTGGTTCCATCTGATTACTACCAAGCCCAAGTCATGGTTGACATCGTTCACTATTACAACTGGACATACGTCTCGACGGTCTACACTGATGGTAAGCACCAGTAACATTCTGTTCACTTATCGTTCACTATTGCAACTGGACCTACGTCTCGACGGTCTACACTGATGGTGAGCAACAGTAATATTCTGTTCACTATTACAACTGGACCTACGTCTCGACGGTCTACACTGATGGTGAGCAACAGTTATCTTCTGTTCACTTATCGTTCTCTATAAGAACTATACGTATGTCTCGACGGTCTACACTGATGGTAAGCACCAGTAATATTCTGTTCACTTATCGTTCACTATTGCAACTGGACGTACATGTCGACGGTCTACACTGATGGTCTCATGTAAAAATGAGACCGGGGAACCACAACAACAAAATTGATAGTGGCACCAGTTATCTTCAATTCAATATTAATAACTACAACAAGTGGACGTATGTCTCGACGGTCTACACTGACGGTGAGCTCGCTATGTTATTTCAGACTCCACTCTGCTCACCTCGGCCAAAACGACACTGCTTCTATCGGCCCAAATCATTTGTTATTGCTCAAAAAATATTTTTCAGTAGGATACATTGCATTTCCGCTTAAAAATATACGGCTTTAAAAATAACTAGTTAAACCACAAACGCGTGAGTTTGTCTAACTCAGTGCACTGATATTTTTTTTCCAGACAGATTAAATTAAAAACAAAAATTATATCTGCCATAATCGTGATAATAATGTTGTCTCTTAAGTTTGCGCAAATTTACTTCGTTATATTCATTAGAAATCGTTAGCAAGGTTAAGCCGTTGTTGAAATGATTTTTGATGCAATGCTGTTTTTTTAAATAAAGTATATCATGACAGTACTTGATTCCTTTTGAAACTTGGCTAAATGGTAGACTCATCTAAGAAATTATAAATTGATCTATAAACAAAGCCCACAAGCCTCATCGATTCTTTTTGTTGTCTGTAGTATTTTGAAAAAATTAAGACCGGAAAATAAAGACAATCTTCACCGGCCTATAACAATGGGCCAATTCTTCTAATAATCTATTTGGTTGAGTCTCTGCCTTATTGTAGGTCTCGTGAGCCTCGTTACACTTCTTTGGTCACCAAAGATTAGCAAAGACATTTCCGAGATGCTGGTAACGGCCTGATACCCTTAATTTGTTCTTCTATGAGCTATGGAAAGCAGTGAATCTGGTTGTGCAAAAATTTTCCTGTAAATATGTAACAATATGTTTAGAAATAAATAAAGTCTAAGGGCTCATTAACGCAACTCCGAACCCATCAGTGGTCACGGTATTTTACTCAATTTTCCGACGGTCAGTATAGTTATAGAGTGAAGTAGTGGAATACAATTTAACTTTATCTGCTCTTGTTCACATCAGCATAGCCGGAGATGACGCCACTAAGCTTCCTATCAATACTCTGTTGCACCCGTTGAGAAACGCTGTACAATTTTACGGTGTCACGCTGACGTGACATCATGTGTAGCCGCACGCAGGTTACCTCGCTCCTCTAAGTAAGCCAACTTCACGCAATATACAGTAATAGACGGAAACTGTTATCAAATCTTCTTATGTAAATAGAGGATTATACTTATCTTCTAAAAATCGCTGTGATGTGGTTGTGAAATTTCAAATCTCTTTTTCACGAAGCTAATTTGTCAGAACGTATGATTAGAGTTAACTTCGTTGACCCTTAAGTTTTTTCGTTAAATATCGCTTATTTTTATCCTATCCAATTACGCCGATTTTTTACAAGACTTCTCTTTAACTTCACTTCTTGTTTGTCTGTTTGTCTGTCTGTCTGTCTGCTACAAATCTTGTAATCGAAATTTAACACACTTCTACTTATCCAATCGATCTGAAATTTTGCATACATGTTTAAAGTTGGAGACAATGCATGAATCAAACGTCAAAGTAAATGATTTAAGAAGTAAAAAAAATTTTTTTTGAATATTAAAAAAATTGAAAAAATAATTTTGTCAGCTACAAATCTTATAACTGATATTTGACACACTTTTACCTGTCTAATTGATCTGAAATTTTGACTTCATTGGAAGGTCAGTGTATTGAGTGAATAAGGTTTTGCATCAAGTTGATTGTCGTTCAGAAAGTCTGTCACACTTCAACTTTTGTCATTGTTGTTGCATAATTCGATGGAAAAGCCGACATTCTTTTCCGACGTCAGCTGCCTTGGACAGGGTGGATAGCTAGAGTCAGCATAGCCAAGTCCACTTTGCGATTCATATACCTTCCCTAGCGTAACGCAGCCGGGCATCTTCACGGCTTTTGATACAAAGCGCCCACCACAACAGCGCCGTTCAGTCACAGGCCGCAGCGCATACAGGCCGGAGCACAACTGGCCGGAGCGCAACAGGCCCTACCGCAACAGCTCAACAGCTACTCCTAACGTAACTTAACCTAACCTGCGCCGCCTGTTGCGGTAGGGCCTGTTGCGCTCCGGCCAGTTGCGCTCCGGCGCTGTGAAGCAGTGGCTGTGTTGTGCACAGCGGATTTACTGTTAGCCGGAGTTACCCACAGCTCATTGATCTTAGGCTATGTGTAGATATTGCATGCTGATGGTTGGCGTTAGGCCCAGGGCCTGTTTACGAGTCAATTTTGTTACCCACGGCTGCGCTCCCCCTTGGACAGACATTGTACAACGGCAACCATGTTCTATGAGGTAAAAAGTTCACTTGTCTCAGAGCTTAGGGAGGTTTTAAAGCAAAACCAAACATTAAATAACGGGAAAAATACTTGTTACTTTGAGTAATTTTTTGAGACGTTCAACCAAACGCCGAGCTATTCCGGAAATTCAGGATTTTATTTAGCTTCCAGTGTTCTTTTACCGCCCACGCAAACGCCGGCCCCTACGTCATCAACGAACTTAGAAAGATTAGGAACATTTGTCGAAGGCGGGAGTCTCCTTTAGTTCACATGGATACACACGGCCGTGTTTCATTTCTATAGTCTTTACAATTGTACCTGACTAAATTTTTTCGTTAAATCCTTTGTATACTTTATTCTCCATCGAATTTCATACATTTTAATTTGAATTGTTGATTCATTTATAATCGTGTTACGATGTGGGTAGATGTAAGTCTGGTATATGATTCCTTCAATTTGAATTTCTGCAAGTGTGCACTACCAGTAGTCGTCTGTGCTCACAAGGCCTGATGCCCAGTATCTTCATGTCATAATTCTATCGTCAAGCTGGTTTAAGGTCAAACATTCAAATCATTAATTGAATATTTTCGCCTCTTTTTTTCCCAACCAAATCTAGACTCTTTGGTTTTTCATTGAATTACATCTTTTATGCCTTACATTGTCCGCACTTAGGCCGCGTTTCTTTCTCACGAAAACATTTTTTGTAGCATTTTTGAGTGAAAGCTGCTTGTTGCAGCAGTCTCGCTACGAACTCATTTTGTGCCGGTCATTGGCTAATTAAGTGACGATGAGAAAAAGTGATTTGCCGCGGGCCGAGGTGTTTTTACATAATAGAACATTACTACATTACTCTTAGAACATAAGTTCAATTCATTAACCAACTGAAAACGGGATTTACTGGAAAAAATTTGTTTACGGATGAGCTCGAACTTCATGTTTCAAGCCATCTTAATTTTTAATGCCTCGATGCATCTCCTCTCATTCAAATACTAATATTTGTGACGACTATTTCAAATCTAAGTACTTTGTCAAGTGACTAAATTCTATTGCTTGAAAAAATTGCAGTGTCACACGTTATTCTGTCTAATTCATTTCTTCAAATATTTAGTATTAAAAGGAATCTACCTCATTTTCAGTGATGGCTGGGCAGACCGGACTGACGTTGTCGACAGGCTAGAAGAAATTTTCATTGGCGGAATTTCAGTCAGGATCAAAAGACCTTATTTAATGGACTTTGCTAATTACTATTCTGCCTTGAAGCCAATGCAAAACTCGAGGAACCCTTGGTTCGAAGAATTCTGGCAGCACAAATTCAAATGCTCACTCCCGGTCAAGGAGACATTAGAGGGCTTGCCGCCGTGCACTGGTGAGTCCCTGTCATGGCGTTACAAAAAGATTATTTCGCATAAAGATTAAAAGATCCGTAGTTATTATAACAAAATTATTGATGAAGCACCGATTGGTTATCAATGGAGGTCAGAGTACTCGATAGATGGAATAGATGTAGCATCAATGAGGATGAAGGTCTTTGACACTGCCTTGTCGACCAATGCTTACTAATGTGACGTGCCTTTAAAAACAATTCTTGCACCCACGCACAAAAAAATTTCCTTTTAGTGAACACTTATAACAATAAAAAGAAATTTTTTTATTAAAATAAAAGAAACCGAGTGAGGTCCTGAACCTCAAATCCTCTATCCTATGATGTGCTCGATTTCCACTTAGCAACTGCACCCATNCAGTGAAAACCTGTACGAATAGGCTTCTGTATTCTATGGTTTCAGGCGCCAGCCTGAGCAGTTAACCAGCGCGCTGGCAACCTGCTTTCACTGGTTGCATACCCTAATGTCGGAGAACTCAACCGACGCGTTACATCGCGGAGCGCTTATCAACTACTGCGGGGGCCTTACCAAGGTTCCCAGCACGTTTATAGACATTTATATTATATAAAAAATTTGAAAAATTAATTTCTTTAATTTTCGAAAATAAAATTAGAAATTCATTGTACATGTGTAACATTGAAGACTCTGGATTCTTTAGAAGTGTTGTCTTTAAAAAGTAATTATTAAAAGTATATTTTTTTCTTATTACTTACGATTATAGAAAATGATTCTCTCAATAAAGGCAAGCTTGTACCATGTAATAATTGTTCCATTCTAGATATCCATGTACGTATTCATTCAATTGTGGTCCAAGCTTTGCGTTCTCTCCCTGATCGTTATGCGTAATGAGGAATTGCATCATATATGTTATGCTGCACCAATAAGGCTTCTCAAAGTTTACGAAAACTTCGCTGAGAGAAAACTGGTTCATACACGACGGGTTCTCATATTGGTACAATAACTTAAATAACAGTGCATTTCTCGTGTTTGTTTTAGCGAATTCAAAATGAAGCACGGAAGTTGATAGGTACACAAGAAGTTTTTCCACGTAGTCTAATACGTGATGTCATGTTACTAAGCTGTGAAGTTTGTTGATTGTTTTTCATAAGATAATAGTTCATAAATGAGTTGAACACAGACATTAAATAGGATGCTACATGTGACAATCCGTAATCTTGTCAATCACCAGTACGGTATGAAAAAAAAAACTCCAGAAAGATTCCAATGTGACATTATGGATCAAATTCATTAATCAATAAATTAATGTATCAATAATTCCCATTATGATGGTCCATATCTCAACAATACTTCAAATGGGTTATTAATCGATGCAATAAAGCCAACTGAAATGTGATCTAATTTAAGCTATCTAAATTCAAACTATTCTAATTAAATTCAGTTTTTGGTTATTTACAGACTCACTTGATGAACGTAACATATCAATTCCACAACGATACGGTTTCGTTTGATGCTAACGGAGACCCCCCAGGCAGGTCAGTCTTTATTCATTTCCTAGCGACCCCGGCTTTCAATAACACATTGTACAATCGGATGACTTCCTAAAATAGTGAAAATGTTAGATTGGTTCATTATGTGAATGAAACAAGAAGTACTCTGTTTGCATAACAGAAGAACTTGAGTATCTCTGACTTGGTTTACAGGTACGAAATATTGAATTTCCAACGCTTCAATAACGGATCGTACGGATACGTAAGGATCGGCACTTGGGATAACGGCACTCTCGAAATGCAGCAAGGAACCGTCATGTTCAACAGCCTCAATGGCCTGCCACCCACGTCTGTGTGTTCCAGTCCTTGTGCCGCTGGTACAGCCAAGGTGAGCTCATTTATCTTTTTATTTAATTAATGTGTAGGAGTATATCTTTCATATAACAATCCTAGAAAAATTACAACAATCATCCGTGATTTCATCAGGGGGAATGCATAATGGCCTGGAAAAAGTAGGCGTAGCTTTTAGTCAAAACCTTTTCAATTTTAGCATAGCGGTTCCAGCGTTTATTAGGCCGTAGGCCTGTCGTCGATTCTTAACATCGCAGAACATTCACAGCTTGTTGCAGTCTCGAACTCGCAACTCACTGCTCCAAATTCTACTGTGCTTAGCACCTCTGCGCCAATCTTGGTACTCTGAATGAAATATAACCACTGGGCCACTGTCCTTTTCAACTTTTTCCAGATTAATTTCATAATTGTCTTGCTCTCAATTAGCCTTTTTGAACTTATATAAAATGAACATTTTTTTATTTGTATAAATGTAAAATGAAAAAAAGTCACATTTATAGCTTATTATTCACGTTAAACTGGACAGGAATAATTCTAAAGACGTGTGCTGGTACCCTAAAGGCAACCAATTGGAGCCAATCCTGGTACTCTGAAATATAACCACTGGGCCACTGTCCTTTTCAACTTTTTCCAGATTAATTTCATAATCGTCTTGCTCTCAATTAGGCGTTTTGAACTTATATAAAATGAACATTTTTTTATTTGTATAAATGTAAAATGAAAAAAGTCACATTTATAGTTATTATTCACGTTAAACTGGACAGGAATAATTCTAAAGACGTGTGCTGGTACTCTAAATGCAACCAATTGGCTCTGGGAAAGCTTGGGCTATAATATCAAACCATTTTTTTGCATATTCTTCTTTTTTCAAAAAATTTTACTTATTTGGCTCCCCTGAACAACTAAAATTTCCAAAATACGCCTTCTGAAAAATTTATCTCCTATGATTTTCAAGCTACAGCATTGAGAGATATAACCATTCGATTCGAAAATAAAATCTCTATAGCCTAGATCATCAGGCCATTTTTTCGACTTGTTTTTGTTTTGGTTATATATTGAAAAAGGGGCAGAAAATGAAAAAAATAGCGAAGAGGTAAAAAATTGAAAAAATTAGGAAAAACTAAAAAAAATCGAAAAAATGTAAGGATGATCTTAAGATATGGTCTTTACGCATCGAATGATCTGTCCCTCGATGTTGTAGCTTGAAAATCCTGGGAGGAAATTGATTTTTACAGTACCTCTTTTTTGACGTTTTCTATGAATTTCAAGTTTTCTTTAATTTTTTCGAAAAGTTTACATGAACAAATATGTCATTGATTTACATTTTACATATGCGTACCAAGTTTCATAATGATCCGTCCGTAAACAAAAAAGTTTTTTAGACCGACATGCTCCCCTTATAAGAGGTTACATTTGATACCATGTTAATCAAGCAAGAAGGCACGTTTTTTATATCCAGTTTTACTTAGGAACGTTCGCAGAAACAATATTTTCCTTGAAGATTACTTCCTAATTTTAATTTGCTATTCGTCGCAGTCTTTCCAAAAAACCGGAGAGAAGATCAAGACGTGCTGTTGGACGTGTCTCGAATGCGAAGACTCCAAGTATCTGTTCAATGAAACCACGTGCTCCGAGTGCCAGCCTTACTTCTGGCCAAATGTCAACAAAACCGGTAGGTTAATGGCAGGCTTCACGCACAATTATGAAGGAACTTATAACAACATTATGAACTATAACAACCAACCCTTTTGTTTACATTTTGTTATGATGCGTCCATTGTCTTGTACGGAAGAGTTCGAACACCTACTGTCAATGTGTAGAGTTCAGCAAATTTATAAAATACATAAAAGGTTATGGGTGGGTTCGATGATGAAAATAGGTCACGATCAAACACTTACCGCGAAGCTTGGCTATAGCGTACGATCGGCGATCCAGTTGTTCAGTGCGCTTTAGTACGAACTTGAACTGTTCAGTGTGCTTTAGTACTAACTTGAACGATCGGGATGCATTGCATTGGCGAAAGACTGTCAGATGCGGATAGAATGTTAATTTGTGCCGCTGAGAGCTGATGCAAAGGAATTATATTCTGATTAGAAATTATTGTTTTTTAGAGGGCAATCAAAGAATTTTATGTGAGAACCATATAACGATTAAAACAGTTTTAGATACTCGAAATGAGTTATCACCTTTTTTTAAAGCAGTTTAGAAAGAATCTAACACGAATAAACTTCACTCTTAGTTCACTTCACATTCTCTGTGATAGTAAGCCCGTACTACCAGCCCATTACTGTTTTATGATTGATCTTTTTAATTACTATACTAATTACCATATATTGGTTGACCTGTAGGCTGCGAAGAGATCATGGTTGAGCATCTCTCTTGGGGCGACGACCAGGTCATTGCGCTGGTTTTGGCTGCGCGGGTTTTGGCTGCGCTGGGATTTTTGACGACCGCTATTACGATGGCTGTCTTTATCCACTACAACCAAACTCCAGTCGTCAAGGTGGCGTGATGGCTCTAACCCTGTTTTGTATTGTTGAAAAATATGACTGGATTATATAGTTCTACTATAACTGGACCAGAACGGTCTATCATCACATTAATCGTTGTTGGTCATATTAGTACGTCCATCAACTAACCGAATCCTAATCACAGAAGCTCTCAAATTGTCTATTATTTGGATATCTAGGGAAGACGAGAAAATAAAAAGCATTACCGAAACATCTCTAGGTATTACATTAATATATTTTTCCGCATTTACTATTAATTGCAGGTAGATTGGAACCAAGTAATGACCAACATTGCTTCTGGAGTGAAACCTGTCTGTATCAATAACTTGCTCCACTGAACCAAAATGATGTCCTCGTGTGTTCTCGTCAGGCATCGACTCGCGAGCTGTCGTACATAATTTTCGTGGGCATGATGATGTCGTACTCCTCGTCCCTCGCATTCCTGGCCCCGCCGTCGACTACCTCTTGCATCGCGGCTCGCCTCCTGCCCGGCCTCTCGTTCTCCATGATCTACGCGCCGCTTTTGATAAAAACCATCAGAATTGCTCGCATTTTTACCGGCAGCAAGAAGTTTATGGTCCAAAAACCGAGATTTATGTCAACCTTTGTCCAAGTACGTTATTTTTTAGTTCTTCCTTGCGTCGTACATCAAATTTTGTGAGATATTTTTTCACCTCGGCTTCTGTCTGAATCTTAATGTCTGGTCAGTTTATTTTCTGGTCAGCACTCGAACATGGCTTGTTTCAATTGAAAACCATGCTGGACAGCCATATTTCGAGAAAACATAATACCACAAAGCGTTACAGTTTCCAACTTGCAGGTGGTGATAACACTCATCTTGATCTTCGTCGAAGTCGTCATCATCGTCGCTATGTTTATTTCGGAGCCTCCTGGGACCGAGCGACAACAAGTGCGCGATCGGGTAAGCAGAACGAGCCTTGATTAAATATATATGTCTATTTAATTTACGTTTAGATAGAACATTGGTTTTGATTTATGAACATCTCGTGCTTCTAAAAAATGACGACCGAGAGCATACGAACTTGTGTCGTCGAATGCGAACGTCTTGCGTTGACTCGCCTCTAACGAGAATTATAGGCGATTGAACTATTGTAAATTCTATGGTTACTTATCGTTGTTCTCGAATGAAAGGTGATGCTGGAGTGCAACGCGTCCACTTTAAGCATCACGGTTCCTCTGGCCTGGGACTTCATTCTTGTGATGATGTGTACACTTTACGCCGTCATGACCCGAAACTTGCCTGAGAATTTCAATGAAGCAAAGTTAATTGGTTTCTCCATGTACACGACCTGCGTGATATGGGTGAGTGACTTCGTCATACAGCGACATTTGTACAACAATTCTCTTTAACTTCACTTCTTGTTGTTTGTTTGTCTGTCTGCTACAAATCTTATAATCGATATTTAACACACTTCTAACTCTCCAATCAATCTGAAATTTTGCACACTTGCGTGAAGTTGGAGACAATGTATGAATCAATTGACAGAAAAAAAAACTAATTTCAAAACTTTGCCCTCCTCATGTGGTCTCCCTATAATGTTAAGATTTAAGAAAGAGAATTTAGTTATTCAAGTAAAACATTTATTCGTGGGAATCCTTGGAACTAAGCCTAGTGAGATCCCACATTTTGATAAAATTCTGCTTGTGCATAAAGAACGAATTTGTTGTTCATTTGTTCAAAGCTAGCGTGGGTTTCGATCTACTTCGGCAGCAACCACAAGATTATCTGCATGAGCGTCTGTACGTCGCTCAGCGCACTCGTCACTCTCATCCTACTCTTCTTCCCGAAGATCTACATCATAGTATTCAGGTAAGAGTTACTTATTCCTTGCAAGGTGCCATCAATTTTTTGTTAGATTAGTCCCTTGCATCAACTAAACCCAATAGTCTCCAACTCAACTCAACAGGCCACATCAGGGCTGCTCTTCAGCGCCGACATCACTATGTCCGTGTAATTATAATCCGTTACTGTTGTACCAGTTCTAACAAAATGAAACAGTGGACAATCATCTGAATAACCTTTTCAGTCTCACTATTTCTATATGCTCATTCTGTACTCATTTCTTACAACTCTGCAGGCCGCAGCTCAACATTCGACCAGTAACGACTATGGAGGTCCGTGTCCATATTGGTTCAAATAAGTCCTTGGGGGAAGTGGACAGAAATGTACCTAAGAAACCAGCGGGGTGAGTACATGTTAATCTGGTTTGAGCCTTTTGAAGAGTAATTACATTTTCGATTTGTAATAAATTTCACTTAATCATTTATTTACATCCCACGATATTAATGCTGTAGGATTAAGACTGTAACTCGAATATTTAGCTGCACATGCTATGGCAAGGCTCACATTTTTCACCTACCAGCCTCCATGTGTGCACAAAAGTTGACAATTATTACTTATGAATGAATGATTTATTGTTATTTCATTTCACAATTTCCACTATTTAGTTGATCTATCCTCGGACAGTATAACTATCGTGAAACTGATGTACATGAAATGAATAAAATTAAAACAAGTGAGTGTTGGCATCTGTTTTTAATGTTAACCACGATCGTGCAGGAGTTTCAAAGGAGTAGCGACAATCTTGAAAGCAGGCCACTTACTGCGGCATCCAATCATGACGCGCCTCAAAAGCGCACTGCACACGCCGGTCTCAGGTCCCAACGCTGGGCGACTGCATCCCGACTTCGCCTCTTCGCCGAAAGCGGCGAAGACCAGAGGTGCCCTCAAACAAGAGGTGCCCGAAAGATACTGACTGAAGCTCCAAGGCCGCAGCCACATCATTGCAACTGCCGGCGCCAGTCTTCCTCTACTCATCAAATGCCTTTACCAAATTCCATTTGTTCGGCTGCGTTAAATGTTCTGTTTATTTAATATTATCATATCAAAACAGGTATCCAGAGCAATAGTAAAATGGAGCCATAGCGAACTTCAACTGCTATCATAAGGTGCGATTGCGTGCATTCTTACCGGAACATGATTTCTGAGTTGAGAACATTCTGAGCTTCCAAAAGAAGTTTAAAGCAGGCTTGTGCCGGGATAAATCCCAGCATTACCATTAGTATTAGTTTTAATGTTTTTTTAGTCTCCGCGTACACGGACATACGCGTTTCGGGTTACTCTCGAAATTTTGGCGGTTTAAGAAGCGTCGATGGCTTCCCTGTTACCGGGATAAACAAAAAAAACGGGACACTTAGGGAAATCAAAAGCGTGAGTAATTTTATTGTGACTTATCCTTTTTATGTTCTAAAAGTATACTCATATCAAATTGTTTGTAATGTGTCTCCGCAAACTCGTTTCTACCAAACATTAAATTGATAGAATCCTCCAGTGGCCAGTAACCCAACTTGTCCTATGCAGTATTAATAATTAGCATGTGACCTGTATTTTATACTAATTCTGGTGTTAAGTTCTCATGATAACACGAATGTAAGTTAGTCACTTCCTGATGACTTTGCATCATTTTATGTGTAAATTTTACCTGATTTATCAGTGATATGAGCAGGGATGTTCAAGTATTATTTACTGGTACATGATTTTCTATCTCATCATAATTCATAACGCAGTCTGAAAACTATGTGCCGCATCAATAAGGCATCATTGAATCCAGTTAAACTCTCTTGAATGATCTTGATATATCGTCATTTCATAGCAGTTTCATAGTTATTGATATATCGTCATTTCATAGCATTTCATAGCAGTTCATTTCGTCATAGCAGTTGTATGTTTCCTTTTTCTGAAACTGATTTTTTAGCTAATTGCAACCATAATAAACACTACACGTGTAGTGTAGTGTTCACTACACGTGATTGTGCGAATTAATCTTATTGCCTATGATTTATGAATCAATTACTATTTTTAATTTCCTTTCGCGTAACTTAACCATGCAGTTGCACTGCATAACCCAGAGCGGAACTTTTCCTTGACAAAATATTTTCATGTTTGTGTTATAGTCCTAGGTAGAAATCAGAGTACATTTTCGAGCGTTTTAAATTGCTCAGTTGTTGCCGATTAACGCTCAGAAGAATTAACCTTAAGGCTAATATACAGTAACTATAAGTTCTGCCTTCTTACGCTACTCTGTTTTGCAGAGCACGTCATGTGAAGAACTCAATATAAGACGTTGAGCAAGTCTGTTTCATTGACACCATCTGCGCTTCTAGCTAAGAGGCCGCGACAAGGCTGTTTCAGTCAATTATTACTTGAATAGAAAAATTTAAAGGTTTACACATTTTTCTTTCGAGTTGAGTATTAGCAAAAGTTTTAAACTCCCTTACTCTGACGGATCAGCGTGAAATTTGTGCTAAGAATATTAATTCACCTTCCCTATGTTGCCAAGAACTAAAAATTTATTTTTTAAGAACGAATCGAAAAGCTATTAAGGAACTAGTCAACCTTTACAAACCTTATCAGTTTAGCACCCAAAACAAATGAAATTAAACTGTCGGATATTTAAATTCGTGAAACAAAATCTGCCACCCGATTAACACCAAGTCAACCTAATTATTATTGTTTATTATAATTATTAATTATTATTGATGTGTTCAGAACATCGATGAGGTCAGAAATCGACAATAAAATTAAAACATAACACCAATCCCACGAACTCAAGGTATAAATTAGGTGCTTATACACAGGAAGAGTAGTCGCGTTTACAAAAATTCCCAGTTTTGTCCGCTGAGAGCCTATACACGATGCAAGTGCTTTCCGTACAGTACGCCGGCGCCAGTGCGACGTTGGGAGTTTTCTAGTAAGGTGTGTGCATGGTTGAAGTAAACAAGAGCAACACAGTTAACACTACAGCGGCCAATTGGCACAAGCAAAAGAGAGCGACACAACTACGCACACTACAGCGGCCAAGGCGTTACTGGGCTTACTGGTAATAATGGAAGTCTGGAACTCGAAGTTCGAACTCGACTGGCTCAGAAGTTCAGAACAACCTGAAGTGCTTTGGGTGCAATGCACCAGCTTGTCACCTCCGAAGACGTTAATCATAACAAAAATTTGGAGTCGACTTAACTAATCGACGCGAGTACTCGCTCCGTGTATGAGCAAAGCACCTTATAAAGTTATATGCTTAACCTTAGTACCTTGAAGGCTATGAATTGTTCACAAAAAATGATGTATACAATTTTTGAGTAGAGTACTAAGAAATAATATGAAGAAAAAATGCCTTGTTCCTTAATTAATTATAGTCCTGAACATCGCTTCAAACCGCGTCAGCTTTTTCATCAGTTGATCCTTCTTGAATAATTACTAGGTATAATATTAGCGTCGACAAAAAAACATTAACTTGTTTGTGTAAATTATTTATTTGTACAAACTAGCACTAATAATTAATGTATCAACCGTATTTCTACCAAACCAATTTAATTTTCGACATACTTTTGCTACACGAGGTTTGCTGTTAATCATTGAAGTACGTTCATGGCGAAAAATTTTCCGAAGTCTGCCCATGCAGTGATACGTGCTCATTCCTTTGTTGCGTCGAAGATTGATGGGAGCCCCTACCACGTGCTCATTCGCAAGTGATCCACACCCCTACGAGCACCCCATTCGGGGGTGCTCATTCGCACCCGTGATCCACAAATTTCATTCTTGAATAAGCCATGCGTGATGGGATGGACGTCTCGGACAAAAACGCGGCCTCTCTCACGGCCGGTCTCGCGGCCCATTCGGGGGTGCTCATTCGCACCCGTGATCCACAAATTTCATTCTTGAATAAGCCATGCATGATGGAGCCAACGCTCAGCCTCAGCATGCAATAACTTTACTAAGCCTTAAGAAAGCCGCAGTCTCCGCTGGAACACCAAAATCCTCACCAGTGATACACTGCTTAAAGACATTAGTTCTTCAGCCAAAACTTCAGTATGTTCGCACATAAGCAGGCAGTTCTGCATCCGGCCTCGCCTACTATGGTCAAACATCTTCTGGCCCAACCTAGTCACGCTACCCCGACTTACAACCTTCTTGCAGCCACTAACTCTATCTGTTCACTTGCCCCTCCTCTCTAACGTCCAGCAGCCAACGAGGTTAGGTTAGGTCCGCTCAGCTTCGTTTTGCGTGGTGAAATGTTGCAACGTGTGTAGGTTAGGCCAGAGGTTGAGCGGAAATAGGTTTGGCCTGATGCAGTATGAGCACGCTGAACTTGGGCATGCTAACGCTATAGTAGTATAGCTGTGGGCATACGGCGTTATAGCTTCAAGTACTAGACGTCATAGGCTACTATTCCCTCTAGCTTTCTTACCCACGGAAAGGAATGCGATTAAGTGTGAAGTTGGGCTATGCTGGCCTCCGGCATGCGACCCCTCATGCGTAAGCATTATGCCTGAGCTTCCGTAAATACGTCCTCCCGTTCTTAGCGGCCAACTTCTAGTTTTTTTTTCGCCAAATTGCTGTAAATGGACCGAAAAACGTGCTCGGATTATCTTACGATCATCTTAATGCCAAATGTCTGCAATGCATCCACGCGTTTCCAAGCCCTTGCCACATCGCACAAAAAAAAAAAAAAGTTAGCCATTACAAAAGTAATGTCAGATAATTTCAAGACCGACATGCTCGAGCGTTACAAAAATCCGTGTTATTAAAACCTGTAGAATATTTTCTCCGTGATTTTTTTTCTTCTACCAATGCAAATTATAAAATAGTTTTAAACGATCATTTCCAAATTGTGCGTTATGAAGAGGAATTACATCCTTTGTCAACGCATGCGCAATAATGTGCTTTCTTGATCAGATATTGTAGGTGCCATCATCACGTCATAATATCCAAGTGAGATTCCTGATATGAACGAGTTGGCAAGCTAGTCGTCGAAGCGTTTCACGTTTACCCTACTGTGATTATAATCTCATACTACTCCCTAAATTTGAAGCTTTGAATATTGAACAGTAACATTAATATGTGTCCCTGATTGGGACTGGAGTGAGTTTAGAATAAGTTCGAATGTGTATAAAATAAGTGAGTCAAAACATAGTCGTGTCCTAATGTGCGGGTGAACGGTTCATGCTTATTTATTTATTAATCATTATTCTTCCGTGTATTTTTCATTTTTCAGCACCTGTGCCGATACTTTATTTGGTCCCTTCATATCAACCATTAATGCCGTATAAGGTTAGGAATCATTTACCTTCGCAATTGAAATGGTCATTAATAAGTCAGTTTATTTGTCAACGCCCGCTTTCTGAAAAAACGATTTTTATTGAATGTTCATTAGAATGTTTTCACAATGTCGGATACTGTGAATACAAATGATATGTGCCAAACATATATTTTGTTCATGCAAGCTAAAAATCTTTAGGAGAGCCTTATTAACCTATGAAGATCTATGATATCGATTATGCCTGATTGTTTACATGATAATTAAGAGAGGTTATGGTATCTACTTCTTAGGGATAGAAACTTGCATGTATCAACAACACTTGCTTCTGAGCCCTCAATCAATAGAAGTCTTCAGCGCTATTTTTGGCTTCCGCTGCGCTGTTTTTGATCTGGTCCTGGCTGTTGTACATGTCCGCAATCTGTATTTGAGGTGATAAAATTAAATTATTCATGCTTAATAAGTTGAAAAAATTCAAAATTTCCAGGGAAAATTAAAATTTATTTGCCGTTCAAACTACTTCCTCTTTTGCTTGTTATAATTCTGTTCCAAATTCAGTAAAATAAATAATACTAATATGATAGTAAATTCATAAGCATAGCAAGGGTATATAGAAGAAACCTGTTAATGCATTTAACAGCACACACGAACTTGAAAAGATGGAGTTGACTAAAGACGCCGCAGTCTTAAATATTTCGTTACGAAAATAGAACCAAATTTTCGTAACGGCTAAGTCAAGCAAACACATCCTGGAGTCACACTTAGAAACATGGTTCAACCAAATTGTAACAGTCAATGTTATATAGATGCTCGAGTCTTTTTATTACCCCAGAAGAGCAAAATCCGTGAAACAACGTTAACCTATCAAAATCAATTTTTAATTGGTAATTCAAATAGAAAAAAATTAATTTTACTCGGCAATTCAGAACCGAGCCAACTGGCAGCTTAACTGACCTGCTGCGCAGAGGTTGCAAGCTCAGGGGACTTGTCATCCCTGACGCGTATGAAGCGCGGGAAGCGCAGCGATATGCCCTTCTCAGGGTCCACGACGCCTGCCGCTGCCGTGTGCACGGGCGACACGGACAAATCTGCGCACTTGATTTCCCACACCTGAACGGCGTCAAACCACTGGTCGGGCTCCACGGCGCTGTTGTATCTGTTTTTGACAATGACCCATCAGCTGAATATGTATCAATAGTCTTTAGTTTTAATTCACTTTTAAATATGAGATAAGATAAACACGACAGAGGGCATAAATGTAAATTTCCTTAATTAAGCTTATGGTTTGATAAATTGGGTACAGAAAATTGTCTTGTTAGATGAGAAAATTAAGAGGCAATCAAGGTGAGGAGCTCGTTCAAAACGTTGCGTTCAAGCATAGGAGGTGAGGTTTTTCCATCATAGGAGTACTGGTCTATCGGCATATCTCGGGTCTCACCTGTAGTACGACTTCGGACTGTCAATGCAATGTTCCTTGAAAAACGCAGAATGTTGCGCCAAACTCTCATCGGTGAAGCCAGTACCAATCTGAAGAGCGCCAGAAACAAGTTATCAAAGTTATCAAACTTAAACAAACATGAATCCATCCGGACCTCGAATCAATTAATACCTCCAAAAATATCACCACATTCAAACATGAAAGACATAATAACGGTGAAAAAACTATTAAAATACTAACGCGATCCTGCAAATTATAATACGAATCTATTCGAACATTTACCTTGCAGATCGATTGAAATTCTTCGTTATCAGGGTCGTAACAAGCCAACAGAAAACCACCGTACTGACCCGCGCGTTTTCCTTTCCCCATGTAACCCCCAATGACCACCACGTCAATACTGTCGCCTACGCCATCTAAATAATCTTTCTTGAGCTTCAACCAGTTGTGTGAGCGCTTTGCTATCTCGTAAGTGGCGTCCACATCAAGGGTTTTAACCATCAGCCCTTCGCACATTCCTGGAAAAATTGGATAAGTTGAGAACAAATTTTGCGAGCGAGCATAAACTCATGTTATGGCGAGGGATAATAAATGCATGTAGAAACAATGGAAGAGGGAAAACTGTTAGGTCATTAAATCTTTATCTTTGACCGAGCACTAGCCACTATTCCTTCATTCGTAAATTTAACATAGATCTATGCCGAGCCTAATCATGTTTCTCATATGATAATTAATGTTTTACTGGATATACGTCACTATACGGTAGAGAATTAAAGAATTATCTACCTATACGAAGAAATTTTTTTATAATATATATATATTATATAATAAAAATATATGTAAAGAGAGCTGCATTACAATGGCGTTGAGAAAGGTTATTCAGGTTCACCCACCTTTGAGAAAGGTTCACCCACCTTTGATGCTCTCGTCCAAAAACTCTTGAATATCTTCAGTGTTTGTAGAATCCATACTTTTAGCCATTGTGAACTCGCCCTCAATTTCTTTAAAGTTCTCACGGAGCAAAGTCCGCCGTTTCTCAAAAGGCTCTCGTACAAGAGACTGGCCGTTCAGGTACAGCAAGTCGAAAGGAAAAACGCACACCTGCACTTTGATGTCACTTTCTTTGACGTCCTGGAAAACACAGTCAAAATTGTAGAAATCATTGCAAAGAAATAATAGAGATATGCTGTGTCTGGGCATGACTAGTCTTTTTCCTAGAGCCCATGGACAACTGAGAAATTAAGTTCTTAGCTCATTTTACTGATTTTATTCCTTACAACATTTAATGATTAAGAACGGATATCATCATAAATTAACAGAAATAAAAACGCTCAAACTTTCAGTAAATGCAATACAAATGAAATAATCAGAAAACACAGAACAAATCATTTAATTTTTCGACAGGTATGCCACTAATGAGTGTCTAAAATGAGTGCATGTAACCTTTCGCTTGCGTGTGCTGAGAACTTGGAAGGGAAGTATTTGTTTTTTTTCTTTGTCCCATGCAACAGCCTCCGTATCCAAGATACACGTTTTTACATCTGCAAGAAAAAACTGTGACAAAGGACTCGTGCTATACAGTTCAACAATTAGAAGTTGCTAAGCGTAACGATATCCCTCTACACATAACCCCAATCATTGCATTAAAAGATGCATCAAAATAATAGCAAAAAGAAGAATTTAGTAATCAAATTTGTGCTCGGTAAAATTTGCCATGATTACCTGGCCCAAGCGATGACTGGAGACGCTGAATGATGTCAGGATACTTGGTTGTGTTGTCCTCTTGGTTGCGGCTGAACACGCGCACACTGCCATCTTCCAACAAGTGAATCTGGCAAAATGTACGTTGCGATTAAGCCTTAATAAAACCGACCTGAGCACGTTCTCCATCGTACTTATATTCACAAGTGAACTTGTTGTCTTCAAATCGCTTGAAAACTTCAGAGACGCCCTTGGTGGGATGAGCCAGCATGGGCTTGAGGGGCATACCAGGCGTGAGTTTGCAGTGCTCCGGCAGAGACAGCACCCCAGACGACAGCAGCACCGGGATCATTAGATCATACGACGGACACTCACTGAAAGTGGAATTTATTTTTCTATTATTTACATTTTGCTTGTGTTATTTCGATCCACATTCGAGAGCCTATATTACAGATAGTACAATAAGAGCTATCAAAATTCAATAATATAATTTCAAGTTGCGTTATTCTATGTAATGCATGAATGATTATCTTTCATTCAATCTTTGAAAATGAATTTGTTTAAATCTGCACTGCGACAAGATGAACACTGCACTGCCTTTCGGCTAATCATCATGTCATGCATAAATCAAATATATAAATTTTATGGACGCTCCTCGAGTATTGAATGAACCAGTGTTGCTGTGGAGGTCCATATTTGGTGACTGTTTTTCTATGACGTACTACGGCAAAGATACTAACAGCAGCTGAATGAATCAGCAGCTGATTGTATCCAAAATACAATAATTAGTCAAGCACTTTTCTCTGGAGCAAAATACAATTTCTAATAGCATGCGCACTCATGGCACAAAAGATCAATACAACATTAACACAATCAAGATTGTGCATGAAAAAATGGTTGATACTGATGGTCTGGTGATCCAATAAATTTCTGCTCAGAATACAACACATATTCTGCAAAATGTCAGTAATCCATGTACCAGTAAGTTGTTTTGATGATGAGAGCGAGTTCCTCCACTTTAGCTTTAATGCTTTCGGTAGATAGACCTTTGCCGGCATTCAGAATTTTGGCTGGATGTTCTTGACCAGGAGGGGTGAGGTAGCACGCTTGTGCCAGAGCCTGAAAATTTCCGAGGCATTATTAGGTCGCGTAAACAATATATTATAATTATTTCATAGTAAAAATTAGATACATTTCAATGAACATACATTTCAGGGCTTCATGTAGAACTTAAATGCACTCATCAAAAGCACGAGAGGAATGATTTATGCATTAGGCACAATAAAACTACTTTGACCCAGTCATATTGTTCTTGATATTGGGTTTAAAAACATTAATGTTACCTGTAAAACTGACTGCTCAGCCAATCCAATCCTCAGTTTGCCGCCCAACGATCTGATGAGGTAACGTGCCTCACATTCAACGCACGCCACAAACATACTCTTGATCTTGTCCACTTTCTTTGCTTGCGACTGCAGATATAAACAATACACGTATGTAATGTATGTAATAAGTAAGGTATACTCTACACATTAAATCATATTGAATGGGAATACAAGGAATACAGAACAAGATCAACAAAGCGAAATCTAAACCAATGTAAGAAACTCAGCCTAACAAGCAATGAAAATAAAAATTTGTTTATAAACTATAGAAATATCCTGGGAAGTAGTCCAGTAGTGGTGGCTATTTCCGCAGCAAACATGTATGAAAGTTTAATTTCTTCAAATGATGGCCCATTATTGTGGAAATTAGTTGCCAAGTATCTAACCATAGGTAGTTGATATCAACTCATCTCTTCTCCAGTAATTGCGGCCATTTTTGTGCTGAATATCCATCAACAATAGCAATTTTTCACCAAATGTCCGGTTTTGGTGCAATTTCATTGTCTAACGCCCATCACTGAAAATAATTTATTCACCGAATTTCCAGTCATAGTTGCAATTTCCTTGAGTTTTTGGAAGACCGAGTTGATGGTAAGTTTGGCAGGCCGGAACATCATGCGCTGGTTGCTCTTGCTGGCCTCAGCCACCTTGCCCAAGTCCCCCAGCTGCTTAGTGTCCGCCTTGATGCAGTCAACACTGCGTCCTGTGCTCTGAGCAATGGCTTTCACCAAGATACCTTCGCCCACGTTCAGTTCCACACCTGCATTCAAAATAAAGAATGAAAACGAATAGAAGGAGAGAGCTGAAGTTAGTCCAATAAAATTTGAACTAATTCAATAGAAGGTACGAAATGATCTGAAAGGGTTTACCAGGTATCAAGTTAGACATTAGAATTGAAATTAATTCTGGCAAAGCAACCCGAGTGAAAATGAGCCATACCAGCAAATGCTGGCGCAACAGAGTTGAGACACAAATATATGGTGGGCAGCAGGTCATCAGGAGACAGAACTATGATGGAACGCAGAAGATTGCTCAGGATTTCTATAATTCGAAGTCTGCCAGAGGTTTCTTCAATGTGTTGGAAAGTTGTAGCAAGCGCCAAGTAGGGTACTCTGGAAAAGGAATTTGTAAAGTATGGTAAATAACATGATTTAATGAGAATCATGAATAAAAAAAGAGTTTTCAAAATATATATGAATTATGCCTTTTCAATTTGATAGGGCCTTTTGAACAGTACAAAAGCATAAGTATGAATGACCATAACTGATGTTAGTTAAAAATTATCAATGGCATTTGTGCATACGAAAGAAGTAGCAACTTTCAAAATTTATTAAAGGCGAGTTTTAAAACTTACTTCTCTTCCCTAGACCAAGTTGCATCAGAAACTGGATGGTAGTTAGACTTGGCGGGATTATATGCCACGCCAGGGGCAGCAGTAGTACTGCTACAGGCAGCAAATGGATTAATTGTTGTTTTCACAGGACTCGGCGTTGATTTCTCAGCAACGTCACCACTCTTGTCATCCTTATTGCCATCAGGAGAATCGTCTGCAATGAGCAATACTTGCTGATACTGTAGAACTTAAGCTAAATTGAATTACTTAATTGCCATTTGCAATTGTTCACTCAAATTTATCGCTTATCCTGTACGTATATATAACATGACATGTGAATTGATAAAAAATGTATATAATAACATGCATTATCTTTAAAAAAATTCATGATACATGAATAAAATTTTGTTGAGTGGAAAAAATTCATCACAAGAATATTTAATTGGAATTTCAGCTTTGATGAGGGCAATTCAAGAAAAAAGCAACCCACCCTTGCTCAGTCGACCAGGTTTTTTAGTTTTCTTCTTGGTTTTCTTTTTTGATGCAACCTTAGGAGATTCAACTTTGTCTTCAGGAAGCTTGTCTAAGGAAGATTCAACCTTGAGGGTTTCAACTTTAGGTGAATCAATTGTAATTGATCTTTTCATAGGAGATTTAATTTTAGGAGAATTAGCTTGAGTTGCAGGTGAAGTCTCATCAGCAGCTGGATTGCTATCATCCTTACTGTGATCTGGAGCTGTAACACAATATTTCAAAAAATAATCTTTAGGCTTTTTCATAAATTTATGAAGAAAGATTTGAAAGTTCATTTTTTAGAATTGCATTGGCAACAGTCAGAATTCAAGACATAATGAATAAATACATATTGTTAGATTTTAATATTGGGTTGAAAGCTGTCACCTTTGAATTGACGGAAGAAATCGTGGTAAGAGACATTGGCAGTCCTCAGGCGAGTAGAAGCTTCACTGCTGTTCAGTTTTGGAGGCTCTGAATTGTCAAGAGATTTACCAGAGTTCTTGACCATCTTTGAAGAATCTGATTCATCCTTTGTTTTTTTCTTGACAGTTTCTTTTTCCTCATCACTGGAGTCAACTATTCTCCTTCTTCTCTTCCCTTTCTCAGCTAAAAAAAGTGCTTATTAAATAAAATGAAAACTGCTCAATTATCAGAAAATAAGATAAATTTTTAACCAGTTCAAGCCATAACAAATGATTCAATAATCAAATAATTAATTTAAAATATCTAGCAAAGCAATCATTAACTTGTTTAAAGCAGCAAACAATTTCCATATTCAAGTTTTCTTTGATAGAGTGATTGATTTTAACTTTGAAATTAGTTCTTCTATTCTGAACTAACCAAATTTTATTACAATTTTTTCAAATATTTATTTAATTATTTAAAATGATTTTCAAAATATTCATTACGTTATTCAATAAAAATGTTAACTTACTTTGCTGTATAGAGCTCTTAATCCATCTAACTTCATAAACTATTGTACCGGTACTAAGAAATATCATTAAAAATCTGTTAATTTTTCTAGTTTAAGTAGTGAGCAGATGTTCCATAAATTTTGATTTATTACCTATATAAATTTATGGCTATAAATTGATAATACGGTCTAGAGGATGTTTCTGAATTTCATTACTGTTTAATTTCATTATATTTTCAAAATAGCTCTTGGCAATATAAAGATCGTCTCACCTGGTGATAATCACATAAATAACCAAATGCTTTCTTGTCACATCAATGAAACTGACCTGTCAATCTCAACGGAGGCACAGAAGAGGCAGTAAACCCAGCAGTGGGTTCGTGCAGTGAATCATCTGAAGTATTTGAATCCTTAGAGGGACTTTTTGTTTCAGATTTAGCCAATTCTACAGAAGAGCTGGAAAGATTTCAATAATTTTAGACAGAGGTATGAGAAAATATGTAGTAGAAAACTCTCAGTCATAGAGATGGTCCACAAGTGGCTGCTGACAACCTATGAACAAATTAACATTGTCACTGTATGTGGGTCAACTGCTCTCTACACATTTTGTTGCCACTTACAACCTCAAGTACAGAAGGACCTTGGATCCATAACCAACATAACTTTAGAATTTATTTCAATATTACCAAGAACTGATATTAAATCAGATAGATAAGCAATCATGGTATTGAAGATACCGTAGTAAGAAAGTAGTTGGTGCTCAGTTAAAACTTATAACTTGACCAATGATTCAAGATATGAAGTTAGATCCAGCAGCTACATTAGTTTCAACTGAAACAGTTGAAAATAATTCTCATATGCCTAAATCATTAAATAAACATTTTGCCTTAGAAATATCTGAATTTTCCAACTAATGAACACTAATGCTATATATATATCTTAAAATTAATACCCAACCCGAAGAACTCCCATCCAACCAGATCAAAATTCACAAGTACATGTACATTAACAAATTCATATATACAAATGTTTAGTGAAAAAATCACCTATCACAATTGCTGATGAGCCGTGCAGCTCCTCGAGATGCATCTTGGAGAGCTTTCTTGGACTGAAGGCTACCAAAGAAAGACCTGGAGGTAATAAAGACAGATAAATTTATAAATAAATAAATTATGCAGCCTCAAGTATCTGATCTTGGTCTGGTCTGGAATAATGGGCAGAATTTTTCACTAATCACAAATGCAAACTAACATTTTACAGGCAATTTCAGAAAATTGTGGCCGAAATGTGTTATTAATATTTTTAAATAAATTGGCATATGGCAACGGCTATGAAAATGTGTAAAATTGACAATAAGCATGGCTGCAAATTTTTTCAGAAATAGTGGGTACAAAATATAATTTTATGGGCAATTTTTTTAAATGTTCAGGCCCAAATGTGTTCCAATTTTCTTGTTATTCATCTAACGTTATTTTCCATATCTTATAATTTAAATACCTTATAATTTAAGTTTTCCTTCTAAATGAAGCTGAAGTGTAATCAAATCAATTTTATACACCAATACTATACCATAAATCAGTTTTAATCATTCTAAATACCAAATAACAAGTACCCATTCAAAACTTTTGCTTAATATTCTAACCAATTCTTTAAAGCAAATATCATTTTAACAACAAAGCTAAGATATCCTGCTGATGTATTAATATAATTTCAAGATTGGCCACAATTAATTACTTGTTGCATGTAACAAAATGAGACAAACTGGTCTTGAGACAAACTGGTCAAATGCTTCATTTTAGGTAATTTATATGATTTACTATAGGTATTGGTAGCATAATAATAAAGTATGAATGATGCCAAAAAGGAAAATAAAATGCATGTACTACCAGTTCAAGTAACCTTTGCTATCACATGACTTCTTTATTGAAGCATAAGTTCTAATTGCTGGATTTATTATAGATGGGAGAAAATCTCTAGATTTTGACTGTGCAGAAGTAATGACGATTGAACTAAATATTAGTTAAACCATGGAACAATGGAAGTGACAATGAAAGTAGCAAAGCATGAAAAGTAAATATACCATATGCAGGATGGTGCAATTCAGAGACAATTTTTTTTAATATATATATATATATACCTGGTATTAAAATAGCCCTCTTCAATGTACAGGCACATTATTTCATAGTTTTATTCTCTGAACTCACATGGATGCAAGATAATTTTATTTAGTAGTTTCAGTTTTTTAATAAAAATATCATAATATTTTGAAGACAATATACACACCAATAGTACATGATAGAAAAAAGAACAGGCTATATAAAAAATATAATTCAGTACTCATTGCAGTGAGTGACTGAGAGCACATTTTATTGTCGATGAAAAAGTGAAGGCATGCACGGATAGACATGGCAAGCACAATAGTGCATTTTCTCCATAAATGAGAAAATGCTCTAAAAAGTAGATTAATGTCAGTTTGTTAATGAAAAACCTAGAAGCTAGTGGGAAGTAAAAAGCTATATCTAGGTTTTTTGTAGCCTATCTGGAAAACCCGTGATCTAATTTCTTCAAGCCATGAATGACTGAATTCCATACCTTGGCCATTAACCAGGCTGTAAAGTAGGGCCTTTCAGCTCATGATATTGGCGTCTTTTCAAGCTCTCCATCAGCCTCCTTGACCTTTAATTGGCATCCATGGCCAATCATGAACTATGACTTGGGCAGCCATGACCTTTCATAAATTATAGATTGCTTGATCAGCCCTGCTGTCACTGAGCGCATCTTCAGCTTGTTTGATTGCTTATATCTGTCACCTGATCACAATGTGCATACATCTGGTGTACCCAATGCTACTGCTGAAAAAACTTATCAATCTATTGTGTTCTAACGCAATCTACTGTGTTATAACACGATCTATTGTGTTCTAATGGGATCTATAGCATTATAACGCAATCTATTATGTTCTAACACAATCTATTGCATTCTAACGCAATCTATTGCGCTCTAACGCAATATATTGTGTTCTAACGCAATCTATTGTGTTTTAACGCAATCTATTGTGTTCTACCATGTTCTATTGTGTTCTACCGTGTTCTATTGTGTTCTAACGTGATCTATTGTGTTCTAACGTGATCTATTGTGTTCTAACGTGATCTATTGTGTTCAAAGGCAATCTAATGTAGCCTAAGGCAATCTAATGTAACCTAAGGCAATCTAATGTAAGAAAGGCAATCTAATGTAACCTAATGCAATCTAATTCAATCTAATATAACCTAATACAATCCAATGCATTCAAATTCAAACTGACACTTTCTACTGTAATCTAAAGCATTCTAATGCAATCTTATGTAACCTAATGCAATCTAATGTAACCTAATGAAATCTAATGTACCCTAATGAAATCTAATGTACCCTAATTCAATTTAATGCATACTAGTGCATTCTAATGCATTGCAATGAAATCTAGTGCAATTAAATAAAATCTCAATGCATTCTTACACATTCTAATTCAGTCTATTCAATTTTACAGAATTAGGTTGGCTTGAATTGGGCTGGAATGATTTAATTAGGGTTGAATTTGGTTGGGTTGAATTGAGTTGAGCGTGGATGAATTGTGTTGAATCAAGTTGGGACAAGTTAAATTGGTTTTGGTTGAATATGGCTTAATTGGGTTGAGTTTAATCAAATTTTGGTTGAATTGAGTTAGGTGGGGTTGAATTTGGTTGGTTTGAACTGGGTTGATTTGAATTGGGTTGAATTGGTTTTGGTTGAATTGGTTTTGCTTGAATTGGGTTGGGTTGAATTGGATTTGATTAGATTGGGTTTGGTTAGAATGGGTTGGGTTAAATTTGGTTAGGATGAATTGGGTTGAATTGCATTGGGAAGGATTGGTTGATTTGAATTGGGTTGGGTTTGGTTAGATTGGGTTGGGTTAAATTTGGTTAGGATGAATTGGGTTGGATTGCATTGGGGAGGATTAGGTTTATTTGAATTGGCTTGGGTTGTAATGGCTTGGGTTGAATTGGCTTGGGTTGTAATGGTTTGGGTTGAATTGGTTAGGATTGCATTGGGTTGGGTTTGGCTGAATTGGATTGGGTTGGGTTTGGTTGCATTGGGTTAGGTTCAGTTAGATTGGCTTGGATTTAGATTTGGTTAGGTTCAGTTAGATTAGGTTGTTTGAATTTGGTTGGGATGAATTGGGTGAGGTTGAATTGGGTTGACTTGGTTCAGGTGACTAGACTAATGATGTAGTCTGTTTATTTAAAATGATTTATCACAAGCTGCTTTGTTGTCTATTGTCAGTGCCGTGAGGCTCTATCAACGCAAGCACTCAAGTACATGCACTTAGAACCATTGGAACTGTGCGCTACATTGAGTAGAGTGAGTTCTGGTGGCTCTGAGCATGTATGCATGGATGCTCATATATACACTCACAGTCACAGCCATCAGAACTGTGCACTACTGCCGCTACATTGCGTGGTTCTGGTGGCTCTGAGGACAAATGCTTGGGAGCGCAAATATACACTCTCACAGCAATCAGAACTGCACGGCGCACGCTACAATGCGTAGTTCAGGTGGCTAGTATGAGCGTGTATGCTTAGCAGCTTAGGTGCTCAAATGTAGCTCTCACAGCCAGGAACTGCATGCTACAGCAAGTAGTTCAGGTGGCTGTTGAGTGTTGAGTAAATTAGGAAATTAAAAATGAACTGATTCTAAAAAAGCTCTGGTTTGTCACTATGAATTTATCATTAGAACCATGATATTTCAGAAAAAATAGGACTTTTCCAGGCTCCAGCCATGGTGTAATGTGGGAGGATTTTTTATCTATTAGCCTATGAACATTAATGTTCATAATGGATGGATCCATTTCCTTATATGAACATGAACATAGTGGCAATCCAGAGTTTCTTTAGAATCAGTTCATTTTTAATTTCCTCATCTACTCAAGATTTAAACCAATATCTTGTGTATGATAATGCTGGTATCCAGGATACTTTACTGGTCTACTTATAGGAGTCAAAAATGAACTTGGGGACAAGTCTAAAAACTCTCTGCTTTGCCACTTTGAACATCAATATATTCTATTACCTCTCCAGAATTCCACACAGATTAGGATTTACCTCCACCGATGCCCAATTAGCCTAGGTAGGCTACTAGTACTAGGCTATCAATTAAAACTGCCATAAAATAAAAGGATATAATATGGCATACAATTTTTTCAACTAACATCTGAAACGGTTTTTTTACCTGCAATTTTTGGAAATTTTTGTACAATATTCGAGATTGGAGCAAAAAAGTAAATAGATAAACTGATTGAGTGATATACGGTATAACTACTAGGCTACTACTCTACTAGAAATATCAAGAAATTCCGAGTCTGAACTATGGCAGCATCAAACAAATTGGTTGAGTCAATGCTTAAATGCTATAAGAAAATTTTATGGTGAATATCCGGTTTCTAGTGTCACATATCATCGGCTAAAAGCCTAAAACTGTAAACTAATACAGTTAAAAAATTGGCACTTACAAAATCGTTTTCTGAGCCATTTTATCTATCGATCCATTAGCTCTATGATACTGACAAGCATACGGAAATCTTAAGAAGTAACAACTAACACGTATTATTTTATAGGTACTCAAAAAACACTTCAGTTACGTTCGATAATCAATAAAAATAAATTCGTTTGAATAGACGGCAAAAGGCCGCAGGACCCTACTCCCGCCACAACGCATTCTAAAACGCTGAAAAGTGAACCGAGAAAATTTGAATTCATTACCCTCAGAGCTCGATTTTAAAAACGTAGAACCTTCGTCGTGATGTATTGAAAGGTAAAATTTAAAGCCCTAGAATACTTTTTTCAGTTCTTCAGACGTTCAGAGCTTTTCGATGCCGTAGTGTATTAAATTCAGGGCACAAGAAATTTATTTCTCATTTTTTTTATTTTAGACATACTGATATATAAATACATATTCATGAAACTTGTAAATAACCGGCATAATCTCTCCAAGAAAATGTGGTTATCTGTTATAGTAAATTTTTTCTGTTGATCACATCCGCAATACCCAAGACCCGACAAAACAACAATATTTGCTATTTATACGGAATTATACCACACTTATTCATTCTCATGTTCATTGCATCATCACTGTTGATCCTTTATCAGGATTTACTTCTATCACTACTACTCAAATTCCTCTCTCAATGGGCTCACGTTTCACAATTATGGTTCCAGTTCCCCTCTCACCCTCAATGTGATACTTTCCTCAATCCACCAGTACAGTACAGTAGGGGGCTTACCTCTCTTCTTACCTTTGCCATTCCAATCTTTTGTTAAACGTATCGATTTGGCAAAACCGCTCCTACACCCGTTTACTTGTTGTGGAGGAAAAGTACAAATTTCTGCTTCACTTGTAGGTACAGATTTGCACGAGCACTTCTTGCAACTCTTTAACCTATTGAGACAACTCTGAAACGGCATTGAAACGCACTTATCGTTGGAATACATCAGTACAATTTCACTTCTACGCTCTAACCTGATATGACGAGAAAGATATAAATGACGAATGGTTATCAAAATGAAGTTAAGTAAATAACATAACTAGTAGAAAATACCAACTAAAGAATCTTTTGTTAAACACTGTTAGGTTAAACGATACGACCTCATCTAAGCAACACTAATTAACCAAAAAATTATAGTTTACCTTGATAACATGTTTTGTGATATAAGGTCACTTATTATATTTAATCCTAAACTTAAAATATTTTGCCTTCGTAAAGAAAGTGGGAAAATAATACAAATTTACCATCAATTCTATAATGAGGTCAATTAGTGAGAAATATGATAGAACCATCAATAATCGAACTTGTACTGATAGTAGGCATCATCAAATGAATGGACACGAATGTAACCATCTTCGCCTCCACTGGCATAGCCCTTCCCAGATGGATGAAATGCGAGAGAGTTGATGGGACCAAAATGGCCTTTGACACGACCAAATTCTTCCTCGAAAACAAGATGGAAGAAACGAGCATCGAACTTTCCTTCACGTGTGCTAGTGGTGGTGACTTCCATAGCTTCTTGTCCGCCTCCAAGAACAACGTACGGGCAAGTATCCAACAAGGGTGAGATGGCAGCACTCTTGACAGGACGCTCTGTCTTGTACTTCTTCATGGGCTCGAATGTCTCCAGGTCCCAGAGTCTTGCAGTCGTGTCCTTGCTTGCCGTGATCAGGAGGGAACCGTCGTGATTGAGCTGCATGTCATCTATTTGACCGGAATGCTCACACCGGCGGTCAAGCTGTAGCCAAATTAAAAATTCAATGAGCAAAATATTTTTTATCAATTGTTTTGCACAAACGAGTCATATCAAATTTACCATGACAGGCTACTTTTTTGGGAAAGGAGATACAGGGTTATTCTGTATGATGGAAACAATTTAACAAATTCGTATTAATTTATAAAATCGAAATCAAAAATTTATACACCAATTGGAAGAAAAAGATTCAACTTTTTTTTAACCTGTTCAAACGTGTAATTGGACGACGGCGAAGGTAGTTGCAGAGAGTGTTGCAAAAAGCACTTCTGGCCTACCCTTACACCGAGATCACCTGATCTCACTTCATTTGACTATTTATTATTGGGTAACGTTAAGGAAGCTGTTAACGGCCCGCCTCTACCAGCAACTCCTGTTGCTATGAAGAACAGCAGAAGATATGCTTTCTCTTGTGTGGGAAGAGTTTGGCTACCGTTTAGATGTTTGCCGTGCAGCACATATTTATATTGAACATTTATAAATATGTGAAAAAAAAACTTTGAATCTTTCTCCTTCCATTGGTGTATAAATTATTTATTTTGAATTTATACTTAAATAAATAAGAATTTATTAAGTTGTGTCCATCATTTAGAATAACCCTATACTACGGTATGTGATAGAAGTTAAAATATTTTCAGCTTCCTATGTTATACTATAGTTTAGCCATGACAAACCACAAAATAATAAAATGTAATTTTACTAAGCACCTCCAATAAAACAGAATAATAATTACAAACTTCCTTTTTCCCAGTCAACTCTAAAAGTAAGATGTACATTTTGCTGAAATCAAGATGCTGAAAGTAATATTTACAATTTGACATGTACATATTGCTGTATCGTATTCTTATTTTACAACTGGAATCCACGTTAATTGCTGTATATTAATATATACATATTGTAATACTATCCCACATAACGAAGTCACATACGTTTTTGCCGGTCCTGACGTCCCACTTGACAATGGCTCCGTCCTCATGCCCCGTCACGATGGCAGTGTCCAGGCTACCCCAGAGCACGGAGAGCCCCTTCATCATATGCGGTGTGATGGGCATACGCATCATGGGGCTGTCTGAAATACAGGCAGCACTGAGGAATCCATTGTAAAACATAGATCATGTTACAGGGCAAGTTAGAGAAGCAAGAAAATTCAATTGCCCTAAAAAATGAAAGTGTACTAAATTCTATAATTGATAAGTCATGACACAACAAGCCATTATTTTCTGTAAAACTGGAATAATATTGATTGCACCGAAAATGAAGTTGCTACAAATTAAGTACAAATAAATATCAACACACTAACAGCATGAAACATACCGGTAGTGTAGAAAAATTTTTAGTTTGCTTTAGATTGAACAAAATGGAATCAATAACTGAAGAACGTACCTTCCACATCCTGACGTTCTCGTATGTCTGTAATCCGCACTTCTGATTCTTGTCCCATCATCTTGTCAGTGGTGTAGGCGATTAGAGATCCTGAGTATGAAAAACTAACACCACGAATTGAAGATTTGGCCTTAACTGAGCTTATACAGACACCAGTGCTCACGTCCCACACTCTGAAATGGTAATAAAGAAGTGATATGAAGTCAAGTTTATCATTCATCACATATCAGAACCAAGGTAACCATCTAGCAATTAAATGAATGCATTACAAACATAGGTAGCCAATAAATATTAATTACAATTTTACAGTGAAATAACACGGTAATTATGACCCAACATCCGTGTAATTTCTGATATACAACAGAATTCATATTGAATGTGATGTTTTAAAAACTAAATATGAATTTAATGTAAGGATAGCAGGCTATCCAACCTCATTTATTAAAAGAGTTTTCATATTCAAATACAAAATTCATAGAATAGTGAAAAGTTAATTTACTGATAACAAGGTTGTTAGTTGCAAATAAAAAAATTATTTACATCTTCACAGGAGCAAGCTGAATTTTTGTCAGTAACTCTTGTAAAGCCAACAATTAATTTTCAATGCAATAATTATTACTGGTATCCACTGTATTTTAAAAATTTGTATTCATCCCAAACATTTTTCTTGGCAACATAAGTTTCTTACTTTACGCTGCGATCTGCAGCTCCAGAAACCATGCGATTGGAATCATAGGACACATCAATGGACCAAACGGCTCCTTGGTGACCATCAAACGTGCCCAGTCGTTCACCATTGACTGAGAACCAAACATTAGGAGTTTGATCTTTGGAGGCAGTGAAGAGCAGATCTCCATCTGCATTATATTTGATTTGAGTGATTGACCTCTCGTGACCATGGAGCATCAAAGGTTTCTGCAAAATGCATAAATTAGTTAATTTACAACATTAATTTAGACTTAGGAGCAAATAATTCTATAATGAATGAAATACTAACTAACTGATCAGTTTATATCAGTCAATCAGCTAATTAAAAAATTCAATTCTACTAGTCATTGTAGCTTTTCAGTAATGAAAAATTATATACATAAAAAATCCTTTCACCAGCCTCAGCATAGGAAGGGACTTAGGAGACAGGCACACCAATGCTAAAACACAATGAAACCCCAAGTTGTCATCTCAACTTGTGGGAAATGGAATAACTAAATATCTTCAGCTTGAGGTGCTGAAATTTCATCATCCAACCCACATATATACCTAATATTTTTCAATTTGTAATTTTAAGACTCTTCTGAAGGCAGGCAAAAACATATGAAAAAAAATTAATCTAAATATTTTATAATTGTAGTGCACCAAAATTCAAGTCTGACATTTGTTAATACCTATTAAAGTTGCATATACGTAAAATTTATCAATTCCTCAAATACGTTCACTGTAGTAAAAATATTTGATGTGGACAGTTGCACATTAAAACAAATTGGCAAAATTATCTAACATCAATATTTTCCTAGTCACTAATCTTACTTGAAGAGATATTAATACTTATATAATTCAACATGAGTGGTAAAAAATTAGTCGATGCTTCATTTTCTAAAGCATTTCTATGAATTTTCAAGATTGTAGAAATGATGAATTGTGACAGGCAGATGATAGACATCATCAGAGATTAAAAGTCATGGTTGCTTGCAGCTGGAAGGGTTGAATAAAATATTCATTTAGCAGCATAGAAGAAAATTTCACAGTACAAGCTTCAAAACACAAACTACATCAGTCAGTCTTTATGATATACTACAGTTTAGATGGCATACAATGAGCCAGAGAAATATTTATTTGGTTCTGACAATCAACACCTATCCAAGTGCACCAACAAATAAATTTCTAAATCACCTTCCATCCACCAATTTAATTTGAATGTATGTCTTCCTAGGTTTTTGGCTTTGATCAACTATTACAGATTATCGTTATAGTGGCAAAGTCAGACTCGATACGAATGTTCTAGTGACATGGGCAGACAGAAAAATAATGTTCAAGTGACAGAGTATGACTCAGTAAAATGTTGTTGGAACTGTAAATTGACATATAAATTCAATGAGATTAATTAAAAAAATGGGTACCATATGATTTCCCACTAACTCTACAAATTCTGCAAGCAACTGCTCAAGTTGAAATATGGGCACATTCAAAATCAATGCTATATAAAAATTAATAAAATTCTAAATATTGTATGAAATAGGAGCAAAACATGATAAAGGTCAATCAGAAGCCATTAAGAAAATGGAGGTTATGGATCAGCTGTTGCATATACACTTGTTTTTGAAGCATGAACACAAGTTAGAGTAAAGGGTCAGGATTCTTCTCCTTAACTTTGATGCTATGCATATTAGATAAATCTTTAAACTTAAGATTAGCTATTTAATTCCACATGCATAATGAAAATAATTCCACAGTACCCTTTGACACATTTTACTGATCTCCCACAGTGGACTATGGCCCTAAAATTTGAGACAAATTTTTATTCATTGTTCAGTGTTCTGCTAACTTGACAGTGGTATTCTAACATGATGATGTTCAATTTTTCTGCTACCATTCATGAGTGTGACAAATAAGTGTTTATATGGTATATCTGCTGATAATAACCGGCAAGGGTAGTTACTGGCTTGTAGCAACAGGAATTCCCACACTCGTCACTCTTGCAACACTGCTGTGCTGACTGACCAATACTCCATTGTTCCCTAGGTTGGCTCAAAATGGCTCAACTCTTCCCAGCATAAACTGGACAGGTTTATGTTCCAGTGGAGAGATATCCTATAGTGTGCATAAATTGTTCCTCACGTAACTTGGATGGATTTATGTGCCAGTGAAGAGATGGTTTGTCAAGTGTTCCCATAGAAGAGGAAAAAGCTAGAATGTGACAGAAGTGGTAGACCACCTTGTTGCCTCATGCTATGTTTCTCAATTTCCCCAAGTCTGTCATCTGTGTAACACTCCAACTGCCAGCTTCCCCAAACTTGTGAACTGCCTGTTTTTTGGACCTAACCTGGACTACAATGGGCGATGCTGTCATGACATTGCATGCTCCCCCTTTTTTTGCGCTAGAGAACAACAGATTACAGGGATAATCCCGTCCTTGGAATCTTGGATATTGCATCTTTTTTACAACACTTCTCTTTAACTTCACTTCTTGTTTGTCTGTCTGTCTGTCTGCTACAAATCTTATAATCGAAATTTATCACACTTCTACTTATCCTATCAACCTGAAATTTTGCACACTTGTGTAAAGTTGGAGACAATGCATGAATCAAATGTCAAAATAAAAGATTTTAAAAAATTAAAAAAAAAATCCAAGTTTAAAAAAATTGAAAAAATAATTTTGTCAGCTACAAATCTTATAACTGATATCTGACACACTTTTACCTGTCT